TTGCAGTTCTTCCACCGGCCTCACTGCTGGCATTCTCTTCCTCAGCTGGCTTTCTTCAGCTTTTCCTGAGGCTTCTGTTTCACTGTTGATGCATGCCTATGGATCGTATTCTACTACCTGGCCTCGATCTGAAGAGCCACACTTGCCTTGGTGAGGGCAGCATGTCCAAAAAGGGCTGTATTTGGTAGTAATAGTTCAAGGGCTGGACAACGTGCAGGGGAAGACTTGGGATTCAAAGCTATGTGCTCACACAGGCTAGGAAAATGTTTAGCTTCCTGGATACCAGGCTGGCGAAATGTTTCTGGTTACATCCTAAATGTTGCCAAGGTTCTTGCAGAGTTGTGTTGTCTGCCCAGGTCCCAGGAGTCATCTCCTTTTTCTGCTGACTAGACAGACGTGTCTCAGGCCTATGGGTCAGCTTTTGTACTGGGAAGCTGATCCTGTAGCACAGTGGGAGATGCTTTTTTTTTTTTTATTAGACTGAGTTTTATTCTGTAGAAGTTGGGTTACCCAGTCCAGCACGACTAGAAAACACCATGCTTTTAAGCATGGATGCTAACTGCTTCCTTTTTTTTTTTTTTTTTTTTTTTTTCCTAACAAGTCTAGCTCACAAGACGCAGTCACGGAGCATCCACTGGCCAAATGCTGTAGTCTTCTTGACTGGTATACTGGTATTTTGTATTCTTCTCTTTGCTTCTGACTGCTTTAGGGTTATTAAGGGAAAGTCCAACTTTTGTCAGCATGACCTTGAGGTCAGTATTTATCCCTTGCCTGTGGCCTGGCTCCAGAAGAACCAGTGGCCATCTGCCTTAGTCCTCAGCACTGCAGGTCCTGAGGGCTGGCCACAGTCCTAGGAGCCGCAGCAAGGCGATGCTGGAAAGATGGATGGCAAGCTGCTTGCCACAAAGGCGTGAGTCAACAGTGCTTAATGCAGTCAGCTTTTTCGTTGTGTAATGCATTGCAATTTTAAATGTTTGTTGTTCTTTTTCTTTTGGAAAATAGCTTTACTAGTGAGTCACGAAGCGTTGCCAGTTTTCCCATACAAGACAGCTTATAAAGAGTGGGATCATCAGCATCGTGGTGTGATCTGCAGTAATTCTCACACCCATTGCAGTGTGCATCTCTCTGCCCCCACCTCTCAAGTGTGTGGTGACCTCTGAGGCTGTTTTCCCTGTCACCTTAAGTTACACCATCAAAGAGGACACCCCTGCTCTTCCCACTCCCTTGTTCCTGTGCTGGCATCTTCAGGTGGCAGTGCTCTGGAGCTGGGAACTGGCAGGAGTGGGCACTGCCTTTGTTCTGGTGGTGGTCTGGTAAGACATCAGTAGTCTTCAGCCAGGGTTCAGTAATGTTTAAGAGTACTCTGGCTGAGTCTTGAAGAGCACAGCACTGTTTGTTTCTGTAGAGGGGCATATTCCCTGCTGGAGGGTAGTGTTGGTATTAGGGACAGGGATTACCCAATTTAGGAAGAGCAGAGTTACCTTGTGTGTCGTCCTGACTTTTGTTTGGAAATACTTTGTGCGTTACTACCAGAAAATACAGCTTATTGCTCTTCTTTATGCCCATCCTGCTAAAAAATGAGTTATGCAGTTCAAATTTGGAGCAGATAATAGACGCACTAACAGATGCATCTAGTCTTAAATATCACAGAGCAAATTTTCTTCCAGTACAAGAGTTTTTTACTAGGGAGGATAATGGAGTATGGGATGTGGTATGTCCTTCTGTAGTCACTGATAGCTCTGCTCCTGAACCTCATCCCCTACCTCGTGTGAGTCTGGCTTGATGGGCGATCTGTCTTGCTAACCGTAGATCAGTCTGTTGGAAGGGGGGGGTGCTAAGCTGTCCTGAATGTTTGACTGTTGTTTGAGCTATGGTGGTGGTGTCAGAAGATGCCAATGGATCTGCTTGGATGAACTGATCTCCCTCAAGCTGTTGTGTAGACTGTGCACTGCATTTTACAGTATAATTGGAAGGACTCTGAGTTTTACAAGGCAGCTAAAATAGTTGAACCCGTGCCTTTGTTTAACAGAGGAAGGGTGAGTAATATTTAGGCCTTCAAATAGTTTTCTGCTTTGTATTTGTTTGAAACTGCTGAGATTCTTCTGTCTTTATTTGTAGATAGTGTCCATGTTTAGTAATAACCCTTTACTTTGAGTTAGTCTGCTGAAAAACTCTAAGCTGTATCTGAGCTATAAAGCGTCTGTTTTTCAAGCCCTATAGATAACTTCCTCCTTAAAAATGTTGTCTCTGAAATGCTACTTGCCACAAAGTATTTTTTCTCACATGTGGGAAGATATTGTCTATACCACTGTTTTCTTTGGAGTGCGTGGATGAATATGTGAGCAGTTGTAACCATGTTTGGACTCTCTCCCCACCTGGTGCCCGGCTCCTTCTTGTGTCACGGCCACAGAATGTGGGACTTCTGTGGCTGTCACTCCTCCCACTGTGCCTGCACATCTGAAACTTGTAATTTGGGGTTTTCTTGGGGGCAGTGGGGTACTTGGCAGTGAGCCTGGGCCACTTCTTGGTGGCTGCAGCTTGTTTTCATTGCCACTTTCCCATGAGCTCTTGGACAACTGCGGTTATCTCATGGATATCTTCAGGGCACGCAGTGGAGAAGGCTTGAGGGACTCCGCAGAGTGGGTGGCTGCAGCCCTCAGAATAATTCAGGTGGCATATGCTTTGTTGTTGCTCACCTTTAGGAAAGAAGGCTGCTGAAAGTAGGCAAAGGGTTCAAATCTCTTGCTCTGATAGCTGAAATCTGCCTGTAGCCCATAGGTGAGGCACTCCTAACTGCTGGAACAGTCTGTGTGGGCCTTGGGAGGGGAAGTGTGTTTGGGTGTTGGTGATCACCATCTGAAGTTGGTGAAGGTGTCTGAAGCTAATGAGTCTGCTTAGATAATCCCCTTCTCTAAAATATGAATAATAGACCTTCCTTCCATCACTGGCAAAATGTGAGGCCCCGAGACATTTGTGATTGGCTTTCAGTGAAAACTGGGACTAGGACCAGGCCGGAGTATCACATGCACGTCTCCTGAGTATGGCAGCTACTGTTATCACACAGATGAATCTCTTATTTATCTTGTCCCATGAAGTTTAAACTACAGGAAGGTGTGAACTTGTCCCCTGTATTGTTTGGAGTAACTGAAAACTCTCCTTTAGTCATTGGCAAAATAAAAGAAACTGAATCCAAGACAAATCTGCGTCAGCAAGGGGAGATTTAAGTCTATAAAGCATTCGTCTAAAATCTGTGAAGTGCTGATCTCTTGCAGATGCTGGCACCTTGCTTGTTTTTGGATATTAACTACCATTAAACCAAACAAACATACGATGTAAGTGAGCTGAAATTTCTTCTTGTTGATAAAGCAAGTAAAAGGGAGGAGAGAAATCCACAGCAATTTTTTGTCTTTGTGATATGACTTAGGCTCTGAGTGAGTGTAGGAGACTGACTGCAAAGGGTACCTTGAAGAGACTTTGATGTGAGTTGCAACAGAGAGGGACCATCTGTGTTGTTGGTTTTGGTTTTTGTTCTTCCTATTCCCTGTCGCCAGCTAAATATTAACATTGTTCCCCTTATGCTGACTGTAGCTGTGTGGTCATGTAACCACAAAAGGAAGTGTTTTCTATTGCATCTGTGAGGTGAATCAACTCAAATATACATAGACTTGTACTGTCCCAAAATCCAGTGCGAGGGAGTGAGCGGGAACATGCAGACAAGGAGAGAGAAGCATTATCCTGTTGCAGGGAGGTTTTGGGTTAGATTGGGTTAAACATATTATGAAGTATTGCCTCTCCTTTAGAATCTCTTGGGCTGCATCTCTTACCTAATTGAATTGGAGGGGCAGGAGAAGAGCCATCTTCACCCAGAACTTCCCCAGCATAGCGGTGTTGTGTAACTGCAGAGACATCTCGTGGCCAGTTGAGGAACAGCCTGAACCGTGTCCCTTGTTCAGGCCTCCAAGGTCCCTCAATTCTTAAATTACTGCGCTCAGCTATGGCGGTGCTAAGAAGCTGGAAATCTGATGAATTCAGAAACTGTAGTCACCATATAATTCTTGTGCTAAGAACTTCGGGTAACTCATCGTTGTGAGGAAATCCTTTTTCCCTATCAGCCTCAGGAGCAGCTGTGATCTAAGCTGGAAAGGGCAAATGATCTGGAGAGAATTTGGATGGCTTTATTTTACTTTTCCATTGTCCTGTGGCTGTGCTGGGCGCTCTGCAAACATTAAAAGAGCATCTGTCTTCTTCAAAGCACTTCTAATCTCGTTTGGATTTAGTGATCTCTCTTTTCTTCCTCTAGAGAACAAGGACCTGTTGTGCATGTAGGTGCTGTGAAAGCATCAGGAAATAGTTGTTATCATGAAGGACTTGGAGTAATAAAGGAGAGAATCTGAGTAGAATCCATTCAGTTGCAGATTATGCACAGCGACAGAATGACTGTCTTATTCTGAGAGTCATTTATGTCATGTAGCTCGAGGAGAAGCGAGTTAATAAGGGAGGAAACAGTGTTAGAGTAGGAGGTGAGCAGGAATTATTTGGTTGTTTAGATGTTAAAAATGCAAAGGCAGAAGGAGTGGAATTCAAATCCTTGAAATGATTGTTCTGCTTGTGTCAGTCACTGTTACTGATAGGTAGGTGTGGGCTTGGTTTTAACTGTACTGTAGCTTGCTGTTTGTGCTCGATTATCACATTGCCTTACTGATAAAATGAACTAAAGGAAGGAAAATAGTACTTTCCAAAGTTGGGAGGCTCAGAATACTCCTATCTCCTCCCTTCCTTGTCAATCCTATTGAAGAAGCTCTAGATGAGACTGCCTCTGAGTTAGTGTGCTTACCTGTAGAATTAGAGGTGGTGAGGAGCGTGCTGGAACAAGTGGGCTGCAAACAGAGAACAAAAGAGAAACAGTTATGAATATAAATAAGTACCAAAAACCTTTCTGAGCCAACAGGGAGTGAATGCAAGCGGTCCTCGGTTCACAGGCATCTCCTTTGCTTTTTCAGATCGTTGTAAGGAAGCAGATCGCCCGGAGTTTCCCCGCTGTGGCTGCCTGACCGCTGCTGAGCTACCCCTCCCAGCCCATGTGGCTCTCCCCATGCTCCAAGAGTGCAACTGGTGCCCAACGCAATGTGTGTTTGTCAAACCATGGAAGTGGGCAAGTATGGCAAGAATGCCACTCGATCCGGAGACCGGGGGGTCCTGCTGGAGCCTTTCATTCACCAGGTGGGCGGCCACAGCAGCATGATGCGCTACGACGACCATACTGTCTGCAAGCCCCTCATTACCAGAGAACAGCGCTTCTATGAGTCTCTGCCCCCAGAAATGAAGGAGTTCACACCTGAGTACAAAGGTGAGGCCGGTTGTCATTCCGGAATGCACTTACATGCTTCAGGAACCTGTCCTCTCCTTTTCTTGCAGCTACCGATGTTTTGCTCTCTCTTGGTGTCATTCTATTTGTTGTTTTTAATTCTCTTTTGCAGGCTAGCAGTTTGATAGGAACACTTGGAAAGGTGAAGTCTTTTTTTGTAGGCATGCAGAGTTTAATGTGCTCCTCTTTCTGGACGGAGTATATGCAATGTGACAGTTGTAGTCTGAACCGTAAGGTTATGGATGTGCAACTGATGTAACTTGACTATGAAGATACTGTCAATTACAGCCTTGACCTTGAGCAAATGAAGTTAGATCATATGCTGAGCATTTGCACATTCCAGTCCTGTAACTTACTGCTTCCTCATCCCATCTCTTTTATGGACCCGTATTGGAAAGCTGCTGAAGCAGGAAGCATTGCTTTCCCACTGCTGAGGTGAAGCCTTGTCCCCAGCCACTTTGAAGGAATGGAATTTTCCAGTGTCCCTATCATTGTAGGAGGTTTGGCAGCTCATCTGTATCTTTCAGAAGCTCGATGTGCTTTCAGCCCCATATGTTTGTACTCAGGATGGTGACACGGGCAGGTAGCTTTCTGGGGACTCGGCGTTCCTATTGCCTCTGCTGCTTTGTCACCGCGTGGCATTGGGAAGATGGTGCTTCCCAGGCAGCTGGGACCACCATCTGTTCAGGGTCTTGCCATTTGATCTGGTTGCAGCCCGAGGCTCTCGAAGCAGTGTCAACTTACCTACCTGTGTCTGTATGCAGGTCCTGAATGAAAGATACAGTCTGCAACAGACTGCTCCTCTTGTACCCTCAAGCCATTCTGGGGCCATACAGTGCTCTAGGGACCCACCAGAAGTCTCAGTTGAAGCCTGTGTAGTTACTAGAACCGATAGGATGTCAGGCTTTCCCTGGGAGATGTGTTTAAAACTGATGAAGCTGATAGTCCAGATGGAGACCTGTCTTCTTGAAGTCAGATACTTCCTGGTATCCTAGGATGTGCACAGGACATGCACCTCCACACCAGTGTGGGATTTCATGTGAGAGTCCCATGCGGTTTCCTGATAGTCCCAGAAATTGTTCCTCCTGGTCTGGGGGAGAGGAATATTTCCTGTCTGAACACTCAGATGTTACTGTAAGATTGCCCTTTCACAGAGCTATCTTGAGGAGCACGTCCAGGCAGCCAGAGCACTTGGACTGGTGTTGATGTAGTGACATGCTGGAGTTGTGAACTGCTCTGAAGTTGTGTTGAGCTGCCTGAACCTTGTTAGCGTTGTTATGTGCAGATAAGGAAAAAGGAAGGACAGTAACGTGATGGCCTGCATTAACTGAGCAGTGCAGGGTTTCCTCACATTTCTGGTGAATGATTTGATGCGGCTCGTCTAGCACCTGTTATTCCTGGCAGCTATGTAGTTCTGTGGACAAACCAATGAAAGACTTTTGTCATTGCAAGTTAGGAGCTGGGCTGATAGCCTCATTTTCAGGACTGAGGAAGTCCCAAAGATTAAGATGTCAGCCCTAGCTAGAAGTGTCAGCTGTCCTGCTCTGTGGTTGGCCAGCTAGATATATTCAGAGTCTTTGCTGTGAAAGGTATATACCTTCCCTTGGACTATGGTGCTTTCTAGGAGACTTCAGAAGATTAAACTGGACAAGACACAAGTGGTCCTTTGTGTCTGTACCTGGCTGAGGTAGTTTTGCTACTGAGGTCCCCTGTTCCTATTGCTAGGAAGGCCTGGGACCTTGTGCATCCCTTTTCTGTGAGACTGGCTGATATGTGGTGAGAGTGGCAGGTGTCACCTCAGCCCCAGAGCTCTGTACTTTATTTCTCAGAGGCTGGAAAGCTCTTTTAGCAGAGAAGGCACACTCTTCCTTGGACAGCGATGTCCTTGTTGACAGTAGGAATGCTTCTGCAGGACATAAGTACATACCCAAATAAGCTAGATATATATTTCATATGCTTTACCCCCCTCAACAGACTCTGCTTGACTTTCTCCAGTTTGACAACATTTGCTGCAAGACTGAATGGAAGGAAGTAATCCCACCCCTCAGCCTACCAGCTGCACTTTTGTCCTTAATTTCCTGTGGGTGGCAGAGCTTCCCCTGCTGCTGCTGTTTGCTCAGGTAGCGAGACAGAGCACTATTTGGGGGATTTCTCCTCTGTGCTGTGCTAATGACATTTGGGTTCTTGTAGTCTTAAACCTACTTTCATTGCTCTGGATTTGCTTTGCTGCTCTGAGAGCTGCATTTTCCTCTCTGCTGCTGAACATTTGGGTGCTAGCGGTTGTGTATTCCCTCCCTGGGGAAACAGAGCTGACATGTGGCTTCTCTCTGGCAGGTGTGGTATCTGTCTGTTTTGAGGGAGACAGCGATGGTTACATCAACCTGGTGGCCTATCCCTACGTGGAGAACGAGGCTCTGGAACAGGATGATATGCCAGAGAGGGACCAGCCACGACGCAAGCACTCGCGTCGGAGCCTTCACAGATCAAGCAGCGGCACTGAGCACAAGGAGGAAAAGCCTGGCCTAGCCAATGACAGCACTGAAAGGTAAAACTTGGAGGGCCTAGTGACAACATGAGCAGGAAATCTCTCTTCCTTCTTTCAGCTCTGGTGCTCCTTTTGTTGAGGTCATTTTTTTCACTTCCATACAGTGGCCAAGGCTGTGTTGCGCTTGCTAGCCCAGCACACTGTGGCACTGCAAACAGTGTCAGAAATTTTGCTGGGGTTGGGACAAAACTCATCCATGTGAAATGCTTTTGATGCTGGATAACCCTTGGCAATTTACTGGATGTGAAACCAAAGTGTGTGGAGCAGATTCAAACACTTCAATCCACCTGGTTATTAACCCAGAGATTTCTTCCAAGGGTACTTTGAATGTGGGTCTCTGCCTCCTCACACCAGCCAGAGGTCCCTGAGAAACAAATGTTCCTGCTTACTCTCATCTATTACAGTACAACCTAGCAGAGCTGTTAGATAGACCAGATGCTTGAGTGTGGGTCCACAGCCCAGGGCATTAGTGAGGGTTTGCCGTTAGGAAGGTTTGTGTTGTGTGCAGCAGGAGAAGGAACAGGGGATAGTTGTGTGCAAGGGGAGGGTGTGACAACATACTTACAGCGTAAGTATCTGGAGAATGCATGGATTCTAACTGGCCAAGTTTGTTCTGTCTTTATACCAGCAGCATCCAGGAAACGAAGAGTCCCAGGGTGGACTTGCACATCCATTCAGATGTTCCATTTCAGATGTTGGATGGCAACAGCGGTCTGAGCTCTGAAAAGATCAGCTATAACCCCTGGAGCCTGCGCTGTCATAAGCAGCAGCTGAGCCGCATGCGGTCAGAGTCCAAGGACCGAAAACTCTACAGTATCCTTTGGGAAACAGAACGGAGTGTGTCAGGTTGCTGCTGCCGCCCTGGCCTCGCCCGTTTGTGCCTGAGGCAGCTGGGCCTGCGTTTCCTTTTGGCTTTCCTACCCTTCACACAACCAAAGCTTTATTACATGTTTGGTTTTACTGTTCCTTCTGGCTGCCCGTACAGTGGCCCCCGTGTCTGACACTGATGCTCAGGGGAGCCATGTTTCTGACGATATCCCATGTTTTCTTTCTTGTCTGGGTCTTCTCTTCAGCTTGTGTTTTGAATTGTAGTTTTTCATGTCAGGCTTTGCCCGGCAGCAGATGCAGGTCCACCCTGTTCAGTAATCCCTTGGGATTTGTCCTCGTCCCCTGTGTTTGTGCTTGTCACCTTTCTTGAGCCTCTTCCAGTTCCACAATATCCTCCTGGAGACAGTGACCAGAACTGTACACAATACAGAACATGCAGGTAAATGAGAGATTCCCACTGGTGTTTAATGCTGTTGTCTCTCCTCTCCCTCATAATTCCTACGCAGTCTCTGGTTATAAATGTTATAAATTATAAGTCTTTTGTTATAATTTTTGAAAGTTACCCGAGATCCCACTCCTGGCTGGTAAAAGTTGCCTCAAAACACATTGCTTTATGCATTAAGAATCTTTTTTTTCTCCTTATGTTTATTATCTTGCATGTAAACTTTAGCGAATTTTGCCCACCCACTTAATGGCCAAGTCAGTCTCATAAGGTCCTTGTGGGGTTTTTCCACAGCTGTTCCGCATTTTTGTAGCCTTGAGTAACTTAGTAGTTTGAGCCAATTTGTCATCTCACTGTTCACTCACTTCTCTGGATCACTGGTTGAACAGCATGGATCTCCACACAAAGAACCTGCTGGCAACTTGGTCTGCAAGACCAGGCAGGCTAGTCTGTAGTTCCCCCGATCTCCACAAATCAGCGTTGTGGTAGCCCCTTTTCAGTCTCCTAGTTTTAAGGCAGTGTTAAATGAGTTACACATCTCTTACTTTCTGTTTGATATCTGATCTCTTCTCTTGGCATTTTGGTTTGAGATTTCTCTGAATTTGGAAAAAGAGTTCTGCCCTGGGAATCCCCCCAAGATCTTCCCCTGTAAATAAAGCAGCAAAATATTGATCTTATTTTTCTTTTTAGGGGGTCTCTTCATGCCCCCCCAGCCCACCCACCACCCCTGTAGCTCCTTTTTGTCTTTAAACTCTTCAGGCAGTCTGACTGGCTTCATCATATGGTTAAAGATGGATTTGTTACTTTCTGTGCAGATGACTCCTTATGCTTTTGTCTTGAACTTGCCAGTTTGTGGGGTTCTTTCGTTTCACCTTCTGGAACTCGATTCTGTTTTCCTCACATAGAAACAAACTTACTTTTAATAGCTGTATTCTTCACCATTTTAACTGTGTGAGCTTCCTTTTCCTATTTTCAAATGTGTGCTTTGAGCCTCCAGCATTTATTTTTAAATAGCCTTCATCATTTCCAGAGAAGTAATTCTCTTTGGCTGTCCTTTTTAATCACACTTCCTTATTTTTACAAAGTTCCTCTTTCAAAATCAACCATAGTGGATGCTAGATTTTTCCAAATGTTAAACTTCCTTCCAGGTTTAATCTAGTTGTGCTCTGGTTGCCATTTCAGCATAACACATTGAACCGTGCCCTGCAGGGCTGCTTAGAGGGCAAACTTTGGGGTGTTTTTTTTTCCCCTCTGGGACAAGCTGCTGCACTGATTGTTCCGGGTTTTTCCCCGGCTGTGCTCGAACAGAGGGTTTGCCCGTGGCGCGTGTGGGTAATCGGAGGCTCCCGTTGTGTTTCTGCCTTTGTAGCCTCCCTGGTTTCCCCCCTCTGCCGGGCAGTGTTGCTGTTCAGGCCCATAGCAACAGTGCTGTGCTGCTACCTGAGCCTTGAGTCTTCCGTCCGTGGGGATTGCATTGTTTATCCGTAGGGTTAAATTGCTAATTTGATTAGACTTTAAGCTCTCCCTTAACTTATCAGCAATTCTTACTAGCATACTGTGTCTTTCCTGACACTGGTATTTTGCTCTTCGGTCCCCCCCTCCTGAGTTTCCAGTACGCTGGCATGTGATCTCCTTGCTTACTTTTGGCAGATTCCAGGCTGATTTCTGCCACCAGCTGTCAAAGCCTGGGCACCACTGTTGAGGTTTTGTCCTTTTCTTCACCTCCTCAACCAGTTCATTCTCTGTTCTTTGGTTCCTATTTGTTCGTTGCCTGACCCTATCTCATGCTGGCCCAAGTCTCTGTGCAGTGACCCTGGGGAGCAGTGTCCCTGCCAGCTGAGCTCTCCTTGACGCCTCTCCCAGAGTTCCTTTTGCTGGAGAACGTGGTGCATCACTTCAAGCTTCCCTGCGTGCTTGATCTGAAGATGGGGACCAGGCAGCATGGAGATGACGCGTCTGAGGAGAAGGCTGCTCGGCAGATGAAGAAGTGTGAACAGAGCACTTCTGCCACCTTGGGCGTGCGTGTGTGTGGGATGCAGGTAGGGATCCCCAAGGCTGCAGGTGCTGCACGTTCCTTTTTGCAGCCCCATGAGACCTCCCAGTTAGTGTTTTCTGCTGAGCACTGAGTTACAGAGTCTCCCGCTTCAGGTAGGTACAGCAGTGTTCATGGTACATGCTTTTTGTCTCCGTTTCTAAGCCTAGAACAAAGGAACCTGCTTCTCCTGAGATGACCTGCTTCATCCAAGCTGTTTTGTTCACAGACAACTAGGGGATTTTATAATAAAATTATTTTTGTGGCTTAGTGTTTAGCTAGAATCATGGTGCCTGGGGAGGGAGGTGTCACTCCGTCCCAGCATCAGCTGGTATTTGCTTCTCTACTGTATTGAGAGTTAAAAAGTGGCTCTTGTGGCTGGGCTCTGCGCACAATGGTTTGCTGCTGGTGCTGTTGGGCAATAGTTATTCTTTTCCCCACCCGCAGAAGGATCTTGTAATCCAGATCTCTGCCCGCAGACTGAAGCAATGAGGGCCCCTCATTAATCCAGTGCCACATAATGACGACAATATGTGCCGGCAGCTCCTGCTGCCAGAGGATTGTCTGAGCTGCTGTAGGACGTTGCTTTTCAAGCCTCGGGGGCCTGTTGTGCCATGCCTCTCGGGGACGCTTGGCCTGCTGAGCTGCCTTTTGGGTGTCCTGGGAGAGAACCAGTGCTGGGGAGCCCTCACTGTGCCCATGGGATGCACCCATGAGCTGCTTTGGGATTCGGAAAACAGGCAGAGCTCCTTCCCGCCTCCCTCTTGCGCGTGGTGGGGACAGAACAAGTTCCCCCTGCCCTGTCAGTGCAGGGCAGCTCGGGGCTTTCTGCGTGGCCTTCACCTCTTGCTCCCACTTGATGTGCGTTTCCTTTGGTGCTCTAGGTCTATCAGCTGGACACAGGGCATTACTTATGCAGGAATAAATACTATGGACGTGGTCTTTCCATCGAGGGCTTCCGCAATGCCCTCTACCAGTATCTCCACAACGGCATTGAGCTGCGCAAGGACCTCTTTGAGCCTGTCCTCGCCAAACTGCGAAGCCTGAAGGCAGTTTTGGAGAGACAGGCCTCCTACCGCTTCTACTCCAGCTCCCTTCTCATCATTTACGATGGGAAGGACAGCAGGGCAGGGATGTTTGTGGAGCGCCGGCCGGAGATGCGCCTGAAGCGGGTGGACAGCTCTCTCCCGGAGAGCCTTCAGGATGGCGGCAGCACAGAGCCCGGCTCCTCGGCCCAGCCCAAGGTGGACGTGCGTATGATTGACTTTGCACACAGCACGTTCAAAGGCTTTCGCGATGACCCCACTGTGCATGACGGACCCGACATGGGTTATGTATTCGGGCTGGAAAGCCTCATCAACATCATGGAACAGATGCGTGAGGAAAACCAGTAGCCCTGGGCTACAGCCTCTTCTTCTTGTCCTGGTGGCAGGAGCAGACGAGACTACCTACTACCACAGGCAAAAAGCAGACAACTTTGGTTTTAAACAATTGTATTGCTCCGTTGTTTTTAAATGTACTGGGATAGAAGAGCTGAGGGGAGGCAGGATGGAAGAGCTCCTCGTGCTGACCGGGTGGTTCTGACTGCACAAGCTCTGCCTTCTGGAGGAGGCTCCGTCGATGCCTGCTGGGTGTCGGGCGTCCCGGTTCTTCGCTCGTCGCGTGTGCGTTCTGGAGGGAGGACCTGGATGTGGGGAAGAGAGAGCAGGAGAGTCCAGGGCTCAGGGGTGGGGGTGGGGGGGCTGGAGCTGTGGTGTGAGGAGCTCTGCTGCCTCGGGAGCCCCCGGGAGAGCCTTCCCTTTGGAATTCTCCCGAGTTAATTGGCAAGGGTGCTCGGCTAACAGTCGGCAGGCTCTGTGGCGCTGACGGTGAGCAGCACAAGTCCTGGTCCCTGCTTTAGCTCTGCCCTGGGTGTCTTGCCGAGATGGGGCTTTGCTTTTGATGCTGCCTTTTTCTGCTGTTTGGGCACTGTGAGTAACCAACCCAAGCACGGAAATAACATGACCAAATGCAACCCCTGGCAGAGCTGCGGCCGGGAGGGAATGCCGCAGCCCTGGCGTTGTGCTGGGGCCCGGGGCCTGCTCGCTCTGCCCCCGAGGGGCCGGCACAGGGCCCTGGGCCACCGACCAAGCAAGAACTCGGCTCACGGGCTAGCAATAGTATCTGTAGCAGTTAACGTGACCCCAGCAGACAGCGGGGCCTTTCGGACCATTTCAACCCTTCCCGTTGTGTCGTGTCGGTCCCACAGGCTCTGGGCGAGTGCGTCCCTCCAGCGCGTGGCTGGCCCCGGCCCCGCAGCCCCCGCTCCTCCGGCGGGTCTGGGCATGGGGGTGGCGAAAGGGGAGGCCCAGAGTTGGGGCTGACCCCCCCCGCCCCCCTTCTCCTCCCTGAGGGCCTCCGGGGGGGCAAGTGAGGGGGGACCTGGCTGAGCGGTGAGTGTCATCTCTTGACTGTTTAGCTTTGCTTCACCGAGTCCCTCTTTCCCTCAATACCTGACCAGGTGGTGAATAAAAGAGCCAGCTGGGATGTGCTGTGCTGCCTGGGCTCCCTCCCCGAGCTGGTGCTTTACCCGCGGCTTCCCTTGACGAGGGCATTAACATTTGATACTGTGGCCTAGTGGTACCGAGCTGTACCCCCCACCCGCATTACTCCCCCCGTGTTTCTGTGCTGGGACCCCCGGTTGCTCCCTCCCTTGTGTCACTGACTTGTTCCATGGTGCCCTGGCTGCCTCTGAAACTGTGTCCCTGCAAGGCCAGGCTTGGGTTTGTTTGGGTTTTGTTTTGTTTTTTTGTTTGGTTGGCTAGTGGTTTTTGGTTGGTTTGTTTTTTTGTGTGTTTTTTTTTTGTTTTGTTTTGTTTTTGTTTGTTTGTTTGTGGTTTTTTTTTTACTTTAAGAAAGCTTGGTTGGGGGATACTCGCATGTAGCATGTGTGCCGACTCTTGTGTGTGCACGGTCTGGTTGGAAAGTGTTCGTGCTCGGCTGGTGCCCGGCTGTGGCCGCCCCAGCGGGCGCGGGGCTGCGGCAGGGAGGGTGGAAGGGGGGCCGGGGCAGTGCCAGCTTTGTCCCAAATCGTACCTCTACCCTTTTCCCACTCTCTCACCTATTCCAAAGCTTGCCCGAGCCACCGCTCCGCCGGGGCTCTCCAGGCCGGGACCTCGGCGGCTGCCCGGCTTCGGGGGGAGCCCCGGGTACCGAGAGCAGCCGCCCCGCAGCCCGCCCTGTGCATGTCCTTGTCCCCACCCCGGGGCGGGCGCAGGGCCCTTCCTCCGGGGGAGCACCTCGGGCCCCCCCCAGCGCTGACTCCCGCCCTTCCTCTTCCTCGCCGGGGCCGGGGCTCCCCTCCCCCTTCGGACCACCGCGCTAGGACTCCGCAGCTTGTACATAGCCTTGACCCCCCCCCCCCCCCCCCCGTTTGTTTTTACATGAATAATCACCTTGTTTGTGCTTCACAGAGAACCAAAAACCATTAAAGGATCCGTTTTTGTCCGTGGTGTGCCGTGCCTGCCTTAGCGCGCCCGGGGCGGGGGGTGATGTCAAGTCCCTTTGCCCGCCGTCTGCTGCCGTCCCGCCCCGTCCCTCCCCTCGGGCCGGGCCGCCTGCCGCAACCACCGGACCGCGCAGCTCCCGGGGCGGGGCGGGCGGGGGGGGGGGGCGGTGGGACCCGGGACGGGGCGGTGGGACCCGGGGCGGGCGGGGAGGGGCGGTAGGACCCGGGGCGGGGGCGTGTCTGGCGGCCGTGACGCGGAAGGCGCGCGCGGCGCTGACGTGTCGGCGCGGGCGCGGGGCGCGGCGGCGGGGGGGGATGCGGGCGCTGATCCTGGTGGGCGGCTTCGGGACGCGGCTGCGGCCGCTGACCCTGAGCCGGCCGAAACCGCTGGTGGAGTTTTGCAACAAGGCGCTGCTGCTGCACCAGCTGGAGGCCCTGCGGGAGGTGGGGGCGGCGTGGGGGGAGGGGGGGGGGGGATGCGGGGGGGGGGCCGCCCAGCCGCCGGCTGACCCGCGGTCCCGCAGGCCGGTGTCAGCCATGTGGTGCTGGCGGTGAGCTACATGTCGGAGGCGCTGGGGGCCGCCATGCGGGAGCAGGAGCAGCGGGTAAGGGCCGTTCCCCCCTCCCCAAAGCCCCCCCGCAACCCGCCCCGCAGCCGCCGCTCACCCTGTGCCCGCAGCTCGGCATCCGCATCTCCCTGTCCCACGAGAAGGAGCCGCTGGGCACAGGTAGGGTGCGGGCAGGAGGGACACACACACACGCACACAGAGGGGTGGGTACGGGTGGGGTTGGGGGACGCTGGGAATGGGTCACCGAGGGTGGGAGGGTGTGGGTGACATGGGGACACGTGGGAGGAGGCCGCCACGGACAGCAGTGTGGGTGTGGGGAGGACTGGGGGCACCAGGCTCTGTATGCCAGGATGGGCACAGGCAAGGCGAGAGGGACGGCAGGAGCTGGGTGACAATCCGGGGGGACCTGGGGTGCCAGTGGGGAGCAGGGACACTGGGACGGGGGCAGCTGGGGCCGGGGAGGACCCGGGCACTGGGCTCACCCCGTCCCTGGGGCGTCACTCACGGCCGGGCAGCGGGGCCGCTGGCGCTGGCGCGGGACCTGCTGGCCGAGGGCGGGGAGCCCTTCTTTGTCCTCAACAGCGACGTGATCTGCGAGTTCCCCTTCGTGGCGCTGGCCCATTTCCACCGGCAGCACGGCGGCGAGGGCTCGCTGGTGGTGACCCGCGTGGAGGAGCCGGCCAAGTACGGCGTGGTGGTGAGCGAGGCCGACACCGGCCGCATCTGCCGCTTCGTGGAGAAGCCGCGCGTCTTCGTGTCCAACAAGATCAACGCCGGGCTCTACATCTTCAACCCCGGCATCCTGCAACGCATCCAGGTACGGGCCGGGGCACTGGGCTGCGCCAGGCTGGGGGGCCGGGCCCCCCGCTCAGCCCCGTGCCACGTCCCCACAGCTGCGCCCCACTTCCATCGAGAAGGAGATCTTCCCGGCCATGGCGCAGGAGGGGCAGCTCTACGCCATGGAGCTGCAGGGTAAGGCCCTGCGCATGGTGCGGGCAGCACGGAGATGGGGGGTGGGGGGTCTCGCCTGCGCTGCCACCCCCGTGCTGGGGGCTGCCACCGCGGCTCTGTCCCCGCAGGCTTCTGGATGGACATTGGGCAGCCAAAGGACTTCCTTACGGGCATGTGCATGTACCTGCAGGCGCTGCGGGCTCAGCACCCCGAAAAGCTGCACTCGGGGCCCGGTGTCGTAGGGAACGTGCTGGTGGTAAGTGCCAGCCCCCAGCACGCCGGGCACGCGCCCCGGGCTCTCCGCGTCCTCCCGCCGCTGTCCTCGCTGCCGTCCTCGAGCTGTGCCCTCCTGTCCCCACGCTGGCCAAGTGGCCCCGGCGCAGCCCCTCTTCCTTCCAGGACCCCAGCGCCAAGATTGGGGCAAACTGCGTCATCGGCCCCAATGTGACGATCGGGGCCGGCGTGGTGGTGGAGGACGGCGTGCGCATCAAACGCTGCACCGTGCTGAAGGGGGCCCGCATCCGCTCCCACTCCTGGCTGGAGTCCTGCATCGTGGGCTGGAGCTGCTCCGTGGGGCAGTGGGTGAGGACGTGGGTGCCCCCGCGGGGGGGATGGGGGCTCAGCTCTTCCCGTCCTGCGGCCCAAAGGATGGAGGGATGCACCGGCGCCTGCGGGCGGGAGCGTGGTGCCAGGCCCCGAGCTGGGGCAGGCGTGACGGGGCCTCTCCGGGGCAGGTGCGCATGGAGAACGTGACAGTGCTGGGCGAGGATGTCATCGTCAACGACGAGCTCTACCTCAACGGGGCCAACGTGCTGCCGCACAAGTCCATCGCCGAGTCTGTGCCAGAGCCGCGCATCATCATGTAGCAGCCCCTGGTGGGCCCTGCACTCCCGGCCCTGCTTGGATTAAATATTTATATTTCCAGCTACTGCTGAGCGTCAGTCTGAGTGTGGCCCGAGCACTGGGTCGCTCGCCAGGGCTGGCCTGGCTTCCCCTCCCCACGTCTCAGGGCACCACATAAGGAAGAATAATTTAATGCTGCATTTCACGAAGTCAGCCCCCAGCCAGGGGCAAGTTAACAGCCCGAGCGCCCAGCCCGGCCCCCCTGCCCCGGCCCCGGGGCTGCGACGGAGCCGAGACCTCGGGCTCCCCTCCCTGAGAACAGCCCGCGGGGCAGAGGGGCTGCCGCGGCCCAGGCGCTGGGCGAGGGGGACGCTGGCCCCCGAGCCTGGCATCGGGCCTCTCCCTCCCTGCAACCCCCCAGCCCCACGCTGCGGCCCCACGCTGGGTCTTGGGCAAGGCGAGCGTTTGGGGAGAAGCCGGTGTGCGGCGGGGGGGGGCCACCCCCCTCAGCGGGGGGAGCCCGGGGTGTGGGGCTGGGCGCTACGAGCTGGCTGGCTTGGTGAAGTCGTCCACCCCAGTGATGGTGGCCTTGCAGAAGAAGCAGTCCTTGTTGTTCATCAGGTGCTGGTTGATGCAGGCTCTGGGACAGAGAGGAAAGAGCGTGAGCTCCCCCTGCACGGCGCGGGGTGGGGCCAGGGGTGACAAGTCACCCAGGCTGGGGGGGGTTGTGCACGGGAGCTACTCACTTGCATGACTTGTGGGAGCAGGGTCTGAAGATGGCTGAGATGGGGTGTGCGTAGCAGATTGGGCACAGGTCTTCCTCGCTGGTGGGCTGTGGGGGGGGACACCAGGCTGTCAGTGGCGGCAGCAAAAGCCCCGTGGCCCAGGGCAGCTGTGCCGGCAGCCGGGGCTGGGGGGACCAGGCCGGGGGGACTCACCAGCGTGGTGGCAGCCGCCTGCTTGGACTCTTCGCTCAGGTGGCTCAGCATCTTGTCCACCTTTGCCAGCTCCTCGGCACTGATGTAATCGGTGTCTGTGGGGACAAACCGGGTGTGCGTGGGGTGAATGTGACCCTCAGGCTGGCCCGAGGCTGCTGCGTGACGCTGCAGCTGCCCTCGGGGACCAGCCAGGACAGGGGACCTGGTGCCAGGGCCAGGGAGCCCCACGCTGGGGGCAGCAAGCTGGACACTGGGCACCGTGAAGGGACGAAACTGCTGCTAGAAGCGGGCACTGGACACAGCCCCAGCCCAAGTGCCATTGCTGGGGGGGCAGCGTGGGAGCCACAGACCCTTGTCCCCAGGCCTAAGGGGGCTGGGATGTGTCGCAGATGCCAGCAGCCCCATTTCCCCCCACCTCCCCATCCCAGCCGTGGCCAGGGGGTGAGCGCAGCCCAGCTCCCAACGCCGTGCCGACACTTACAGGTGTGCAGGGAGAAATGGCGCTTGTCCGTGGCCGGGGCGGCAGCCGCCAGGGCCGAGGGCTCGGCGTGGCCCAGCAGGTACTGGATGGAGCGCAGCTGGAAGCAGGGGTCCGCCAGCAGCACTGCTGTCGCGCGCTCGGCCCTGCGAGGGGACACAGTCAGGCCTCTGCCCCGGGTTCAACCCACCCTGCGGTCACCAGGCCACCCGGCCGCGTCCCCAGCCGGCGAACCTCCCCGGCTCCTGGCAGCATCGAGCTGGGGAAACACACTCAAACGCAACCCAAGGGCAGCAGCCCTCCTCCTCCTCCTCCTCCTCCTCCTCCTCCTCCTCCTCCTCCTCCTTCTCCTCCGCCACCCCCGCTCAGCGGCCCGGAGGATCGATACGGTGCATTAGCACTGGCTGAGGCTGCAGCCCTCGCACACCGGTGCCGGGCTGAGCCTGGGGAGCTGCAGAGCGACCAAAGCAGCTCGCGCTACCCTCACTTGACAGCACTGCAAGGGTAAAAGGAGAGATGCCACGCAGGAGCCTCATGCCGGGGGCTGCTCTCCCAGCCCCCTGCCCCAAGGAGATGGTTCAAGGTTGGCCCCCCAGGCAAGCGGGTGCCCCCACAAGGCAGGAGGGATCTCTCCTTGGCTTCAAGCATCAGTGGGGGCAGCCAGGACAGATGAAGGGCACCTTAATGAGCATCTCCACCAGGCAGCAGTGCCGTGGCCTGCTCACGGCCCTTGGCAATGGGCAGAGCGGGCTCTGTGGCCGGCCCTCGGGCAAGCACAGCCGCCCGGCCGCAGGAGGCGAGAAGCCCGGCGGCGCCTGGGCTGGGGCGCAGGGGGTTAACAGCCCCTTGCTGTGCCGCAGCCGCCGCCGCCAAATGAGCTTTTTGCTGCCCTAATGGAACCCAATTCCTCAGCCCAGCTTTCCGCTTCCCACTAACGCGCCCGGGCTCTGGGCAATGACATTCCTGCGCGTCCTTCACCCTGTGGCCACCCCCTCCCTGCCAGCACCCCGTCTGCCGTGGGGGGACCCCAGTGGGCTCAGCTGGCCCCACTCACCCCACGGCTGAGAGAGGAGGGGGGGGGGGAAGTCCCTGCCAGCTCAAGCAGGGGATGCTGAGGGTGAGAGCAGCGGGAAGGTGCGTGACCGGGTGTTGAGCAGTGAAAGGGGAGGGGGTGGGGTGTCTTTTGAGGGAGGACGAGGGGGGTGGGGCATGATGGCCACCCTCCCCGCTCCCGGCGTGGGTGCAGGAGTGCCCATGAAGGGGTCCCAGAGGTGCCGATGGGGCGGGTTTATTCCCGCACCCTCCGGAGGCTGGGCAGTGGCAGAGCTGCCGGCTGAGGTGGCCGTTCTGCAGCGAGGGGGGACGGCGGCTGCGCACCGGTAAGGCCGGAGGGTCGGCGAAGTGCCCCCCCCCCCCAACTCCCCGGGGTGGACAAGCGACCGCGAGGGGCCGGTGCCGGTTGCGCCTTGCCCTGCCCACTCGCAGGACGGTTAGGGTGGGCCACGGCCACGGTCACAGCCACGGTCACGGCCACCACTCCCCGCGCCGCGACCAATGGGATCCCGCCCGGCCCACACGCCGCGCTCCGCCAGCGCGTAAATAGGGGCAGGAGCGGGACGGCGAGCCCGCAGCGAGCCCGGCTCCCCGGGAGATGCCGGCCGGGAGGGAACCGGGCACCGGCCGGGGTTCACCGGGGGCCGGGGCATGTGGGGCTGTGCCGCGGCAGCGCTGAGCCCGGAGAAACTTCACGCTCCAGGGACTCGCGGCTGCGAGAGGCAACGAGGCGTTTGCCGAGCCCGAAACGCAGCCCCGGGAACGCTGGAGCGCCTCAGCCCCCCGATGCCAGACACCGGCTCCCCCCCACGGGTGCTGGGCAGCCCACGCCTGGCCGGAGCGCAGGTACGCGGCGTGAGGCGCGGCGGGGCCGGGCAGGGCGATGCTGCCCTTTAACTCCTTTCAAGCCCCACGGCTGGAATTGGGATCCTCCTTTGCGGGGTGCAAAGGGGTGGATGCTTGGTAGGGCCGCCCCGCCCCCCCCCCCCCCCCACCAAGCCAGCACGGGGAGAGACCGGGGAAGACCACAGCACGTTTTGTTTGTTTGTTTGTTTTTTTTTTTTTTCTCCCGCGTCCTGTCGAGCCTGGCCGTGCCGCCGGGCTGCGCAGAGGCTCCCGCCCGGCACGATGTCCCCACGGGTGGCCACGGCCCCGCTTTGGGTGCGGGTGGCGAAGCTGCTGCTGCTGCTGCCGTGGGGCCCCGGCCGCTCTCCCCACGCCGCCCCGCCGCCCCGCAGCTGCCCCGCCGCCTGCATCTGCACCTCCGACCTGCTGAGCTGCAGCCGGCAGACGCTGCAGCGCGTACCCCGGGCGCTGCCACCCACCGCCACCACGCTGGACCTCAGCCACAACGCCCTCACCCAGCTCCGCGACCGCTGGCTGGCCGCCCTCCCGCACCTCGAGGCTCTCCACATCAGCCACAACCAGATTAAGGACCTTTCTCCGCAGGCTTTCCACAATGCCTCCTACCTGCGGCACCTCGACATGTCCTCCAACCACCTGCACGCCGTCGAGACGCACTACTTCGACGCGCTGGTGAGCTTGGAGGAGCTGCTGCTCTACAACAACCGCATTACGCGAGTGGATGAAAACGCCTTTGCCAAGCTGAGCGGCCTGCGGAAAGTCTACCTGAGCTGGAACAACCTGACCACCTTCCCCTTCCACTCGGTGCAGGGGCTGGGAAACTACAGCCTCCGCACGCTGGACCTCTCCTCCAACAGCCTGAGCAGCATCCCTGTGGACGAGCTGGCGGTTCTGCCCGAAAACATCGGGAACGGCTTGTACCTGCACAACAACCCCATCAGGTGCAGCTGCCCTCTCTACCTGATGCTCCAGCGCTGGAAGCAGCGAGGTTTCAGCTCTGTGAAGGATTTCTTCGAGGAACACACCTGCAAGGTGTCCGACAGCGTGCCCCGGTCCCTGATCAAGTTCCTCAAGTACAGCCACATGTTTGAGAACTGCTCGGCAGGCCCCGAAGATGTGCACCCCGTGCCCTTCCCCGCGATGGTGGGCCAGGCCCTCCTGCTCGCCTGCAACACCAGCCTGCCGGCCGTGGCCACCACCTACATGTGGATCTCCCCTCACCACGAGCCCATCAAACACCCGGGGAACAGCAACCGCTCCTTGGAGGTCTACCGCAACGGCAGCCTGAAGATCGCAGTGGCCAAGCCCTGGCACTCGGGGGTCTACGTGGGCTTGGCCATCAACAGCCCCCACAACTTCAGCAGGTTGTGCGAGGTCAACGTGACGGTCCACTACCCCAAGCCGGACGGGGAGACCTTCAGCACCGGCCTCACGACCCTGCTGGGGTGCATCGTGAGCCTGCTGCTCGTGCTCATGTACTTGTACCTCACGCCCTGCCGCTGCCTGAGCTGCTGCAAGAGGCCGGCTCCTCTCAGCCCTCCGCAGGAGTGCAGCGCCCAGTCCTCCATCCTCAGCGCCACTCCCCCCGCCACCGACGGGCCAAACCGCAAGGCCAGTGCCAACAAGCACGTGGTCTTCCTCGAGCCCGTCAGGGAGACGCAGAACGGCAAGATCCGCCTGGCCCTCGGCGAGGACTTCCCCGACCCCAAGCACCCCAAGGTCCTGCAGCTCAAGTCGGACTCGGAGTCCATCAGCTCCGTCTTTTCGGACACCCCCATTGTGTCCTAACGGGGTAGAGCTGGGAGCAGAGCCAGGGCCTGCCAAGAGCTCTTCTCCTCCACCGTTGCTAGAAGCAGGATTATCGGGCACCTCGAATTCCTGGCTTGACCGCGACCCATGAGGGTGATCGGCATCACCCACAGCTGCTTCAGCCATGAGCTCCTGGTGGGTTTTGGGCCGGGGGCACACTGGTGCCCGGCAAGAGCTCCTTGCTTAAGCCATGCAACGGCCTCGTTAGCACAAGGGCAAGGCTGACGAACCCAGCACACCTGAGAAACCCCCACTTCATTTGGGCAGCCAAACTCACCCGCTGGGGCCAGCGCTCTGCCACGTCCCCGGCACACGAGAGCCAACCCAGCACCAGCGCCGCGGATCCCCAGGCCAAGGAAGAGCCGTGACAAGCAGGGCACTGTCCTCGCTCGTGCCAGGGCCCCCGGGGATGGCGGTGCCATCGTCCCCTCCTAGCCTGTGCCAGTCCCCATCAGCACACCGTGGTGGGGAGGGGGGGAGTGTGGCCCCGTCACAAGGCAGGTACGTGCCCCCTTCCCAAACGTGGCCACTCAGGAGGGACAGAGCTCAGCACCTGCCCAGCCATGCAACCAAGCAAACGTTACAAGCTTTTGCTTCCCGAGAAGCTGTAAATAGTCAAGGCAGGATTAGGTGACGCGATACAGCGCCCCGGCCCGCATTGCTCAGAGCTCCCCGTGCCACCAAGGACGATGAGGTCTCGGATGCACCACCCTCCTTCGCTGCTTCTCCCTGAGGCGGACAAGCGCGCTGCTAAAGCACAGCTATTTAGGCAGTAATCTAATAAGCCTATCGATAAATGTGAGTAATCCTCTCCTCTCTTGGGTCGTAATTCTCTAGTTACATTGGGAATAAAAATGCCTATTTTTTTAAGCTTATGCTGGGCTGAATGTCTCCTTGCCCTTGCAGGGCAGCGGCACGCAGCCACCCTGCAAGCCCTGGGCACAGCAGTGGGGGTCTGAGGGAGCCCCGAATTCCCACAGGCCGGGCACACGGAGCTGGGTGATTCGCACCGGGCTTGCAACCTCTGTTCCCATCAAACAGCGTTAGAGTGGCCCCGACAAGGGGCTTAAATGTGCCGAGACTGAGCTGGCAGCCTGGGGCTGGTTTGAGAGGAGCATCCAGTAGCTTGTCCCCAGGAGGGCAGGTCTCTGAAGTGATGCCTGGGAGCTGGAGAGGGAGCAGAGCCAACTGACACAAGGACACATCCAGACCCCAAAAGGGCCACGCAGGCTTTAGATGCAGGGCAGAGGCACTCTGGGGAGACCTGCTTGGGATGGGACTGGCCCTGTCTTTGGCCAAGTGCCGGTGCCCTCTGCAGTTGTGGTCCCCCACACCTCACTGGGTGCCTGCACTGCTCTCTCCAGCACCCAGTCTTGCACCGCCCTGGCCCAGGGAGCAGCTCTGCACCCCCATAATACCTGCCTGAATCCCCCAGAGGGATAAGGGTGTCCCCCACATCTGCCGGCCACCATCGTCCCGCCCGCAGCCGGGGCAGGAGCGTGTGGCAGAACAAGGGAGGTCGGGGCCACTCTGCTGGCAGGAGCACAGCTCAGACACAGCCCAGGCAGAGCAAACAGGGACCAGGACCCTTCACAGCCCTTCCCCCAGCCCGCAGTCCCCTCCATGGCCGTGTGCCCCAGCCCCAAGAGCTGCTGGCAGCCCTGTGACCAGAGGGAGGGGAAGGTCCCTGCGGCACCGGGACAGCGCCAGCACCCATCCTTCAACTTTTTCAGCCAGGGAACAAGCAGCCTTTTGCCCAGCAAAAAGTCAACGGTTCCCAAAGCACTTGTCGGAAAGCCCCTACCCAGCCAAGGAAGGGAGAGCGGTTGGGAGAGCAGCCATCCTGAGGCAACCGCAGCCTCCCTCCTGACACCGACCTTGCGCGCAGGCTCACGCGACGCGTGCTCTGCTGCCACGTGCCCCGCGCCCTTGCACCCGCCGCTGCCGGCCCCGTTGCCCAGGGGATGCCGAGCCGGCCACGCTGGGGTGCTGCCGGGGGGCGACAAGGTGCTTCAGTCTTGGACTGATAGGTGAGTGGCACCCTGCCCCTTGAGGATGGAGCTGAGGCGATGCCATCCCCTGGCTCTGCGCCCAGGCAAAGATCGCATGGGAAGAATGGTTTGAATTTGCCCTGGGAACACCTGGGAAAGAGAAGAGACCCAGCCGAGAGCGCCCAGGTCCAAAGCTGATGAAGGCACTGCCCTGAGCGTGGCCCGCGCTTGCCGAGGCGGTGCTGAGCCCGTGCCGGAGCACCCAAACACTGAATCTTCCTCCAAAAGGAAAGGTGAAGTGGTGCTCCAGGCTCCAGCGCCCGGAGTGAGTGTTATCCACCCACTGATCTTCTGTCGCCGTCCTTGTAGGACTCCTCACAAACCTCCCCCCTCCCCGGCGCCAACATCAGCTTCCAAAGCATTAGTGCTCCTGCAAAGCTGCATCCTCAGCTGAGGCTAATGACTGAAGCTCGGGGAAAGCTCAGGCCAACTGGAGTGTAAGAAAAGCTCCCGAGGGCCTCTCTGAGAAACCCAGGAGTGCTCTTCTAGGCTGGCTGCAATTCTCCTACCCCTGCAGGAAGGCTGAGCCCACTGTGCTGGGGACGGCATAGCTGAGGTTTGTGCCTGCGCTGCCCCCAAGGGCTCCCCGCTCCCTTTACCCAGGGAAAGCCTGCTGCTGCGTTTCACACCTTTCCGGTACTCGGCAAGGACCCCGCACCACACCACTGCTCCAACGAGCAAGGCAAGGCAGTTCGAACTGTTGAAGCAGTTCATTAAGCAGCCTGAAAGGCAAATCTATGCAGCAAGGAAAAACAGCCAGGAGCACAGCTTCCCTGACAGGCAGGCGTTGGGAAATGTAATGGATGGTCCCCGAGGAATACGTCGTCCTCTCCCGGCAACCATCTGCACCATTACAGCCCCGGCTCGCTGCCAAACCGGCCTCCTGCTCTTTGACTCTGCAGAGTAAAGCAATGGGTCAGCACAAGGCTTGGTGTCCCCGCACGCAGGGACCCGTGCCTGCGCACGTGGGGATAAGGACTAACTTTGGGGCCCAGCCGCCAACGCTGACTCCCGTCTTCCCTGGCACTTCACATCTCAGCCAGGACAAGGCAGGCACGCTGGACGCCAGTCCCTTCCTGTCCCCCTCCGCCGGGGCTGGACACACGAGGTACATGGTTGGACCCCAATCCTTTCCTTATGATACTCATGGTTTTCCAAAGTGCTCAACACAGTGGAGCCCGGTGCTGGCCATCACGATGCCTGCTCCTGCTTCCTAGGGTGTGCCTGGCAGCCCTGAGAGGCTGCGAGATCCCAGCCCTGGCAGTCCCACTGCTCAGCAGGTAGCGTTTGGAGCTGGCAGCTTGTAAAGGCTGTAACAACAGTAAGGCAAGACTCCTTTTTTAACTGTGAAACCTAGGTCTGAGCTAGCCATTCCTCCCTGCTCTGGCTCACACTTACCCCAATACCTTATGCGCTGCAAGACTTGAGTAGCACTCATTTTCTGAGTTTTTAGAGCAAGGTAGCAAGGACTCCTTTAGACTGAGTGGTGCATGAAATGTCTACTCCTGCACCTCCTTCCACCACAGCTCACTCATCAATATGTGTTGAAGGAGTGATCAGTAATTACAGTGTCCTATGGGACTGCAGAGAACCTCCATGTCCAGTGGGGACCAGCCCGGTCCCCACAGCCCCAGCAGTGCTCAAGCATGCAGGTGGGTGGCCAGGCTGAGCTTAGGAACCTGCAGACTGGGATCTTCTGTGTCTTTTTCAGGAGAGGTGACCCCGAAACCATCAAGCAGTTGAACGGAGTCTGCTTAGCCTGCCTCCCCCCACCAGCTTCGTGCTTCCTCACCTTCCTGCTCAGCGTGCTACTTCTGCCCAGGGAACCTCTCCATCACCTCCTTCCTGCCAGTCTGTCCCTCTGCACCCATCTGTACTGTGTAAAGGAGAGGAGTGCAGAGATCCAGCCAGAATTACCCCAACATCACGTCAGCCCAGTGCTGCTCCTCCTGGCAGGTCCTGCTGGCTTGTGCCCAGCATCCCACTGGCACAATGTTGTTGTTTCTGGCCCAGGATCCCCATCCTGTGCTCTGCTGGCTGGTACCAGCATGTCCCCGGTGACCACAGTGCTCTTCCCTCCGTCTTCTGGTCCTAAGTTCCTGGGAGGTACACCCTGAAGGCTGCTTAGGTCTTTTCTTGTATGGCTGCACTGCAGACAAGTTCACTGGCTCCTTGCACGTGCCCTAACCCTTCAGACTCGCACTGAGAGCATCAGCCGTGGGCAGGGCTGGGGAACGCGCTGCCCGGCCTCGCTCCCACTGCCTCCAAGGGGATGGAGGAAGCCTGAGGAGCGGAGCGGCGGCTGAACCCCTGCACAGTATGGCTCATCTCTGCTCCGGGATGGCCACTCGCTTTCCACAAAGCCTGTTCCAACCTATATGCCCAGTCCTAATTACAAGCCCTCGCACTCAGGAGATCAACAGCTTCACCTTCAGGCCTCACTCCTTCCCCTGACTCTCTCTCGCCAGGATCCTTACACAAGCTTTGGCCAATGCCACTCCATTAGCTCACTCCAAAGGAGGCTTAATAGAAAACCTGCTCAATTATTTAGCAGACAAGCGGGGGGGATGCTACTGGCTGAAGGCAGCCAGGGTCTCTGGCACGGACCCAACGATTCAGCCCAACTCCTGGCTCAGCCTGCCAGATCCTGCCTTCCCTCTCCTCCCTGCGAAACCAAGGCTCAGTCATTAGGGCCTGGAAAACAGGCAGCACACGGGCATTTCTGTCTCCTCGGCCCTGCCAGGTGCTGAGACTTCCCACAATGAAGGTGCTGCCCAGCTGCTGTCAGACCCGACGGCTGGGCAGGGGCAGCATGTCAGGAGGCCTGAGCACTCCCACAACAACGCTGCAGATGGAAAAACAGTTTTAAACCAAGGAGCTGTCGCCTGTTGGTGAGACAACCCAGCCCCCAGCGCCAGGCTGCCCTGATCCTGCCTGCGAACTAGAAGACTCTCTGCTGAGGGACGCCAGCTTGAGCTAGCAGCTCCCCATCTGTGCCCTGCACTAATTCTCCTCTGCCCCTGTTTGCAAAGTTTGCTACATCCAGCGAGGGGGTCGAGCCATGAAATCCTCAGGCTCCCCTACAAACATCAGTAAGCCCGGATGTGGTGGTCACTGAAGCTTTGGTTCACCACGTGCAGCACCAGCCATTCTGCCGGACCCGATGAGGAAATGCATTTCTTCTGTCTCAGAAACAGCCCGCTCCATCCAGCAACTAAGGCATATGATGTATCAATTGTCTCATCACAGCCCAGCCTGGGCAATGTTCCCTTTTCTTGTGCTTAATGGCTCTGTTTGATGCCAGGAGGCCGTAGCAAGAGGACTTGATGCCTGGCTGAGTGTCCTGTGCTGGGCAAGGAGCAGCTGAGGCACCCAACTGCATCCTGATTACACAGCTGGATGAGTTGGCAGGGCCTTGGCTCTCCTCACGCCCCACTAGAATGTTTTGGCCCCACAAATGGGACCTCGTTCCTCCACTCCCTGATGAACCCGTCCTCTCTGTCCCAGGCAACTCCTGCAGCACCTTCCAACGAAGTGCCTGGCACAGCGTTGGCCTGCTGGGTTAGAGGCAACCAGAAAAAAACAGAGTCAAGCCAAGGAAGTCACCCACGGTCCTGTTCCGTCCTCATCCTCTGAGGCAGAGCCTCCTCACAGGGAACCAGTCAGGGTAACAGCCAGTGTCCCAGGTAATTCCCACAGAGAAATTCCTGCATGAAAATGTGGGTCAGATAATCTCCCTCTGTTAATGATTTCTGGCAATCCGGGAGTTACCAAATGGGACCTGGAAGAGATTTCTACCCGCTTCCAGCACTGCCGGGGCAGAGTGCTTCTGAGGAAGGAAAAAAAGTGCATCCTGTTATCCTGCTCACTGCACTGAGAGGAAGGGAAGAAGGAAAAAGGAAAGCTGCCTCCTCTTGAGTTCATATAAATGGTCTGCTCCAGAAAGCCTGGTTACATATGGGATCCTTTAAATCTCTTCAGTTACTCCTTGCAGCAACACAACCCATGGCAATCATCTCCCATGGGAACATACAGCCCCAAGGAAGGTTTAAATTCTCCTTTTCCATTCCACAGACCATCCTCTTACTTACGGGCCTGGAGACAGACACTTCCCATCACCCTGCTCTGGGCCAACCACTGTTGGTCTGCACCATCTCCCTGGTTTTTGGGTGACTGTGGGGAGGACATCCCTCTGGGGCTCTGCTCACCCCAGCTGCACCTTCAGCACCCTGTGGCGATGGTGCCAAGAGCCTTGCACACAGGATCAAAGCAGGACCGAACCCCTGAGGAATCCAAAGGCAGCAGAAAAGCCTCTGCATTTCCTCTCGTATCTGCTGTTTTTCTCCATCCCACCCCTGTTTGCTGTTTTTCAATGCACCTGCATGAAGCAGAACCACTCCATAAGCGGGGTACAACACTCGCACGCTGGTCCTCAATTCAAAGTGCTGCAAAGAGGGTGTGTGGCTCAGTTTTCCCTTCCACGTGAGGTACTCTGCCTGTGGCCACGTTGATCTCTACCATCAGGCTGCCCATCTCCTCTGCTTGGGTAGAGGTAGAGGGTCTCCAAGCCACCAGCCTCGGTTCTTTTGTCTTAACTGACCTCAATGGCTCCCCTGCAATGCTTGCTTGCCTTTTATAGATCAGTGACGTATCAAACCTCAGATTTAGTGCAGAGCTTTGCAAAATCACACAGAAACATTTTGTTTTATAGACATTTTTCCCTGGGCTTTCTCCTGTTCCACCTTGTACTTCTGCTGAGCTAGGTCCACTATAAGGACACAACGCTTTTCCTGCATTATTCCCCCACTTTGTAATTATTTCTGCTTTCCAGTGCCCAAGGAGGTGACTACAAAGCCCCTGAAGATCTTGCCACTCTCCAACCACACACCACAGGATATGGCACCCCTGGTTTGCGACCGCACAGCCCGAGGTGCGGAGGATGCTGTCGGCAGACTGGGGATGGTGCTGCTTGGCACGGTACAGCCCCTCTGACACCAGCTGCCTTGGCTTCTCTAACCCAAAGCACACCCAGCTTTTCAGGTAAAGGAGACACAGTCTGGAAGCTTTTTGTCTCCCCAGGACTTCCTGCAGGCTAGGAAGGATGTGATTGTCATCACACTACCGTCTTCCCAGTGCTCTTCTGAGTTTGCTAAACTGAGGGCCAGAGAAAGAGCTTTATCCCTTCCTCTCTTTCACTCTACAAGTGACCTGGCCCAGTGTGCTGGGTTTCTGTGGTGGGGTTTTTGGTAGTTGAGGAGGGGGTTACAGTGGTGGCCCTCTGTGAAAAGCCTCTCAAAGCTCCCCTGGCTCCAAGTCCGTGGCCAGGGCTGAGCCAATCAGTGACAGTGGCTGCACTTCTGTGATAATGTATTTAAGAAGAAAAACCTGAGAGGGGGTTGGGACTTGTGAGGAGGAGTTGGGAGAAGGGCAAACACCAAGGTCAGTGGAAGGAAGGAGAAGGATGTGGGGGAGGTGTGCCAGACCAGAGCCCCCCTGTATCCCATGGTGAGACAGCAGGGCCGCCCCCCTGCCACCCATGGACGTCACCGGTGGAGCAGAGGCCGGCCTGCAGCCTGTGGAGGAGCCCACGCCGGAGCAGGCGGCTGTGCTGACAGGAACCATTTAAGACTCTGAGTGGAGAAGCAGCCCCCGCTGTTGTGGTTCGGCGCTGGCAGGGCTGCAACACGCGGGGGGGACCCACGCCGGAGCAGCTCGGGAACGGCTGCATCCCGTGGGGAGGACTCACTGTGGAAAAGGTTCATGGAGATCTGTCTGCAGTGAGGGGGGAGCCACGGGGAGCAGGGGAAGGATGGGCAGTGTTCACCTCACCTCCCGAGAAGGAAGGAACAGAGGGCTGACTGTAACCCCCATCCCCTGCCCCCGGTGCTGCTGGGGGAGGAGGTAGAGATCGGGAGCAGAGCCGAGCCCGGGAATAAGGGAGGGGTGGGTGGAGGTGGTTTTGGATGTGGTGATGCTTCTTACTGTCCCACCATGTTTGTTAAGTGACAGTTTTGTTAGTGTCTGAATTAAAGTGATGTTCTCTTTTTTCTTCCTCCAATGAGTCTGTCTTTTGACCACGACTATAATGGGTGAGCCACCCCTCCCTGTCCTTATCTCAATTCCTGAGCTTTTTGCTTTATTTTCTCCTTCCCATTCCTGAGGGGGAAGGGGTGAGTGAATGGCTGCATGGTGCTCAGTTGCCCTCTGGGCTCAAACCATGACACCTGGCACAGATGTTAAAGGGACAGAGAGCCAGGGAAGGACTTCTCATCCTGCCTGGCATGCAGGGAACTGCTTAATCACTTCTGATACTTCCATCCCTCCAGAAACAAGTGTCTAGTTGTGACGTCAAATTCATGACGCTTGCCCTTTCCATGGAGCAGGATCTGGGGGAGAGCAAAATCCACCCCTGTTCACAATCCAGAAAGGCCACTGATCAACGACCTTGTGCTAAGCTCTTGGCACTGTCACACTTGGGGCTGTGAGGCTGGTGCAGCAGCCACGGGAGGCAGGATATAATTAGATATATTTGTGTACATCTTTGAGTCCTTGAGAGAAGAAGCTGAAAGACTGGCTGCAGGGCTGAGCTGCTCAGCCAGATGGGGCTCTGCTCTCTGCAAAGCCAGAGACTATCATGTCCTCCAAACATGAAATCAAGCAGAATGTGCAGCGCAGACAGAAGAGCCCCATTTTCTACAGCACCCTGCAGGGCACAGTGGCCAGGCAAGACACCTATGAATGACACTGGGAGAGAGCAAAGGCAAAGCTGCAGGGGTTATCAGAATAAGCCTATTTGCAGGACTCGGTACAAACAGGCACAGACACACATAAACCACCAGGTCAGCTGTGGCTTTGTCCAGTCAACATCATTCCCTGGGTGCTCTCTCTCTGAATAGCTGGTCACCATAAAGACAGGAAGATTTGCTTCATTTGAAAATCAGCATCATCTTGTGCCATAGGTCTGGGCAGCCAGAGCTCTCTGCACACATTTCGATGCCTTCCCGAGATGGGTCCAGAGTGAAGGAGCTTTAATGAACTCCCTTCCACCCATCACCGTGTGCTGCAGCGCTTTGCCTGCGTCATCACATCAGCAGAGCTCTTTTACATGCGGCGCTCACCACCTTGGCAGCAGCTGTCCTGTTGCACTGAGTGCCAGACCCCAGCCCGAGGGAGGAAGGTGTACATGTGCTCTTGGTACAGCACCTCATAGCTACCTCTCACAACGGCTTTCCTGCACCACAGGAAGGGCTCTGCACCCAGCAGTAGCACTGGGAAGCAGCTGCTGCAGGGGCGTGCGGCTCCTTAGTTTCTGCCTGCTCCATGCACAGCTGCCTCACTTCGGTCCCCACGCACCCACATCACTCCTGCAACACCTCTCATGTCACTGACTACTGCAGCGCCCACAGCTGTGCCACGTGCAGTGACTCTGTGCTTTAGAAGTTAAAAGCCACTCACCCCTGAACATCAGTGTCCACAAGCAGCCGGACCAGTATCCCCGTCACGGCCACAAGAATTGGGTAATGGTCCACGCTCTCCAGCCCTATGGAAGCAAAAGAGAAAGACAGAGCCACTGCCACCGCATGACAGGCAGAGCAGGGTTGCACTGCTACTTCCAGACTTGGTGGCAGAGCAGTGCAGGAGGTAGGGACCGTGACTTGGGGTCTCTGGTGGGGCCATGGGTTTCATCAAGGACAGAGGAGCCTTCCCTACTAATGGGAACCCCAGACTTAGGCACTGCTCTCACAGTGGAGCACCCCTGTCTCTTCCAAACCTCAAGAGGAGAAGGTGGTCTGTCCCCTCCTTCACAGGCAGGAAAATCCAGCTGCTGTACAGGAAATATAGGGTGCCTATAACACAGCACCTGGAGCCAGTCTCTGCTAACAGGCCCAACTCAGCTGCTCACAGCCACCTCCACGAGGAAGAGGGCTGATGTTGCTGAGAACGGCTTCCCCCAGCAATTCAGTGCACCTTTCCTTGACACAGAGCACAGCAACCAAGCCAGCTACCTGAACTGCAATCAGTCCAGGGCTCTGAGCCTTTCAAAAAGCTCCCACCTAACCTGTGTCAGAGAAGTACCTAGCATAATCAGCACAAACACAGCGCAGCTGCCACTTCCACCGTGGACAGCCGGACCCATGCATCAGCTGCCTCGTGAGGACTGATCCTGGCAGGAACCAGAGCTGCTGGGCAGACAGAGGCTAAGGGCCTAGGAAGAGCACCAACGCTCATGTCCATCTGGAGGATTCAGATGTCTTCTAAGGACAGCACTTCTGTGGCAGTCTGCAGGCCCAGACTGGCTTCCCAGCCAGGAGGTATATACATCTCAGCATCACCAACCTTCAGTGCAGGCCATCCCTCGCTTCCCAAGGGATGGGAACATACCTCCAGCATGTTTTCAAGGGAGAGGGACAGAGAATGCATGGACTCACCTGGCAGACGGAGGTTGACCACCCTGTCAAACAAGTTCCTTTCAGCTGTCACACGGTTCAGCACCTGGTTCAAGAGCTGTGTGAGGAAAAGTAGAGAGGGTTTGTATTTTCTGGATGGGCCTCCCTATGAGCAACATCCAAAGAGCATGTTTTGGGGCAGCATGTCCTTATAGTTTGGGCTCAGTGCCTGGGAAGCTGGTGGATGCACAGAGGGAGGCTCACGGCACAGCCTTAGCTTGGCCCTGGCACAGGAGGAGGTGGCACCACACCACAGCAGTTGTACCAGACCCAAACTTCCCAGGAAGGTGTCAGTCTGAGGTCAAGACACCTGAATCTCAGCATCTTCCACCTAAATCTGAATCTCACTTAAAGAAGCCAAGCTAATTCTGTGCAAAAGAAGGTCTTGGCAAGCAGAAGCTACAGTCCCTAGGGCAGCCACAGCCTGTGAAGAGCGAGCTGGGAGCTGTGGGCAAAAGCAGTGTCAGCGGGGTGAAGCACAATGCAGGTCCTGCCCGGCCTGGAGCTGGCAGCAGGGCAGACCTACCAGCCCTAAAGCACGGGATGAGCACAGAGAGCAATCTGCTTCTCTGCTTGACAGAGCATCACTGCAGGCAGAGATTTCTGCCTATGACCAGCACAGAAGGAATCAACTGTAAAGACACTTAATTAGCCACGGTTAGCTCTCACCCAAACCCACAGTGGGGTGAGCAGGGACCACTCCAGGCTTGACACAACTGCTGTGAGCTGAGCACCATCTCTCAGATGCAGCATCCCTCTTCCTGTTGCCCTCACGCATGAAGAGCAGAACATCACTCCCCTCTGTGGGCATGTTCTGCAGTGGGACGCGGCTTTGCAGCAGCACCAGGATGCGAGGGGGACGCAGCAGCACCCTGCTCTCTGCTGCCTTCTCCCCAGCTTGCGTAAACCACCTGCTGTAAGGGCCCCTCACTTGCCTCCTCATGTGGTGATCCCTACAGAAACCCCAGGATCCCAGGCTGAGCACTTCCCTCACATTTGCTGTACTAGACCCCACTATGTCTTGCTTTGACTTATCTGCTCAGTGCCTCAAGCCTCAACCCTTAGATCAACCCAACCCCTTTGGTGTAGGTAAGGTACATATGACTGCTCCCCTCCAGGCTGGCTCATACAAGAGCAGCCTGTCCTCAGGGCCTTCCAGGGTTGCTTGTGCTTTAGAATAGAAACTAATTTAATGGAGCCTAAGGGGTGTTTTGGGTTGGAACAGGGTTGTCCTGGTCATCCTAGCAGGGAAGTGGAGATGTTTGGTACCATATTCTAGGACTGAGGGATAAAGGACCAAGATGCCTGCCCAAACATAGGGGCGTGTTCCCTATGAAGCTAGCTACACCCTCCACAGCTCTTTGCTCAGATGTACTACACCTCCTCTTCAGATTTCATGGCACTGCTTGCCACAGGAAAGTTCAGCATTTACTGAGTGGAAGAAACTGGCCATAGCTCCTCTGAAGGAAGATTTAAGTAGCTGTCATCCTCCTTCCCAGTGGAGGCAGAAATCAGCTGTGGCCAGACTATATGCAAAGGACAGGAGCAGCTGACATGGAGAGATTTTAGGGAGAACCACTTGTTCTGCAGCAGCTGGGCTTGCTGGAGCAGCTTTAAGTCCTGCAGCATTTGCGGCAGGAGCCCCCACCTCACAGCACATCTGGAGAGAGGGCAGACACCCCTTCAGAGAATGTTTCTTCACACCCTGCTAAATGATGATACCTGGGCAAGCCTCCGAAGCAGCAGCTCTGACGATGGGCGATTCCAGTCCAGAAAGATCTCTGGAGCCAGCGTGACGGTCATTTCCAGCACCCTGAGCAAGCTCACCGACAGGTCGAAGCAAGTGGCACACACTTTCAGCTGGCGGCTGTCCACAAAGTTCCTCTCCAAGCGCTCTGCTGCCTGCTGGATCTGTCAAGCAATGGGGACAGCTGAATGAGGTGCCCCTTCCAAAAAGGAGGGTCGTGACCCCCAGCTCAGCTCCAGCGCATGTCAAGGAACCTCTGCACACCCAACTCCATGAGTCGTGTCTGGAACCTCACTGCGTGTAGGACACAGGCCCCCATTGAGTGCTGGACCCTGCAGCCCCTGGGCGGCACACTCACCTCCTGAATCATGCCAATGAACTCAGAGAAAGCCCAGTTGAGCTGGTTGAGGACGCTGTTGAGGAAGCTGGGGGCCAGGTCGCGGTCACTGCGGAGCAGGTCTGCCATGTGCTGCTGCAGCAGGGTGGAGGGACATGGCTCTGAAACCAGACAGCGACAGCTTCAGTGGCCTGGTCCCAGAGCAGCCGTGGGTGCAGGGCAAGGACAGGCTGGGAGCCTGGTCCTGGGCTTGGTAAATGTTGGCTTGCATCTTACAGTAAGCAGAGATGGCAGGGCACTGGGACTGCAAGGACTATTCTGAGCAGCGACCTTGCCTGTTGGGCATCCAAGCACTTTTTTGCAATGCCAGCCTGAATTAACCAGAGAAGATGCCTGCGTGCTCACTGCTGCCCACATGCACAGGAGCGCTGCCCTGCAGCTCAGCTTCCCTCCTGCTCAGCTCTGCAGAGGCCCACGGTCAGCTCAGCATTAATTGCTCCTGATGCAAGTGTGGCAGCAGCTGCCTGGAGCCAGCGCGGCCACCCCCGGCCTCATGTGGCTGTGCCTGTCTGCCTGCATCCAGGGAAGGAAGGTACCTAATAAATCCCACTCCTGAGAAGCTTCTGCACGGAGCTGGGGCTGGCTCTGCCCTCAGCGGGCTCAGGCAGAGCTGCCCACGCTCCCTAGCCAGGTTCAGCCTAAGCACAGACACATCCCTGCAGTATGTGGCATCCCGCCTCTGGGCTTTTTCACTATCAAGAGCACAGACGGGGTCAGGCCCAGCAGCTGGGAAACACAGTGAGGACTGTGTGGGGCACCGGCCCCCATGGACAGGCAGGGAAAGGAAGGGGCACAAGTGGGACGGATGCTGCTCACCAGCAGAAGGACCCACTGTCAGTGAGAGGCTCACAAAAGCATTCAACACTACAAGGGAAGGGTACTAAATTTCAAAACACAGGGCTTGGAGAAAGAAACTTGAGCAGATTTACCAAATATAGGGGGAAAAAAACAATCTAACTATTTTTCCCTCTAATAGAAGCTATTAGTAAGAGCACGTGGAAACTCTGGTAGAATCAGCACTGCAGTGCCTGGAGGAACAAGCCATGCTATGACTGCTGAAGGTCTTTGGGGTGGCAGCCTGCTTGGAAGGCCAGCACAGCCAAAAGAAACACAGGGTGACCTCCATCACACCCCTAGGGATCAAGAAGCAAGGCGTAACTGCAGTCACATAGCTAGCTGGGATTAGTGAAGCCAGAGAGGCATGGCAGAAGACTGTCAGCTCAAATGGGAACAGGATAAATTATTCTGTAAATACCCACTAGCAAGTGCACTGAGCTTCTGTTGTTAGGGAGGATGCGTGCTGATGTCTCACAGTGCATAATCACTCTGTACAGGCCAGTGCCCTGGTTTTGATCCTGCCTACAGGCATATCTTTGGGAGGGATTATCATCATAACAAACGTCTTTGAATGCCCTACTCCCACCTGCAAGCACTTTCCCAGCCCTTGGCTACACGTGACTCAGGGACTGCCCAAATCAGACAGCCTTTTCACGTCTTTAGTGGTCCTCAGTGAATTTCTTGCCCAGTGTCCCCTGAAACTGTGTAACCCTTTAGCATTGAAAGTGTCCTGAAGCAACATTTCACAGCTCAGTTGTGTGCGATGGGGAGAATTCAGATTTGAGCTTGGATCCTTCGTGCTTTATTTGATAAGATTTATTCTCTGCAATCCTCTCCTTCTGTTGGGAGAGACAGTGAGATGCTGCTCTCCAGTCAATTCCTCCAGCTAGCCATGACCTCAGACCTTTATGATAGTCTTTCAAACAGGAACAGCTCCAGCCTGTGCAGTTTCTCACACAGAAACTGCCACGTCGATTGTCCTCTTCACCACCCCTCCCTGAGCTGCGCTGGTTCTCCCAGATTTTCTTTGGAGAGGTGGAATGAGAAGTTCATGCAGGATCCAAACCACAAGCACACGGAAGATTTGCACAAAGGCATAACGTGGTTTTGTTTTGTTTTCCTTTTCTCATAATTGCTGCTATGCAATTTGTTCCTGTGAGTGGGCATCAAGCTGATATTTTCCAAAAGATTACAACAGGATGACAGTTCAAGGATAACCCTTTTGCAAGAATCAAGTTCAAGATCCTCAGGAACTTGCTAGCTGCAGGGCACAGCTGGAGAAGCCTAGGAGTCAACACTGGAGCCCACCTCATCTTCTCTGTCAGTGATGGACAATGGGGCACAGCACACCCTTACCAAATTTGCAGATGACACTAGACAAGGGGCTTTGTCTGATGTGCTAGAGGCACCCTGAGAAACTTGAGGATTTGGAAAAAAAAAAAATGATCATATTCAACACAAAGGAAAAATTCTGCATCTGTGGAAGAATGACCACAAATATCAGTCCTGGCTGGGAAACAACGGTCTGGGCACCATCCCATAAAGGGGTTTTGTAGGATGACAGCTTCAACAGGGGATAGGTGAAGGCTCTCGCTACACCTAAGAGGTGGGTGATGGTAGGAGGATGTGCTCAGCAGATCAAGGAGAGGTGTTACCCCTTTGCTTGGCTCTGAGGAGGTCACACCTGAAATACCATGGTGCTCTTCTCAGGAGGGTGCACAGACAGGTCCAAGGGAGCTCACCCTGAAATCTTGTCCCTAAGGGTTATGCTCAGCTCACAGCCCACTGATTTTCAATCTCATTTTCCCTTCGCATTCACCACTCTACATCTGGTGACACTGAATTCCATCTGCTTTTTCTCTCCCAGTCATTCAGGACTGGAAGGTCCTTTTGCAGGTCTGAGCTTTTGCGTAATCTTTTCCCCAACCTTCCCTCAACATGTAAAAAGTGCTTTTTATCAAAACTGCTGACATATTAGCCCTGTTCCAGCCTTCAAGCACCAAAGTAGTTCTAGGCAAGGATCACCATTCCTCCTGGATGAGCTCTGTGGGTTGTCCTGTTGGCCCATCTCCAAAGCCTCTTTTACCAACATTTCAAGTCAGGACAGATCTCAACATGAATTGCCCAGCCAAAGTCCACCTCATTTGAAGGAAGCTTTGGCTTTTTAAAGGATGTTCTTATGCTTGTAATAACTTGCTTTATCCTGATTTTTAGCCAATGACTATTTCCTCATGGTCTTTTTCCAATAAGTGGTGTGAATTTGCTCCAAACCTTCAATTCTAGGTTCTTAAATGCTTTCCCTGCTGCTGGCAAAGACTGTGCCAGTCTATAAAAACATTAAAAAGTGGTGTCTCTGGTCAAACTTATCCTCAGTTATGTAGGCTTTTTCTAAGGTTTTAAGTTAATACCAGGGAACAGTGGACTTCTTCAGCTTCTGCTGCTTCCAAGAGGATTCTGAATCTAAAGACGCTGCAATCACTGTCACTCTTTGAAAGCAACATAAGGAACCAGTCCTGGAAAACAGCAAAAGCAGCTTCGTCCTGTGTATGGGTTCCCAGATGAGGTTCTCCATGGGGCAATTGTTAGTGGTATCCAGAAACCTAGCCCTGGTGCTGTGTTCATCTTCATTTGAAAGATATTCCCCTCTGCAGAGGCATTTCTACCCACCTCCTTCACCTCTCAGTTACCACTGGGTAAGGACACAGCCCTTACATGTGCCATTTCAGACAGGAATGTCATTTCATAGACAGTCTGTGGATACTCACTGATGTGGTTACTTCCTTGATCCTGGCAATAGTAAGTCACTAATATTTCTAAAACTTGTAACTCCTCAATAGAGAAGCCACTCAATCTTGGCTTAGCCTTCATTATGACAGATAAAGATCAGACATTGGAACAGAAATCGGTGGTTTTCCAAGGCCAGAAATTATGACCTCAATACATTTAATGTGGGCAACAGAGCGTGGCCCCAAGCGGTTATGGATATATCCGATGTTTCCACAAGAGAAACTTCCCCGCAAAAATATAAGCAAAATAGTCAGAGGTAAAAAGAAAAAAAAAAAATCTAGGTGGGGTGGAATAATGAATAAAGCTGCAGAGTTCTTGAAGAATATTATTAGGCAGTCAGAAAGCCTCCGTGCTACAGCAAGCACTTGGGTTAAAAAGTTCAACTGAGACCAGGACAAAGCAAAGACATGAGTTAAAATGTAAAAGGTAAAGTGAACATAATCAAAGATAGCCAGTGGTTGATAAAAACAAGGAGAAAAGGGGCAACAGAAGGGGAAGACATAAAAGAAACATCCATGGCTAACCATGCTACCTGCAAAATTTCTTCAACTATGGGAAAAAAATTCCACCAGAGTTATTTAAAACAGTAATGAGAGAAAGCCTAACAGTAGCAAAGGCCCAGTAATAGATAGAGTTAAAAATTAATAATGCAGACAAAGTGGAAGCCTTCAATAAGTGCTCCTACTAGATAATTGTAAAGAAGCAGGGTCACGTACTTTCATCACAGGAAGATAATTATGTACTTTATAGTTTGCTAATGACTCAGGAAGATTTATAACAGGGTTACTTGTGTACTTCTTGGTCAGCAGCCGAAGGGGTTCTCTGGACGTTGCAGCATTTAGAGTAGAGCTGGAAGCACAAAGGAGGAAAGCCCCAAATGGACCAGATTCAGAAGCAAAGCAGTTCCACCCAACACTCATCCGAGTTTTTGGAAGGATGCAAATGTAGATGTGGAACATCAGTCCAACAGCAGCTGTGGCTGTTGGACTGATGAAACAGCAGTGAAAGAGGTAATCTGGGGATGCAGCGATCCACACCACTGGTAAACCATGCTCGTTCAAAGATGTATTTTGAGAGGACCAAAGGGAACGTTGCAGTGTGAGGCAGAAGGAAAGCAAGCTGCATTCACGGGATGAGATATCAATAAGGTCGAGTGCAAGGCATTAGGATGCCCCAGCGCGTGCCTTGGACTTGTGCATGCCTCCAAAGCAAAGTGCTGGCGAGCAGGCTAATGCAAGTTTTGGCTCTGTGACCAGCAGATCGGGGCGGTGTTCCAGCCAGCATGACACTGGCACCTCTGGGCTGCTGAAAACATGTGAAGGATGAGCACCAGGGCTCACAGAAAAGCAAAACACCTTCCTGGATAGGACACAGAGGCTGCACTTTATTTTCACCATTAAAAAGGACCAAGAAATGAGCTTACCCTGGTACACAAGCACTTTTGAAGAATAAAATGTTGTAATGCACAGAGTTTAACCCAGCAGAGAGACGCAGAGCAGCAGCAGTGGAAGACAGAAGATGAGGTTAGATACATTTCCATCAGGAAAAAGTGATGGAATGAAAAGGGTGAGAAACCACCATCAGAGGGGCTTGGACAGTTCACCTGCCATCAGCTGATGCTTCTGTTGTTGTCAGATCTAGACAGGATTTCTTTCTGAAAGACCTCTTTAGCTTAGGCAATTTGCTGGACTTGGGAAAGGGACGTGGGTGAATTCTCTGGCCCACACTGCACAACAGCTCAGCTAGATGATCTCATGGTCCCACCCACCTACCCTCCACCGCTTGATGGATGCGTGGGCAGAAGGCCTGGGGCAGAGGAGCCCTGTGCTGCAACCTGAAGCCTCCCTGCAGCTCGGTAAAAGCAAGACAGGCTGGGCCTGGCACAGGGCCACCACTGCTGCTCACCGTGTGCGTGCCGTAACAGCACCCGGCCTTGCCTACAAGCCACAATGAAAGCAAAACAAGTTCCTACAGCAGCCACCAACCAGAACTGCCCCGGCCTCCAAACGGAGCCCCTGTCTGCTCTCAGGAGACAAACTGGAGGCAGAGCCCTGCCTGGATGAGAGCTGTTTGGTGCTGGTGGGGCTAAGGAACAACTCAGGAAGCAAGCAGGAACACAGACAGCCTTTCTGAGCCTCTCCCCCTCCCTGGGTTAGCCCAGGCAGCCATCTCGTTGCTCATCATCAGTGAGCAGAGGCAAAGGGCAGCACAGGAGAACAGGTGGGCTGTGCTCTGCGTGTTTCATGGATATTGTGAGGCAGCACCAGTACACCTTCCCCACTTGTGCAGCGTCCTCCAGGGAAGCATCCCCAAAGCAGGACAAGGCTGGAGCACCAGAGAAGAGGCATCTGCCCGAGTTCCCTTCAGACCGGCCTGTATACGCAGATTCGGACAAAGAGGGATTTCCTTCAGCTCAGCAGTTTATTCTGTTGTCCTTGCCAATGCTCAAATTGCAACAAGGTGAAGACTGATGGGTGGGAAGGCGGGGGGGGTCATCTCCTCCTCCTTCCCCCGGCAGCATCTCAAGGACACCTCTGAGTCCCCTGTCCCTCTTCAATTAAATCAGCATTCATTATTGATTTAGTTGCGCCTTAAAATAGCAATCCCAGGAGCGAGTCCCCAGTAGCCAGCTCAGCCCACTCCGGGCTCAGACTTTGCGGAGCCACCTGGAGATGGATGGAGAGAGGCCCTGAAAGCTGAGGGACTCTGCTCCTGCCTCGGAGCTCCCCAGGATGGGGGGAGCTCAGTCACTGCCCCATGGAACTTGTGTCTTGCTTGTGTGGTAGGCGGGTGAGGGGACAGTCATGAGGGCCCTCCTGCATATGTACCAAGGGCTCCCCCATCGTCCTCCAAGGATGAGAGGAACCCAAGGCTGGCACAGCCTGTGGTAAGGCTCTGACCCCAGAGGTAACCCTGATAAAACCGTTGCAAGAGTGGGTCCACCACGCAGCCTCAGAGACTGCCATGTGGGCACCAGCCTGCCTGGCATCTCCCAGGGACGTAACTGAGAAAAACAACTGTTGTATGAAGCCTCCGAAGAAGGGTCTCTCTAGACAGAAGAGGGGAAGGAGGGAGCTCTCTAAAGCTACTTCACCAGACAAAAGAGGGTCACATAACAAACTTACTCTGGAAACTAGCAACAGAGAGATCTCCTGGACACCCACAGGCGGGAGAGAGAAAGAAAACAAGAGTGCCATTAAACAGAGACAGGCAGCTCTCCCCACGTGACGGGGTTTAGCGCACACCTCCACATGCCACCTGCCCATGTCAGGCTGCAGCACCCGCTGTCCCCCATCCCTGTGCAACTCTCCAGGAGCAAGGTCTGGCACAAAGCCTTTTCCACAGGAAAGGGAGGGTCAGGAATGTATTTGGGCAGGCCCAGAACCTGCAAGGGTTAAGCTGGGCATGTATGCTTCAGCTCAAGAAAGACATGGAAAGGAGAAGGTGCCTTTCTCAGCCACAAGAGAGCCAAGGAATCCCTCGGTTCAGTGAGTGCTGGGAACCAAACTGCAGTGCCAAAGGCAGAGAAGGCTCTGCCAGGCTCTGAGAGATGCCTGGTTAACACACTCCTTCCTTGCAAACCTGTCCAGTGCCCTGCCTCCTTGGGCACTCACTCCCTCTCACTGGGTACCTACTGTTTGGCACACTCACCAACACTTCCCCACAGTGGCAGCTCGCTGCGGACATCAGCGAGCCTTCTCCCAGGCTTACATTTTGGTGTAAAGCTCTGGTAAGGATGTAGCCCTGGGCCTCTCTCTTCTCCCTTGAAGGGCAGAATCCTGCCTCGTGATGGATCTAGCCCACCACCCAGCACGCAACAGAGTCACCAGCCAGTGCAGAGAGGCTGGGGATGTCCAGGAAAGGAAATGCTGGCTGCAAAGATCAGGCCTGGATATTTGGCCAGGATCCCCCTACTTCAGCAGCCATGTCACCAGCTGGCCTGGCCCACAGTAGGGATGGATGCTAGGGAAGAGGCTGGTCCTCCCTCACCACCCATCGTAAAACCGAGTGCCCATCCCCTGCCCCACTCACTCTGCAGGCTGGGGAGGCTGGCATCCTCAGGCTTGGTTTTCAGCAGGTGTGGGAGCCGTGTGTATCTGTACCCGAAGCCACAGCCCTGGTAAAAGAGATAAGGAGAGATCTGAGAGGCTGGAAAACACTTGAGTTTTGCTGCTACTGGAAAGCGAAATGCTCAGTGTCCAACCAGCCCCAGCCACTGAGAGGAGCAGGGATGTAGGATGCTCACCCGCCACAGTCTGACGAGAATCCAGTTGGTCTGTGCCCAGGGTCGCTGCTCATAGGGAGCCAGGAGGTTCTTCATCATGGAGATCCGCCTGTCAGACAAAGACATAAGTCAGCCCAAAGGGTTTGGGGACAGGGGATTAAATAGGACACACAGTTGGACCCATAGAGCTGGGGCAGATTGAAGGCTCCCAAGCCAACTCCAGCACCCTGCTGCAGCTCCTGGACCCTCAGCAGTGTTTGGCAGTCCACCTGCTCCCCCAACCAGCCTTACCAGCACCCCAGCCCTGCCCCAGTTCCCTGGGAACAGGCAGGGCAGCACTTACTGCTCTTCTGGGATCCTCTCCACAGCACGCAGTGAGTGGGGGTAGCAGACATAGCTGGCCAACGCCTGCATCAGGGAGTCCCGGATGTCTGAGGAGGAATGAGAAGGGACTAGGCCAGGCACCCAAGGACACACAGCAAACCAGGGAGCACCTGAACACCAGAAGCTGGGAGGGACTGACCCTCACTCAGAAAGGCATGCTGTCCTAGGTGATGTGGGGGGCATGCTTATGCTCAGGCAGCTAAGGAATAACCCCAGACTGGACATGCAAGTAGGTGGGACATGAGCTCTGCTCTCAAAAGGGTATCCTAGGTTATGTATCTAACCCTGGAATAAGCAGGACACACCAGACAAGGGCAGTGCCCAGCCTCCCTTTGTATGTGGAGGCATAAAGCACTTAACAACAGATTCAGCAGACAGATCCCAGCAGAAGGCTGGTGAGCCACTGTGGGATCAACCAGACCTGCAACATTATCACCCTCAAAGCTGAAGAGTGCAGCTTTACCCGTGCCCACAATCCTTGAGTCAGCAAAATGCTTGGCCAGGATGGCAGCGAGGCGCATCAGGGTCTCTTCGTAGCCTGCAAAGAGAAGGAAGGAGCAGGGATCATGCCAACAGCCTGACGGCCAGCCCTGTGGTCCCAGCATTCCTGTGGACACAGCACAGGCCATAGAATTAATTCCTGCTACAGCTAACTGCAGCTTTGTTGTGTGTCTAGTTGTCAAAACAGACAGCTTCGAAAACACATTCATCTCCAACAGAGCCTCTCAGCTCAGCTCAGTCTGCAGAGTCTGGAACAGTTACTCAGAGAAAGATAAAACCATGCAGTTGAGTCGGATGACAGGGGAGAGATGCCTAGTGCGGAAGAGGCTGAACAACACAAATAACTCCCTAAATCTCTGCAGAAAAGCCATATCCAGCCTACAGACCATGAAGAAATCTGCTACTGCTCAATTCTGCTTCTCCCTGAAGAGCAGGGACAGCCCCCACTTAATGGATGTGAACACTTCAGCTCTGTCTTGTTGGTGGGAAGAGAAGCTCTTCCTACCTTCATGGGCTCTGGAATGCACAGAACTACTTGTTAAGAGCTCAGTGGGATCACTTAGCCAGGAAAAGCACAGAACTTGCACAGAGGAAATCCACCTAAACACAGGCTCTTGGCACCAAGTGGGTGGTTATCTCCAGTGGAACATACCCAAATCCCAGGGGGGTTTGAAAAAGTAGTCCTAGTTCCTGCACTCACGGCACATCTCCCACCCAGAAATCATCAGGCAGTGGCATGCATTGTTGGGACAATCACACCTTCCAGCATCCCAGCCCGTTCCTGGTACCTCCTTGGAAGCAAAACCCAGAGCTGCCTGTGATTTTCACTACAGCCAACACTGCAGCAGCTTCGGGCAAGGCATGGCCTTCCTGCCTGAGCACTGCAATGGCCACAGCCCACCAGTGGGTACCCACTCAAGGAATGGCACTCAGCTCCTGCCCCACAGCACACAGATAATATACTGGTACAGCACATCACAACCAAGAAAGGACACAGAAGGGATGATGCCCAACTACCACTACTTCACCATAAGGATGTGGCTTGCTTTAGAAGTTTATCAGGCCAGAATTAGCAAGGCCTCCTCATCCCCTTACCTGGAAGTTCCTCCATGCTGTTTACAGGGCTGAAGTAGTTCTTGAGTGCGCTGTAGCTGTTCATAGCCACGCTGAGGTAGAACTCCGGCATGAAAGCGAAAAGCGAGCCCGTCCTGTCGCCATGCTCAATGGTGCGGATGCACACTTGCAGCAGCCAATACACGTCCTGCATCTTCTCCTGGCCAGAGAGAACACAACAATCCCTATTCAGTTTTGTCCAGCTTATCTTTGAAGAAACACAACCATCAGCACCACACATAGACCTCAAACATGTCTGAGATGATCCTCAGACCACTGCTCTAAGTTCATTAACCGGATCTCTGCCATTTGGTCTTTCCACAGAGCCACAGCAGTGTCAGGTGGAAGGAACAATCGGAGATCTCTACACCAACCTCAAGCTCAGAGCATGACCATCACCAACACGAAGTCAGATCAACTGTGGCTTTGCCTCACTATGCCTTGAAACTCCCCAAGGACTACTCCTTGGTAGGGTATTTATGACCACACAGGCCCAATAGCAAAAAAGGCATGCTGGTTTTTATTCCAACTAAGGATAGGCAGGCACTAGCAAACCCAGCATAAATCTGCTGGAAAGAAAGCTCTGCTTCTTTGTAGGAATTAAATGGGAACAGGCTGAAAGCTCATACCAACTCAGATCTTCGCAATAGACGGCCACAGCCTTTCAGATTCTGTGCCAGCCATTCAACCAGATTTACAGTCCTGAGGAACATCGGCCTCTAGCTTCTCTAAGCAAAACTCAGGGAGTCCTGAATTAAAACCAGGAAATTTAAAGGCATCTGTATAACTTTAAGCTATAAAAATCAGCAGCAACAAAGCCATAGAAAGAGGAAATATTTCACATTCTGCAATGCCAAGAAATATCATAAGCAACAGCAGTTTGCATAAAAATAGATGGAGGATGGTTACACTTCTAATTAAAAAAAAATAAAATCAGAGGTGCAGATAAGTGATTTCATTTGCTTAGTGGCTTTTCTAAAGTTTGTTGCTAACATCTTTGGGAGATTTATGTAGGTTTGTTCTGAAAATTAGACTGAACTAGTGCAAATCAACTAAATTGACTAAAAGACATCTTCATCTTGACACCAAGACACATCTCAGCTCAACTGCTGCTTTCAGGATAAAAAGCAATTGTGCAGACAACATTAAGGTAAAGAAAGCTGCATGTGTATTTATTAAGGCCTGACAACCTCAAAACATAATTTCAGGTATTGCCAAGCTAGAAGAAAGCATACACCAAGAGGATACAAAGATGTGAATACCTATGGGGTGACAAATAAATACAGTGTTGCAATAAAATAAGATGAAGTGGTCTTCCCACAGGGATGTTTTGAAGGCAGGATTATCTACTTTGAAACTTGGAGTGTTTTTAAGCTGTAGCACTCTCTTTTGTCTAACCTTAAAGCCCTCAGCTCAGAATAAACTAGTGACTAATTCCCCTGAGGAAGAAGCAGCCTCTCTTGTGCTCTGACACCTCAGCACAGAGCAGGACTTCACCTCTAGACAGAACCAGTCTCTTTCTCTGCATCAGCAGTGCCTGCAACACTCATACAGTTGTGTTCCTCCATTGCACACAAGTTCCAGGGATGCTGGAGCCCACTGGGTGGATGTGTCCACTGGGAAACAGCAGGCATCTGTGATGGCTGTGAGATGGAGCCCTGAAGGTACAGGCAGGATGGACAAGCTCCTCCATGCAGCTACATTCCTCTCGAGAGCAAGCTCGCTCAACTCCTGGGGCACATTTCACAGCACGAGCCAGCTAGTGAATGCTCTCCCTGCGGGCCACGCAGACCAGGACAGGAACACAGGCGGGGAAGGATCTGATCTTCACTCCCAGATGCTGCTGATTCATCCAGAAAGGTGACACCACACTCATGATGGGAGGGGGGTACCTGCGTTTAATATGACAACAGAACATCTAGAGACGTGACTAGTGTTTCTGCATGGGTGATGACAGCGATACCTGCAATGCGCGCTGGTAATGCCCCTCAGCCTCTCAAGAGCAGTCTGGGAAGAAAGGTTTATTTTCTGGCAAGCATGGGCTACACTAATGCAGCTGGAGAGCTTCTACAGCATGGCGCTGTGCCTTGCAGTCCTGCTCTGGGAGTGAAGGAGGGGATGAGCAAAGTGCTCACGAGTCAGGATCAGCCACTGCAGCTCTGCCAGACGTGTTCGTAGGACCTGCCACTCTTCCCCTCCCTGTTTACATCCTGGGACACATGCAGAGACCCTGCTGCCACTGCATGTTCAGGGAAACGTGTCTTCCTCCCCAGCACAAAAAAGCAGAGATGGTGCAAGGCAATGTGCAAGGGAAGACAGGAAGAGATCAGTGGAGCATAACAGCAAAACTGCTTATGAGAAAAGAGACCGGAGACTTTACCCTGGAAAATGGTGAATGAAGAGAAAATGGGACCACCCGTGCAAATAGTCACTGTGTAACAAAATGCAGAACGCACACTCTCTACGTGGGAACCAGGAGAAGAAGGGAAGAACACCCGAACAAAAATCCCTAGACTTGGAACCTGCAGATTTCAGGAAGAGCAGCACTAGTGAGATGCCCGTGACACGCAGAGCACAGCTCAGGGAAATGGTTCACAGTAGCCTCTATCCTCAGACATGCCATGAGAACTGAATCTCCCTTTGAAGTACACCCTTCTGTCCGCAGTTCAGAGGCCCAATGAACCAAGGGAAAGCCTACAGCAACATGCACAGCTCAGAACAGACTGGGCTGTGTCCTAACAAACACTATGGGACCAAGCCTGGGACATGAGAGGATCTGGGCCTAGCAAGGAGTCTCTGATGCAAAAGAAGGGAAAAATGAGCTCCAAAGATCATTGGCATTACTCCAACATCAGGGAAAATGACATTTATGACACGTGAGCCAAGCAGCACAGATACAGAGGCACACTTGCTCAGTCTCCTCTGAGCTGCCTCACATTATGCTCCTGCCCACCTTTGAATAAATGGTGACATTTATCCAAGCGAGGCGTCGGCTTAGGTGATTGAGCTTCTCAGAGAAGACCTTTTGGCTCTTCAGCAGTTCCTCGTGGATGTCTCTCCTCTGAAAAGAGTGCAGAGATATAAGGGCAGATGTCACTGCCATTTATAGCATCCTTTTTCAGAGCTGGACAAACAATGCAAAAGCAAATACCACCTTGGAGCTAGCTAGGGAGTACTGGCAGAAGGGAAAGGGGTCCGCAGCCTTTCTGCATAGGGAGTGGGAATCAGTGCTATAAAGAGCACTTATCAGTCTCAGCTGCAGCCCACAAGGCCTGATGCAGACACTGGTCCAATGTGGGCAGCAGCTTTAGAGTCAACTATTGTCAGATCCCTCTTTAATGCATCATCAGATCCAGCTGCTGGGGACTGAGTGTAATAGGACAGATGTGTCCCCAGTCCAGCACTGGAGAGTCCCCACCCCAGGAGACCAGCTCCAAGGCGTCTGCAGCACATGGAGGTTTGCAAGCTGCCATGGCTTGTCTGGGAGAAGCCAGAGCGGTTGCTTCAGTCCCTCTGTTCCTCGAGACAGTGGTACAATGGGTTAGCACAGTGTGACATGTAGCTGCCAGCTCCGGGCATGGGTTAGTACCCCATTCCCAGACAATGGTTACTCCAAGTCTAGAAACCACCCACTGTGCTTCATCCTTTTTGCCAGATACTGAGGCTCTACCAGAGAAGGAAGCTGGGAGTCCAGAGGCACTCACCCTCTTTGGGCAGCGGCTGATTTTTTCTTCTGTGTCTTTTAGCGCCATGGCATATTCATTCACATCATCTGACACCCCAACCATCTAAAAATCAGCAGATTCCAACAATAAATTAGGGTATTTTTTTCCCTAGACATATAAGCATGCAACCGGATCCCCCACTGGGGTTGGGAGAAGGAAAGGACAGTCACTAAATAAGTGGAAAACAGAGAGTCAGTGGAGAAGCATGGATGTTGGGGGAATGGATTTCTGCATAGCACGTGCCACTTACCTTCCCAAGCTGCTGGTGGACACTGAGGTTGTACATCATCACTATCCCATCCAGGATTTCCAGAAGGGAGTTCTCTGTGATGGGCTGGTCCGGCTCTTCTGGGGGTCTACCCAGTAAAAGACCCTCATTTCCATGGCTGCCTTCAACTGCGATGCATCCCCAAGACAGGAGAGAAATTCTCAGCAAGGCATTTTGGCACCTCAGCTTTTCCCTGCACCTCTTTGAAGCCAAAGCCCTGCTGTGCCTCTGTAACACAGTGCTCCTTCCCAGCCCATGTGAGTCATTAGATATACTAACAGACCATTCCCATCTCACTGTCTGCATCGGGTTGACCTGTCAGAATTGTTCAAACAGACCCAGGCCACGCAAGTCCCGCTTCCTCGAGCCCTGTACGTGCTTCAGAGGCCTGGTCAACCCAGTCCAAGAGCAATGGTGCTGCTACTGCCCATGTTGTCCTCTGGCTGGTCTGTGTTCAGAGCAAGCGTGGCTACAGCTGCCTCTGAACTGCCTCGCTGCAAAGTCTCGCTGCGCTTGCAGGAACCAAGGCAGCATCTCCTTGCACACAGAGAGTGACAGCTTCACCACTGACATGTTCAGGATGACAAAGTGGTTAACTGTGGACTTGTGGGTGTCAGCGCGCCCTGGGAATGGGACGGAGCAAAGCTGGCAGCAAACAGACTGCATTCCTCTTGAGAGTACTGGGAGCTGGAAGACATCACCCGGTACTCCATTCTCCACCTGGGCCATGCTAGCACACAGAAGTACTCACTGTCCTCCTCTGTCCGCTGCTCCACGCTTAGTGTGCGCACTTTGATCTTCTCCAGGGTGCCAAGAGGCCGCCGCGGGTTCATCAGGCTGACGGCCGCCGTGCTGAGGAAGCGGTTGGCACGGCCCAGGGTGGGGGAGCTGAGCCAGCCGGGTCTGGCAAGAGCTCCACCAATGGCCAGGGCAGCAGAGGGACGCTGAGACTGAAAAGAAATTAAAGGAGAAACAGTTCTAGCTACTTGGCTGCCAGCTATTCCTCTGTTGTCCCTGTAAGGATGTTGGCATAGGTGCACAGTGGCCACTGGAAGGTGAGCAGATACCCTTCCGATCACGGCTGAGCCAGCAGTGCCAGGTTAGCAAATGGACATTCCTTTCTCTAAGGACACATGCCAGATATATGCAGCAGATCTGCGCAGCAAGAAGCTGCTCTGTCTGCAGTTGCCTTGCACCCTTTCAAATGCGAGCACCAAGAGCTGCCATGGAGGGGAGGGGGCATATTCAGATCAGTGGGTATCGAGAGAGCAGAGCAAAGAAAATTTTGCTATTCAAACTTGGTGCATCCGGGACCTTGCTGATCTCCAGTGACCTTCATGCAAGTGCAGCTGTTGATCTGGTTGCCCATGGACTGGTTACAGTCCTGGCCCAGATGCTGTCTTCATCTAAAGCAAAGCATTTCTAGCCCACGGCTGAGCTTGCTGCTCCAGCACCAGGGTCCCCACAGGTCAATAACAGGACGCGGTTTACCTGTGCTGCTGATGTTGCTGATTCCTCGTCTTCATCAAGATCATCCATAGTCACTGCCTGCAGCTCTGCGGGGTCGATCAGGACATTGGCTTTTGCAGCCAGGTCATCTGCACAGAGAACAGCAAAGCAGCTGTGAACGCAGGAGTTGCCTTTTGCTTCCCATGAGGCAGCCCTACACTCATCCTCTTTCCTGCTTCTCAGCAGGAGTGGCAGCCAGCAAAGTTGGATGCTGCATCAGAACAAGCTCATCTTCACCCCAGCTTTGTTACGTGGAATAGGTCTGCCCTTGTTAACATGGCAGAGACCAAGCAGCGATGGGTGCTGCTCAACCAGGACCTGTTTCTGTTCCTGGTCCTACCAGCAACAAATAGAATAACTGAGGAACCAGGAGACAGTCACCAAGGCCAAACGGGACTAGCGCAGGGAAGGAAACACAAGGCCTGAAACTATCTTTTAAGCATCCAGCTTTTCAATGATGTCCTATGATATGTCCCCAAGTCACTAGGATGGAGACTCAGACCAGAAAACATTCTCAGGCCAGAGGAAGGCTGCGCTGACAGCTATACTGTACAAAGCCTGAACAACATGTCCCTTAGTCCATAGCCCTGTTTTTAAAGCTGGCCAGGAAGACCTTGGTAAGAGACCAGAGATTACATAGTTCTCAGCCAGGGGTCAACCTGAGGCAGGGAAAATGGTCCTAATCTTGCAAACACACTGGGGAAGGAGAAGAGAGATCTGAGCCAAAGGCGAGTGCCACATTAGCCAGAAACCAGAGACAAACGAAGTGTGACGGAACAGCAAGAGGTTTCTAACCCTTCTGAAAGGGAGGCTTTAAGTCTACTGCCAGAATAGCATGCTGCATACTAACATACAGCTGTAGTACTTACACAAGACTGCTACTGCTTGCCCAGGGTGGTGCAGCAAATAAATCCTGGACATCCATCACAGCCAGCAGAGCCACACCGCTGGTCAGTGCTTGGACAGCTCCCAGCCCTTGGCTGTGGTGCAGCAAGAGCACCACAGCAGAGTAATCCCAGAGTACCCCTGCTCTCCACCAGCCACAGGCCCCATTCAGGGATATAAAAGGTAAACTGTTAACTCAAAGGATGCTCCATCTAGTGTCTTCTCTAGAGTAACTTGCATCTTGTTAAAATTCAAGTTTCCTCTCCTTAAATTTAATCCCAATTCATTACCCATGGGTCCCTCCCTGGGATGTCTCTTGGGTGAACTCCAGCCAGGACCCAGATGCAGGTAATGGAAATGAGAGCACTTACCTTTCAGAGTCTTCTTAAGATGAGACAGGAGACCTCCAAGTCGCTGAAGGTCAAAATAATCCACTTTCCCATTATAGAAGAGTTGAGGAGGGACATAGGCCTCTAAAGCAGAGGAGATTTGTTTTTTTTTCCACAAGTCCCATGCACAGGATCCACGCAGACATGTAAGCCCTCCTAAGACAGACCCCAGGGCCCAGCCTGAACTAACATTTAGTGACTTTTGTTATCATAAAAGCACAAGCCATTAAGGCAGAGGTGATATCCACAATGAATCAAGCATTAGATCCACGCAGAAACAGAAGCAACTGATGGCCACTGACAACAAGCCTCCCAGCACTTCCCCCGTCCCAGCCACAGTCCCTGGGGGAAACTGGATCACCAGAAAACTCAGCAGCTCTCCACTTGGCTACTCTAGCTCTGTCACCGAGTCCCATGGGGATCGTAAGGCAGTTACTGAGTCGGGAGAAAGGGTCAGCCTAACGTTAGGGAGTGCCAAGCAGACCATGGCAGGACAGGCAAGGTAGTGTTTGAGGGTGGGAAAGCAACCGGCACTGACTTGGTTTCCCCTTAATCCCAGAGTCTGGGAACCACAAAACCAAGTATCTTCCCTTAAACTTTGACTGTGGCATCAATGAGCTGCGCTTCTGCAGACCCATAATCAATACTGGACTCTACTCCAGAGCACACAGGAGGAACTAGCAAACATTACAGGTGCCCCCTTTGCAAGTCTCATGTCTGGATGTTAACTGGTATAGATCTGGACACAGGAATTTCCCAGGCTGACTGGGAACTACAGACACAGGGTGACAGAAGGCTCAAGCATCCATAAGAAACAGAAAATTTTCGGCATCCTGGAGACCACTATCAAGAGGCAAACCTTGTTCTAACCACAGAAATGCCTTCAAAGCTTCTCCTCCAGGCCTTACCTTCACTGCTCAGTGCAGCAGGGGTCTTCACCTTGTGGCCATCCCAAAAGAAACGCAGGGCAGCGATAAGCCGGTGCAGGAAGCACACCATGTACTCTGGCGGGCACAACACAGTCAAGTTCTAGGGCAAGAATGAGAGTTCAGCCATCAGGGAAGGTGTGAAAGTGCATCTTAGACCCAGTGGCCACAGGGAGCAGGCAGAAACTTTCTGTTCTCAGCCTTGCTAGCATCTCTAGCTTCCAGCACTGGTAGAGAGCCTGGCCCTGACAGTAGTCAGCAGTTTCCACCTCTAGAAAGTCCTGGGCACTGAAACAACAAGCTGGTCTGACAGAGGAGGATAGATACCACATGCTCCACCATGAAAGATGAGGCTGACCACGAACACAGAGATACAGGTGAAGAAAAGGTTTCCTGCAACAGCAGATACCTACCTCCTAAAGCTGCAGGCCAACAGCCCAATCCAGGGCCAGGACAACAGTCCTTACCCAGGCAGCGAAGAGGATGCCAAAGCCAGCAATGCTCCCCGAGAGGTTTGAGGAGGACATTCAGCTCCCACCTAAGGCCGTTTCCAAGGACCACCTTCCTACAAATCACTGCATAGGATGTGAATAAGCTGCTGGATTTCTAGCCTCAGATCTTCTCCCTCCTCCTCACTCCCTGCCACATCTAGACCTCAGTTGATCAACCGCTAGAAGCAGCCCAGCCAAAAGGGCAGAGCTCCCAGCCTGAAGGTGCCAAAGTACTCTCAGTGTGAGGCTTGCTAGAAGGCTGGCTCTCTGACTTACCCCTCTGTTGCTAGCATTTTCCTGAAGAAACTTGCGGAACTTGTTTAGGAAGATGTATCTGGAGGCTTCCCCCTGGCAGGAGGAAAAGCAGGTGGTAAATCTATGCCTTACAAATCCTGTGGAGACACTAAAGATCCACAGAGCACTTACGCCTCCTCTGTCCTTGTTGTTCAGCAGCAGCTTCAGAATCTGAACCTGGAGACCTTCCACCACTAAAATGGGGACACACATCTGCCATCAGAAAACAAGCACTGGAGAGCAACTACCTATATTAACCCAAACTGCAGTACCCTGTCCCCAGGAGAAAGGCTACCTCCTCCACAGAGGGAGCCCAGGAAGAACCAGTGCCAGAAGAAAGCCAATCCCATGACTGAGAATTTTCTTCTTTGCCACCTAGCAATAAATTCATCCACAGCAGATAAACAATGCCCCTAAAGGGGAGTTTTGGTTTGCTCGTGCCCCACAACCGGATGCTGCAGGTCTGTGCAGTGGGGTTCCAGTACTCATAACCCTCCACCAGATCACGGCATAGCTGGCCCCTGCCTCTGCAGCACAGCCTGTCCTGGCAGGAACACAGCTGGACTTCAGGTCATGAAGGGGATTTGGAAACAGCTCAAGGGCTGGTCCCCCTGGCTGCACAGAAAGTACGGGATCTTGGCAATTCCCCTCCTTCCCCACAGACCTTCAATGCGTTTCTTGAGCCGCTGGCAGCCTCTTTCATATGCCCGCCGCCTCAGTCTCTCCTCAGCGCTCTCCTCCTTCACCTCCTTACTCTCCTTGCCCTGGTTGGGAGACAGACACCGATTAGTAGATCACTGCACAGGGAAGATGCCTTGCCAAATGGAGAGCAAAAACTCCCTGAAACAATGCACCAGTGTGTGTCTGCAGCTGGAAGAACAACTAAACAGGCCTTCTGCAGCCTTGTAATGAGTAAAGGCAGGAGATCTTTTGAGGACACTCAAGTCAACCTGTAATTCCTTAGATGCTGTGAAGTTCCCTTCCAAATCTGTTGCCATAGAAAACTGTCTCCTTCCCCTGTCCTGAGCAACACACTCCAAACGTGCCCTCTAAGGTGGCAATAAAGATGATAGGGCAATGGAGAGGCTACAGCTTTCACACAGCTCTGCAGCATTCATCAGTGCTAACGCAGCTGGAAACATGGGCCATCCAATTTCCTCAGCCAGAAAATGATGGGGACAGCAGGCCACAAAATTTCTTCAGTCTCCTTAGTGGATGTGCCTCTACTCACCTCCTTGGTGAAGCGGTTTGGCCACCACGTGGTGGGAATGAGCTCCTGCAAACCAGCCTCTTCCACACGCAGCGGGCTCTTAATGTAGAAGAATACAACCGAACGGAGCACATCAAAGCTGCAGCCAAGTTAAAGCAAGCACAGAAGCTATGTTGGGAGAAAGTACAGGGCATGCTTCCAGAGTTGTAGTGAGAGACCCCTTTCCAACCAACCATTCAAAGTTCTTAAAGATCCAGAGCCCTCTTCTGGAAGAAGCCCCATGCAGTTATCACAGCAGCTGCCCAAATGCTAGCATGGCAGCTGGACTGCTCTGCAAGTGGTTTTGCTCTAGGGACATTGGAGAGGTCAGTCAAGTAGAAATCAAGTCCTCTGTGTTAGTAGGACGTGAACTATATGACACTACTTCCCTTCCTCAAAGCAGGACTTTGTAGAGAATGGTGTCAGGCAGACAGAGGAGACACGAGAAATTAGAAATGACCTCTCAAAGACAGTGTGGCTTCTGCCTCCCAGAACCTGCTGATCCTTGAAGTCTCCTTGGCTGCATTACTGAGGTCAGGGAGAACTGATACTAGAAGAGGCACAAAGGATACAGAACATTGCTGAGTAGGTATTTCCTGGATTTCTCATGCTTCAAGACTGCAATGGTGAGCCGGAGGTAGTGAATCTAGGGAAACAGGAGAAGCTAGAGTGACTCCATCTACAAAAGAGGATACGACTCTCCAATAGGTACAATGTGACAGAATTGCCATCTCTGGATCAAGCAACTGCAAAATCCGAAACACTGTGTACCTTTGGACAAGGTGACATAACAGAAACTGGCTAGTCACAGATTCCTGGGGATTCAGAAGTGCAACTTACTTGCAATCCCAGGTCTGGGATGATGGGGGAGAACCTGTAAGCCCGCAACAGGGACATCAGTAGCTGCTTGAGGCACTCGTGCACTTCATACTCCTGAGAAAATAAGAAACACATTGAACAACAACAGCATGGAGTTGGGAACACCTATAGTTCCCACAGCGTGACCTTGGAAGGAAGCATTCACTTCTGAACTGAAAAAGTAGATGCTCTGAATCCACACTGTTTGTCCATCTGATTCCATAGGAGAGTCCAAGCAAAAGTTGGTGCCATTGCCTTGCTACAGGGAAACAAATTTCTGCACTAGTAAAACCAACCCAAAAGTCACCTATAAAAAGCCAAAATGCCAGGTCCTATTTAGTTGGGCTGGGTGGCCCATCCTCGTATCCCTTACACCTACCCAACACACAGTGTTGGTAGAACCAACCCAGAAAGGAGTCCAGCTCATATCCAACTAGCAGGATGAGAGCCACCTCTTCCACAAACACAGCAGCCTTCCCAGGGTGTTCAGCTTCACTTCTAAAATGATGGGCCTGAGGGGGTCATGGCATTTTTAAATTAAACTTATCAGGACAACTGGCTGGGCCAGTGCCCATATCTGTTAATTGTTGCCCCAAAGGACAGACGTGCTGTCTCCAAGCAGATCCCCAGCAGTGATGGGCTCTGTGTAACCACTCCAGCAGCAGCAGCTTGCCAGTGGCTAGCAAAGGCTGCTTCAAATAAGTGTGCCAGGAAGAAGTGACCTCATCCAGCTTGGACAGGAAGGGGCATAGGAAGTTGGAGGAGGTTTTTCTCCCACCAGTGCTGGAGGTGGTGAGAGTGCAGTGCCCATTTCCACCCAAGTCCTGCACACTCTGATTGATCTCTTGGGGCACACGGTGGAATTTAAGACCTCCAGAGTCACATAAGCATTAACAACATCCAAGAGACCAACTAATTTCTTACTGATAAATTTGATGTTCCCAGAAGCAGGGGGTTATTCAACATCACCAGTTACTTTAGCAGTAGGAGAAACTTAGAAATGCCTTGTTAGCTCATTGCCAGTGTCACCATTACCAATTACTCTGCATTCAACCCTCATTCCCAGGGTGTGAAGCAGCAGCCAGAGAAGCTAGGAAAGAAGGTGGTCTACCACAAAACAAGGGATCTTGTCACCAGGAAGAGAAAGATGCTGATCACTACCAGCATTTTCTAGGGAAGGCTCCTGTCCTCAGCACCTCCCAGGGTCTCCCAGCGATCCCTAGGGAGGAACCAGCACTCTAGCAACTCACCTCCATAAGAAGCCACATGAGATCCAGCAGCTGCTGAATAAGGGGATGGGCCTCCACTGCCCCTCCTCGCTCAAGGATGCTCAACAGGAAGGTCATGAGCACATCTTCTACGAGGTACACCTTGCACTGCAGACAGAGAGCCAGGTCAACAGTTCTCCAAGGCACAGTCGCTTTCCGACGAAAGCTGAGGTTTACCTCCCCTTGCAAGCACAATAACAGGCACCTACAGAAGCTTGCGATCGGCAGGCAAAACTCACCATAAGAGGAGAGAAATAATTGAAGATGTGGGCTAAAGTAATCAACACTGTGGGTTCTCCCTGCAGCTGCCACGTGGATGTGTCTTTCTCCACCAGCTTCCCTTCCTGCAATGACAAACCCAGAAAAGCACATGGCTTGGATCCAGCCCAATCCACCCATACACCAATGACTGAATGACCCAGAGGCCTGGAGCAGCCACTGTTTGCTGTCCCATGCCTGACTGCAGTAAAAACCTTGAACACGGGAATTTAGGATGGCAAAGCAGCCAGGCCCATGCCTCTGGAGAGCTGTAGTGCAGTCCAGATGGCAGTTATTATCAGCCACATGCATGCACTTTGACAATGTTTTTCCAAACAGGTTCAAGTGTATATGATAATTTGTAAATGGGAATCTCTACAGAGGAGGTGAGCTAGTAAAGCAGAGCTCCATTCAAGCCAAGACCATAGCAGATGACATTCCCTATGCTCTGGGCATAAGCAGGTCGTCTCTCACTCTAGTGGAAATAAATGGTTTCTAGCGAACGGTGTCAGAGCCCAAATAGTTCTCAAAGCAGATCTGCCAGAATTTTACCACATCACTGCACCAGGACATCAGTAAAATGTTTAGGATATGAACAAGCTTCTTTCAAGGCTGCAAAATCAAATCCAGCAGTTCTGACCCTCACAAGCATCACCTTTTGCATACTGGGAATGAAACTTCATAGGACTGAGAAGAACCAAGCCCAGTATGACTTAAATTCTGGAACTATCAGGAATTCATTTTTCAAGCTGAAAAGCTCCAGGGACATGCACACCTCATGCAAAAACATGCAAGCATTTAGATTCTCAGGCGTATGGGAACATCTGAGCTGCCAGCATGTGCTGAGAAGTGCGGAACCACATTTCCCAGCACGGTGCTCCGCAGATCCACTCAGTGACATCAGCCTACCGCCACATCTATTCTGATATGGATCACATTCTTCAAGTAGCCTAACAGCTTGCGAGCCTTCACTAGGTCTGCAACAGGAGGATCTTGCAAGGGGCGGTAACCTTCCACTGGATAAGTAGGCAAGCGTTAAGGTAAAATGCAATCTGATCCTTTCAGGACTTCTTTTGTTTGTGCAAGGAAAAGACTGTGTCCCTATCTTAGGTTATACCCACGCATACCACAGTCACAGTTCAAACCACAGCACCTTCTAAACGGATGATAAGCCACAAGCTCTTATCCCCACTTCCTCAATATTGCAAGCAGCAAGTATTTCACACCCCACTTCTGCTCTCATCAGAAAGACCAACAGGAGCCTCCACTACAGCTATCAACACTCACATCCAGGACTGCTCTGACAGGAGTTGCAGGTTTCAGCATTTGCACAGGAATACAGCAGGCAATGCTAATACCATGTCAGAGGTCCCAGGCAGCTGGGAGGTAGAGGAGACCAGTGGCCAAGAGGCTCGGCAACACAGCAACACTAGGGTTTCCAAAACTGGAGAGTGAGATCTTTGCAGGATCTGAGTAGCTGGGAACAGGCAGCCCCAGCTGCAGCAGTAGCTGCTGATTCAGAGCTGAAACCAAATCTCATTTCCTAAACTTGTTGGGGACCAGCACTGATGTTTGCGTGCCCTGCAGTTCTACTCCAGCTGAGGTTCTTCTTTCCTTGACCCTGCTCTGTGCACAGGTGCCAACAGAAGAAAGTGAACTGCAGCCAGGTATGTATATTCTACAGTCTCCAAAGATGGTCTCAGGACAGGCTCTTCTCCCTTCAGATCCCCCCCTCTCCACACCTAAAGGATATCGGAGTGGACGGCTTCCGAAGTTAAACGCAACTGACTCTTTGAATGAGAGGCTGATGGCAGGGAAGTAAGCCATCCCAGCACCCCTCGTGATGTTATCAAAAGCGGTTCCCAGAGATATGCCGTTCCTGAAAGAAAGAAAACCCACGAGATTTTAGTCACAGTAGGAAGATTTTGAGGTCAATTTGGCAATCCGGGTATCTGCATTCCCTTCCCAGCAACTTGCCAACATGGACACATCAGTCAGTCATGCCTCCTGTCACTCTTAATCCAGCACGCATGCAAACGTCACAGCTCTGCTGAGTAACAGCCATGGGAAGCACTCTCATTTTCATATGACAGCACAGGAAGGCGCTGGAGCCTACACAACATGCAGAGCCCACTTAGCTTCAAGGGCAACCCAAATCCTTATGAGATAACTAGCAGGACATTTTAAAAGCAGGTGACATTTTTGGCCTCATCCATTTGATGCTGGTAGAAAGATAATGCTCTCAATCTGCTCTTCTCTAAAAGATGACCTGGAGCATCTAACAGTTTTTAATTCTGGCTGACTTGTGGCAGACTGTAGTTTAGGGCCAGGGAACAATTCTTATTTAGGCTGGCCTCTGCTTATTGTGCACAGGAGTTGCAGGCTGGAGATTTATCAGCCTTTCTGCGGCTCCTTGTGAATCTAGGACAGGCAAAGTCTACACTGACCACAAAAGCAGTCAGCGTGGCTCAGCCAGTATTAAGCATCACGAGAGATGCCCTCCCCTCCAAAATTCTAGCAAACTTTACACAGACTTTGTAGTTTGAATGTCTTTCTTCTAAATGCTCTCACCTGAACTTAGGAGACTCAACAGCCCGTTTAGATGGTTTCTGAACACAAAGCAAAAAAGCAAAGGCTCGAACTACCAAGGAACTTAAAAAGGGAGAGGGCAGAAATAGGGCTCAGCAACTTGCTGAGCAGTGAGGAAATCTTTATGTTACACACAGACATCAACAAATCAGGGAACTGGGCAAAGATGCTTACAAGCAGAAAGCAATGGTGCCCTCATCAAGGTCTATCAGACAGCTGACGATGTCTCCTGCTGCCCAAGACTGCAGTAAAGGGAGAGAAAATGTTACACATATATCCAGGGTGTTCCCACATCAGAAGAAAGACTGCAACCCAACCAATCCCTTGTGGTTCAGGGTTGAAGAAGAGAGTTTCTTCTCACAGCAGCTCACATAGTGTTTTCAGACACTTCTGGAAGCTGCACATAAGCCACTGACTGGGATCTTTTTTCCCTCCCACACTAGGAACATGCACAGGATCAAACATGTATTTATCCCAACATTGCATTATCCTCTGACGTGCTACAGAGAACCAGAGCCTTCCAGGGGCCAACAGCAGTACTATGCTGGGAATCAGTCTGCTGGGGCTGCTAAACAAAGCACCCACATAGCATGTCCAGCACCCCTGAAGTACAACACACAGCCTCCTCAAAAGCAGACTAAAGCAGGGAGGACAGCTTGAGGGCATTTCACAAGGCCCAGCAGAATCCAGCGAGCAGAAGGAGCCACCTGCTTTCTCCTTACTCTACATCCTGTTTCTGGGAGGACAGATACTCACTTTGCCATAGTTGGTAGTAGTCACATTCCACTTGCGCACCCTGTTTCCATCATACGCATATGAATCTGGTGTATCTCCAACTCCTTCCTGCACCAAAGTATGAAAGAGGAAACTCAGACCAGACCAAGCACAGAGGATCTCTCTCATTGCAAGAGCGGCTTTAAGGGGGAGACCAGAAGACAGCACACATGCTCTGCCTGGGAAAAGCCCTCACTCTAGGAGCGAACCCAGTGGCCTGTGATCTTTGGTTCAGAGAAATACACCACTCCCTATTCATTTTTGGGTCAGAAAAAAAGAGTACTGCCATGACATCCTACACTTCCTACTTCTGTCAAAGCAGCCCCCAGGATGCCCACTAGCCCCCCTCTCACATGTCACAGAGTGGCAAGTTAGTGAAACTCTGCAGCTGACATCCCAGCATCAAATATCCCACCAGGTGCCTGAGAAGACCTGGCCTGGGTGGGCCTGTCTCTCCTGGGCAAAAAAGCCCTGTAGTACCAGCTGCTGAGGGCCATCCTGAGACACAGGCTGCCAGCACTGCAGACCCACACACTCTCTGGAGAAGACATCAGCTGAAAGTCAACACACAGCAGTGGCTACGTGCGGCAAGAGCACAGCAACACATCCAGTGTGCAAGGCTTTTACACCATGCACCATTCTGTGAACACAGACCAGAGTCTAGTAAATATTTTTAAAACAGAAGATCTAGTATTCCTCATGTGTGTTCTGGGCACAAAATGCCAGCAGGGCAGGAGCACAGCACCAATGCAATGCTCCACTGACCTAAAAAGCAGTGAAGGAACACAGAGCAGCCTTGTGCCATGTGCAGCAGTTACACTACCTCCTGATTAAATCTGCAGTTGAGAGTACACCAGCCAATCTGCATGAGTCCCTGGGAGGAGATGAGCACCTCGTAAATCCATTTCCCTGAACAAAGGAAAACATGCCACACAGTAAATCCCTGTCGCCCGGCTCATTGCTAGAGAAGCAGAATCTGACATTGCTCCCACAGGAAAGAATGTGGCACACAAAGTTGCATTCCCCTCCCACCTCTTCACTCCAGCATCACACAATCCTCCATCCTTCTGACTTCCTGGAAAAGCTAGTGAATGAACTGGGGAAGAGGGGGCTCAAGATCTGGAATTGCAGCATATTCAAGAGCTTTCTAGATGTGTAACTCTCCACACACTCTTCCCATGGTGTTTTCTCAAAGCATCACCTGCTTTTCTCCTTACCTTTATACACACATGTCGTGGCCCTGATGGAGCCAAAGTTACTGTGGCCAATCACCTGGACCAACATACAAAAGATATTTTATAGTCAGACAAAAGACAGTTTTGCTCAGCCCTACCCATTCCCTCCATCCTAGCCCTCAAAACCAAAGTAAGATGGAGAGCTATTCACAAACACAGTGTAGGGAAGAGACAGGACATCTTCCCCATCCCAGTAGTTGTACTTGGAGCTGACAGGCCCTGGGGAACCATCCAGGTCCTCCTCACAGCTCACCTGTACTTGATAAATCCCAGTGAAGCATGCAGCACCGCAGCAGTACAAGGGCAATGTGGTGACAGACAGGTTCCCAGTGAATTGTGACAGGTATACAAAAGTGACTATTATATAAGAAAGACGCCTGAATCCTGGACAAGTTAGAACCAAACTACAGATTTCAGGGTGTCCAGACTAAAGCCCAAGACTGGCAGGTAACATGCTGCCCAGAAATTGAACCCTGTTAACTCCTGGCTCTCTCAATCTCAGGACAGATCATAAAGAAGAGATGAAGGTAGCAACAAGGAATTCATAGGCAAGCCAGTCTGATCCGATATAAGTACAGCCAAGGTAAACTACAGCAGGTGCTTAATGGGAAAGGGGAGACCAGGGCAACCTCCCCTGCTAGAGGTAAAAAGGGATACATAAAGGAGGGAATGAGCACAGGAACATGGGATGTGCGTGTACACGGAAGCGGTGAAAGGAGTGCAGAAATTACTGAAGTGGGAAAGGATTAAATTCCAATGGATTATTTCAGCTGATTTTCTGCATGAGGAATATCAGCTAAGGAGCAAGCAGGGAACTAGTGGAAACAGAGGAGAAAGAAAAGCCTCAGCTTCAGCCTCTTGACATCATTAAAGAAGACCAGAAGGAGGAAGGAAGAGGCAGTCTGCTGGAGGGAGGGACAGGAAAGCTGGCTGCTGGCCTTTCCTCTGCTTAGCCAAGCTCTTCACTGAGCCCCTGGGCCAGGGTGATCCTTTCAATTGCTCACAGCTCCGCTCAGAGCTTTCTGAGACTTAAGGGTACTCCTTTTCCCAGGAAAGCTCATTTCCTCCAGGATCCTGCGGGTAGACTCCGTTTACAACACGCTACAAGACACTGACAGGCATCTGTTATGAAGAACAAACCAAGAAGCCCAAAGTGCTTTTAGTCCCATGAGACCATTTTCTGTTGCACCCAGCATCACACTCACCCCAAGTAAGTCATCATCAACCAGCAGGAGCCCCTCAAAACCGCTCGTGTGGTCCAACACCACAGTAGAGGGACCAAGCCGGCCCTCTGCTACCTGATCTGAAACAAGAGTTGCAGAAAACCTGTCAGGGAAAGTTGTGCAGGATTTAGCTGTACACCTGATGAGTGCCTCCAGCTAGACTACAACAGCACTTGGATTCTGCTACAGTGGAGGAAGACTAAGACAGTGTTACCCATGGTAGAGCATGAGAATCTCAGGAAAGGAGACACCAGTGAGATTTAAAAGGAAGTTAACACAGCAACACACAAGGGCTTAGCTATGCAGCATTCAGGTCATATGTTAAGTTTTCTGCATTGCCTGAAAATTTATTTTGGCAGAATTCAAAGAGCAGACTAAACTCTGAGCCAAATATTTGTCCAACATACCATGCTTTGCTTGTAGCCAGCAAGAAAAATTCTTTTTAGAAGAGGAGCCAGGTTGTATCCTGCCACATCCTGACTCATTCAGGGAAACGATGCTAGCAAGAATACAGGCAACAGCCTGAGGCCCGAAGTGAATACATACAATGGAGACCAGTATGTAAAAAATGTCAACAAGCCTCTGCATTTCCTACTGAGGATAGCATCACACACTGCTGGTCACAGCAATGGCTCTGCATAACATTACCAGTGCTTTAAAACTGCTTTTCCAGGCATTTTCACCTGGAAATATGGTGCCTCCATCTGCAAGGAGACCTGTTCCAGGGCCGGCTGATGAGCCCATCATGGGCAGGACTTAAATGTACAATAAATTAGAGCACAGGCAGGCAGAACAACACTCGCTCAGGAAACTGCCTTTCATGATACAACTTGTCCTCCCAATTAAGCAGCACAAGCAGAAGCACAAATTGGACAGACATTCAGTGTCTCCTACCTCGACTGTCTTCAGAGCCACTCTCCTCTGCTAGCAACCGGTCAAGGTGCTCCTGCAGGTTCTGGAACGTCAGGTGCTTTCTAGGAAATAAACATGCACAGGAGCTCTTCAGAAAACTCTGTCTCCAAGTTTTAAAGAGTTTCAGCCCAGACACATGTGTTCACACAGTCCTGCACTGTGAGACATGAACTGGGAAGTTCTGTCAATCTGCATTTCTTGTCATGAATCTGAGGAATTTGCTGTCTAGGGTGCTGGGGCAACGAATGAACAAAGGACCAAATATAGCATGAACAAGGGATATTAAAGTTTTCAGTCTGCTTGGGAGTATTTTGTGGCAATAAGAAAACTGTACTGCAGTACAGTGGCACTAAGAAACCAGCTGTACTACCAACAACTGTGGACCATGACTTTGCTGCAGTCAGCATCATACAAACATGGCATAAGTCAGGATTTGTTTTTTTCCCCAAGTATTTCATAATACAAAAGAAGAGAGAAGACCACATCAGCAGCTGTAGCAGTTCAAAGGACAGGCTAGCCCAGCATCCTCTCTCTGACAACAGCCAAAACCATTTTGTTTTCAAATTGAGAAGTCTCTCATGCAACCCCTCTGGACCACTACTTTAAAGAAACTTCTCATACTGCCCCTCCCCTGGTTCTCTCTTTTCAAGGCTAGTTTACTTAGCTGTTCCTTGTACAAGAGCCATTCCAGACATCTGACTTGTCTTACACTTTCTCATAAGCTCTGCAGCCCTAAAATACTCTTTGGCGAGACCAGAACCACATGATACTTGAGATAAGGGTAAGCCACAAATTTATTCAGTAGCATAATGATTTTCTTTATCCTATATCCCTTTCCTAACAATTCCTAACTTCCTACTTCCTTTTTCTGACTTAGTATTCCCACCCCAACTTCACTCCTATGAAGTAAAAATCAGCCTAGGGCTCATAATTTTGTGCACAATGTTGAGGCTGTTCCCCTGCACCGAGTTCCATAGACCATTTCACTATCACAGCCACCTTACCTCTACATTGTTCTAAATAGCTTTGTGACAGCAGCAGACCTTCCCACCTCATGCTCTCTCCCTTTCCAAGCCTCTGAAGGATATGCAGAAAAACACACGTCATGTTGCAGGTCTTTGAGGGGACCCAGCAGGACTCTCTTTTACTGTGAGAGTCGCTAGTTGCTCCTATCCCTGCTTCCAATTTTCAGAGCCATCTGTGGAACAACTTCCCACTTGCCAGGACTAGGGCTTTCCCTAAGACTGTGGTGAGACCTTTTGAAAGCCTCATGGATGTGAAGATGCACAGAAGTGGAATCAAAGAATTGGTTTTGGTTGGCGTGAGAGAAGGTGGCTTCAGCAAAGCAGCTTAACCAGCAGTTAGTATGGAGGAGTAGTTCTGGAAGGAGGTTAGAAGAGCATGAGACAGCCAGAGACACGTTTGCAGTGAGTTCCTCTATGAGGAATTTAGGCCTTCGAAGACAAGATGTCATACCATAAAGTTGCTCTCATATGGCAAATGTTTTCAAGACCTATCTGACTGCTACTGGGCTTTCTACCAAACCCAGGGAAAAGGGTGGAAGGCAGGAAAAAAAGAGAGAGATCAGTCCAACAAACTATCAGTTCTCTCCTTTCAAGTCATTAATCACCAGGCAAAGAAATCAGAAATACTGAAAACCAAAATGCTCGGGCAGATGGAATATTCCAAGGCACGCTGGCAGCAGAGCTTGTGGCAAAGTAACATGACCCAGTTTGCCTCCCCCCCGCAATAACTCTAGCTCACCAAGAGTGGAGAGGGCCAAGAGCTATTTTTAGCAGCTCTGAGCTCACATTTGAGCTGGCAGCACTAAGTATAGCCCATGGAATGTGACCCCAGCCACTCTGCAGCACTGCCAACCAGCAGGAGCTACACGCCTGTCTCACTCTACCACACTTGTACCTGCCCTGAACCTGTCTGACTTGCCTCTGGTGAAAGAGCTAAGTGCAAGGGAAATTCTTCTCATCCAAACCTACAAGTTTCTGGAATACAAGGTGAAGGAGAACTGGAAACAAACAGAAGAAAACAGACAGTAAACAGGAATTTTGTGTTACTTTTCCTTTGGTGACTCCTAATAATAAAAGTACCAACAGTTCCACAGCCTGAGAAACGTACAGTATTCCATATATCAGTAATAGCTTTGCCTTTAGTTTACAGAGCACTGATGACCTATTTTTCACTGCTGTACCTAAAACCTGTGCATTTTGCACTTCCTTACAAGAAAAGAGGGAACAGGAACAATAAGGTGAATGCCTACTTGCCTATTTATTTCAGAAATGTTGTGTAGTGATTTTGTATATGGGGTTTTTCATATAAAAATTCTGAAAAATCCTTCCTAGCAAGCCCTGCAATTTGAAAAAGCTATTAAAGGACAAGACCTAAGAGTCAAGAGTAATTTCTATAACACGATGCTGCTGTGCTTTTAACAAAGATCACTGTGTGGCACTAAAAGATCTTTCCTTTCACTGCAGTGCTGTATATCTGGGGACTGATACAGCATCATTTGCCATCTAGTGAATGAGAAGTACAATACCTGTAAGCAGCTGCAGGCTGGTTCCCATCAGCATTGGTAAAGACACGATGCAGATAATCATTCAGCAGCCTGCTGTTCACGATTCCTTGTGAAAAACAGAAAGGAAATAAGCTTAGGGAGTCAGGAGGTAAACTCAAACATTAATTTCATGTACAAGCAGGAAACTGGTAACTGTGGGAAAATGATGTTCAAGTTTGCAGATCAACACAGTGGAAAGAACAGCTTCAAGAAGCCATTCACTGTCTTACTGTGTTCACTAGCAGCCCTAGAGTCCAGCATTATGGGGTGCATCTTCTCAACAAGGGCACTTTCCACTTTGAGCTGCTCTACGATAGCAAATGGGAGGCTATACATTGGTCCCCACAGGTAGAACTACATCCTCAGGAATCCTGATGTGCTACTTCCAGATAAAGTAACTTCAAAAGCTGGAGCTGGGACTTCAATTTCACTTCAAAAAAATAAAAATAAAAATCTTATCACTATTGCAATTCCTGATATCCTATTCATACCTGGGACCTTTTAAGTACCTATGCCTCTTAACTGCACTAGAAGATGCTGAGACAGAAAGGCTTGCAAATGCAGCTCATCTCGTCTAACCCACAACCCTCTTTAATGATGTATGCCTCACTTTAGCTTTCATTGTGCAAAACAATCCCTAGTGTCACATTGATGCAGTGTGCTTTATTTCTGGGTGCAACAGTGCCCTCAAATGCCAGACTTGTGGTCTCATAAGCACGCTTCTGCTGGATTGGTGAATCCAAGAGAAAACAGAACACCTGGCAGGTACCAAAATTTCCCAGAAAAGGATTAATCTGAGAACTTGACAAGCTGTTCATCCTGGAAGGGGAACTTCCTAAATCAGATGGGGCAAAGGCAGGCAATGTAACATTCTCCAGCCTCCTGAGGCAGGGCTGTGTGCTGAAGAAGGGGCACTGTGACACGAGCTTCTGGAGTCCCTCCCAAAATCTCATCTCAGTTCAGGGATTTACTCAGTTCCAGACCCACCACACCTCACATCAGCAACGTAACTGCAACTGGAAGGCAGCTGACCTTAAGTGAGGCAAGGGGCGCTCACCCGATCCACAGTGGTCCTGCTTTTACACGGCACGTACAGACCCATACCTGTGACCTTGGACTTCTCTGGCTCGGTGCTCAGCCTGTAGTTCTTCCTCGAGAAAGCAGTCCCAGCACCTCTCGACGTCATTCTTCACAGGCACCACTTCCAGAGCGGACATAAGATGGACAGACGCCGAGAACAAAACTTGCTGGGGAGGATGCTGCCTTTAGAATTCTCCCTTTTTTGAAGGTTGGTGTACCTGGATTGAACAACAGGGATAAGCAAAAAATAGCCAGAGTCCTTGCACTAACGACATCATACAAGAGCCCAAAGCCAACTAAGTGCCAACCCTGTTTTCAGTCCCACCTGTCCAACAGCTCAAATTCTTCCCAAGGCAGACAAGGTGTTAAGCCACACTCCGGGCAAGCACACAGACCCTGCTCCAACCAAAGGCACAGGCAGAACCAAGCCAGAAACACAGGCAACCTTTGCACTGAGTTTGAGTCAGAAGCACCGAGCCAGCACAGGGCCGCCACTGCCAAACACCACTAAAACTGGCAACCACGTCACACTTCTACTCATGTCCTGATGAGACACTTCTGCCTTTCTCTCCCACACTGTATTCTTTAAGATAGGAATATGCACCTGGTTAATCTTCTGTTTAACAGGTTATTAGATTATTCTGCTATCCGAAACAGAGAGAGAGGGAGAAGGAATGAGACATACGCAGATGAACTGGACTACAAGAGAATATCACTGACTGCAAAGCAAAGGACCCCGCTGTAAGTTTTGGACAAAACCAGATGCAGGTAGAAGTATGCAGAAGTGTTTACAGGTGAAAACCTACCACAAGACTAAAGATTCATGACCCTTCCTGGTATCACTAGAATGCAAAGGATGCTATCAGAGCTGATCTGACACGTGCCAGGACGAAAAGAATAAATTCAAGTTGCTAGTTCCATCCAACTTCAAAATGTTAGGTTATACCCCTCTCCTGTTTCTGATTGTCCTGATAGCCAACCATCACTGGAAGTCTCTCTTGTTCACTAGACAGCTGTCTGACAAACTGCTCTGTGACACGCAGAGCAACAGGAAGATGCAACAGGAGCAAAGGCTGTGGGAATTAAATGCTTGCCAGCAATCTCATACAGAGCAGAAACTAAGGCAAACCCAAGAAAAGTCAGTGAACTTGCCAAGTGATGCAAGTGCCATGGCAACTCCACTGGCAGATCACCTGAGCTTCAGCAAGACGCAGGAAAGGATTTCCTAAAGCCCCTTTCCTCAGGTACACCCCAGCATCCAGCAGTGGAGCAGCACTGCCTGGTGTCCCTCCTGCAGCACTGCTGAGCAAAACCACAGGAACAAAGCAAAATCCAGCCTGGTTCAATGGCCCTGAACGATCCGCATCAGACTCAAAACAAGGAATAAAACACTAAACAGAAACACATCATTTACTACCAAGCAGACAGCACAATGTGTACTAATCTAAAAGTACTGTAAATGTGAGAGACCATTTCACCTCTGTCAAGACAAGTTAAAAACACCTGCTGAGTGTAACAGGGAGTGCCCCTAGCTCTTCCCAAGAATGGCTGGTCCGGTACCCACACTGCTGAAACAGCCTGAATGCCCAGGCTGGGTGCAGCTTGGCCACACCGGCACCGTACGAGACACACTGCTGCAGTGCCAGGGTTTCTTTCGGTTGGAGCAGATGCTGCTTTCAACAGGTCACAGAAATGGCAGAGCAGGGGGACACACATCTGTCCCTTCACTGCTCCCATGTGCTATTCACAAAACTGGCTCCAGTGAAGACACCCAGCTCTGAGACTGACCACAGGTTAAACTCCTTTTCCTAGGCAACTGCAAGCAGCTTTCAGCAGAAGGGCAGAATAAACAACAAGGGGGGAAGCCAGACCTCTTAAATTGAGCCAACTGGAGACAAACGAGGAGGCTGAGGAGCTGGGCCAGCAAACACAGGTTTGTCCAGCAGCTCCAACCAAGCCCTGCCGCTCTCACAGGGCAGCGGGGATGAAGCCGGCACGGAGACAGCCGGGCAGCACAGGCTCCCACGCCGCTCGCAAAACTGCTCTGCACTAAAACCACCCGTGGGTGACTGTGGCACCGCCAACCTGGCAGCACCCCCACAACAGGAACACCAGGCAGCATTGCCCAAATCCAGGAACCGAGCCTAAAACCAGGCACGTCCCACAGCCGGCAGCACCCTCAAAGCTGGTGGCATGTCCCAAGCCCTGCGACACCTCCAAACCCGGAGACACTCCCTAAACAGGCAAGCGCTTCCTTGCAGCCATAGGCACCCCCCCACACCCGGCGGCACCCTCCATGCCAACAACCACCCTGAAACCCGGGGGCGCCTCACGTCTGCCCACAGCCCCCAAAGCCCTAAAAGCCCCAACAGTCACGAGAGCACCCCCCCAATAAGGCGACTGCCCCCCCAAAACCGGGCGAAACACCCCGCGACCGGCCGCAACCCCAGCCCCCCACCGCCCGGCCCCCAGCTCCACGGCAGAAGGAACAGCCCCGGGTCCGGGTCCAGCGGGAGCCCAGCGGCGCCGGGGCCGAGCACGGGGGAGCCCGGGGCGGCTGAGGCCTGGCGGCCGCCGCACTCACCGCCGGTCCAGCCGCGCCGCCGCCGCCGCCGCGCTACGGCGAGCCGCGAGGGCCATGGCGGGCGGGCGGGCGCGGCCCCGCGTTGCCGGGAGACGGGCGGCCCGCGCCGCAGGACCCGCGCTGCCCGAAGGCCCTGCCGGGGCACAATGCCCTGCGAGGACAGGGGCAGAGAGCCACAGTGCGGGGTGGGTGGGAACATCCCCCGGGGAAAAAGAGCAGCTGCCCAGGTCAGCAAGGTCCGAAGCCTACGGCCATGACATTGGGCAGCTGAAAAAACTTTGGGCTGTCCGCCGCCTCACAGGAGTGGGTGCGAAGTGCCGAGGCGGGGGCCCGAGCCCTCGGCACCCCCGGGAGCGGGGCGGCTGCTCCTGCAGCCAGCGCAGAGCCGAAAGGCAGGTCCCGCGGGGCAGCCGTCGAGGCTGGCACTGTTGGCCGACCGGTGCTGGTCAGGCCGTGCGAGCCCAGGGCTGCAGCCCTGGCCCAGGCTGCGGCTCTGCTCCTGCCCTCGGCATGGGGAGCGCTGCCGGCAGGTCGGGGAAGGGGATCCTTCCTCTCTGCGCCGCAGCGCTGCGGCTGCACCTGCAGGGCTGCCGCCGGCCCTGGGCTCCCGGCTCCAGGGGACAGAAGCCACCTTGGAGCCCGGCCTGGGCTCGCACAGCCCATCCGCTCCGACGCGGCGCGTGGCCGGGGCACAGCACGGGGCCTCAGGACGGCACCTCAGCGTCGCAGGTGGCCCAACATCGTCATCTCCCGAAGTCGTCCTTAGCGCTTTGGTGACGTGCTGCCTCCAGAAGGAAAAGCAGCGGCAGCGCGAGCTGGGGACTCACGGCGCGAACGGCCTGCCTTCCTCCGTGGCAATAAACTGCCTTTCAGAGACAGTGTGAGCCCGTCCTTGGTGGGCAGGGAAAGTGCAAATGGCCCATGGGAGGAACTCATGTCGGAGAAAGTTTGTGGAGGACTGTCTCCTGTGAGAGGGGGACCACGATGGAGAAGGAGGAACAAGTTCCGGACAGTCCCCTCATCGAAGAGAAGAGAAGTGGCAGCGCTGACTGCACCCCCCATTCCCTGCCCCTGCGCCACTGGGGGAGGAGGTAGAGATATCGGGAGCAGAGCTGAGCCCGGGAAGAAGGGAGGGGTGGGTGGAAGGTGTTCTCAAGATGTGGCGATGCCTCTCACTGTCCTACTCTGTTATGTGCTGTTAGTGTCTGTAATAAATGTATGTTTTTTTCTTCTTCCCCTAACGAGTCTGCCTTTTGCTCGTGATCATAAAAGGGGGATTTTTCCCCCATCCCAGTCCTATCTCAAACCCCAAGCCTGGCTCTCTGTCCCTTCTCATTGCCGGAGGGGAAGGGAGAGAGAGCTGCTGCATTGCGGTTGGCTGCGGACCAGGCCTAAACCACGACACCGTCTCGCCACAGGATACAGTGGGGCAGACTCTGCTCTGGCACACCTCCCCCCTCCTTTCTTCCTCCGTTCCCCCACTGGCCTTGGTGTTCACGCAGCTGCGGCAAGTCCTCCTCACAAGTCCCACTCCTCCTCACCAGGTCCCTTCTTAAATGCGTTATCGCAGAGGTGGAGCTGCTTGGCTCGGCCCTGCTGCAGAGGTAGGGCCTGCTTGGAGCTGGGGGAGCTTGGAGAAGCTTCTCAGAGAGGGCCAGCGCTGTCGCCCCCTCCCCTGCTACCAAAAAACCCCACCGCTCCCTCAAAGCCAGGACAAGCTGGTACAGCAGCAACCACGGTGGGCGACAGGAGCTGGAACTGGGGAAGGCCAATGCCCTTTGGCTACTACTGTAGCAGCACCATCTGCAGCAACCTTCATGTCACACCTCCAGAGGTGACTCTGAGGGGAACTTTGAAAGCAGAGGCGCTTTGCCGCTTGTGCGTTCGAACTTTCCCCGGGGAAGCGGAGCAGGCTGCGGGGCCAGCGAGGCCCGAAGCCCACGGCCATGGCGCTGGGCAGCCGGCCAAGGCCAGCCCGCGAGGAGGGAGGTCTGGGGAAGGTGCTGCCAAGACCCGGGGAGAAGACAACCCTGTGGGCCCGGCGGAAGCCAACAAAGGAGCGTGGAATCTCCCAGGGCAGAGATTAACAGTCAACTTTATTGGAGCGGTGGTGGGGGATCAGGGCCAGCAGGCAGGGCCGGCGCAGGGCTGGTCGCGCGTCAGCGTCCGGGCCGGCTGTAAGGGTTCTGGGCCCGACGTCGTAAGCGGGAGCGGTCTCGTCCCCGCACGGGCCCGGGGCGGCTGGGGCGGCGGCTGCTCTGGAGCCGTGCAGAGCTGGGGGTGCTGGGGCTGCCGGTCTCGGGTACCGGGGAGCCACGGGAGCATCCCGGCACCGACTGTGCGGGGCTGCTGCTCTCAGCCCTGGGTGCTGGTGCGCGGCTCCTGCCACGGCCTCTTGTGCGCCGGCTGTAGGGCTTTTGGGCCCGACACCGCGAGCGAGAGCGGTCCCGCAATCGGTCAGGCCCAGGTGGACGGCACCAGCTGCGGCCCACAAGCACTGGGGAGCCGTGGGAGAGGCCCGATGGCGCCTGGAGACCAGTGCTGCTGGGGCTGCTGGTCTCTGGTGCTGGAGAGCTGTGGGACGGCCCCGATCGTGACTGGCTCTCGGTGATGGGACCCGTGACCTCCGAGCTGCCACTGGAGGCTGTAAGGGGGAGCAGGAAGGTCACGGGCACGGCCCCCCAGTCCCGCGGCAGGAGAGGCCAGAGCGGTGCCCCCAGCCCCCCTGGAGCAGAGGGGCTCTGCCAAGCCCAGAATGGGCACCCGCTGCCAGGCCTCGCCCGGGGGCACCCGGGTGCTTTGCCTCTTACCGGTGCCCAGGCCAGCACAGCTGTTGCACTCCCATCTGGCCGCGCCGGTCCCCAAGTGGGAGCATTGTCTGTGGGTGCCCTCGGCAGCGCAGGAGCAGCACAGGAGCAGTTGCCAGGGCCTGGGGAAACAAACGGGTGCGTGGCTGTGAGGACAAAGTGACCACAGCACGGGATTGTCCGGCAGAGCTCTTGTTCTCCGTCCCTCCGCTTCGAGCCCTTGGCGAGACAGAGATCCTGGGCAGAGCCCAGGTTGCCGCTCGGGCAACTTACCCCTGTTCCTCTGCGTGCTGCCTGCCTCCTGGGCAAAGGCACTCACGGGCATCGCAGCGGCTGTGCCTCTCATTTTCTTCATCATCTGCGTGCCCATTCTCCCATGCTGGGGATCTGAAGCACAAGGGAAAATGGATGAGCCCCTGCTGCCCCGGCATAAGGCAGACGCAGGGCGTCCCTGCTCTTCCCCCCCTGCCCGCTTTCTGACTCCTGCGTGAAGCTGAAGCCCAGGCTGAGGGGAGAGAGCGGAGGGTCGGGAGCGCAGGGGCAGTCCCTGGCACGGCACAACGCTGGCACCCTCCTGTCTGGTGGGGCGGGCAGGACACCAACCTGAAGATGATTCGGATGCCCATGGTGAGCATCTCTTTGAGAAATGCACGCCTATCTCTACAGAGAGGGCACTGGAAGCAAATGCCGGCGCGCGCAGCCTGTCCCTGCAGGGGAAACATGAGGAGCAGGCGTGAGGCCTTGGTGCTGCTGGGCGCCCGCCGTGCCCCCCCCGTGGGCGAGGGAAGGGCTCCTACCTGGATGCAGGCCCTCTGGAACCAGGCGTGTTTGCACACTGGGCACACCATGGTGCCGTAGGACTTCCTGTCCTCAACAGGGTCCAGGCAGATGAGGCAGGCGGTGTTCTCCCCCGGAGCCGCCTCCACTGCCTGCTCTGGGCGGTGCTGCCAGCAGAAGGACCTGGGGAGGCAAGAGGAAAGGGAAGGGTGAGGAGGTGGGAATGGCTGGGTCCATCCCCGGAGGCGACAAGAAGGGGAGAGGAGGTACCTGTACTGAGGAAGGAACTGCGTGACGCATTCCCCCTCCACGGCGCAGGGGAGGTGGAAGCTGCGGTCGCAGCCCTCCTGGCAGCAGGTGATGGCGGCCCCGCTCTCGCCACAGACGAAGCAGCGCTGGAAAGAGCAGAGCAGCCCCCATCAGCGGCAGCCTCAGGGCCTCCAGAGCCAGCCCCACGCCTCCGGGCAGGGCGCAGGATGTGGCCCCACTGCTGGGTCAGAGCCCACGGATGCACCCGGTGCACGAGGCTCCTGTGCTGGGTCTGGGTGGAGGCTCTGTGGAGCTGCTGGGTGCGAGACTTTTGTCCCAGAGCTGCTTGGAAGGGCTGGGATTTCTTTCTTGGGGTCTGGGCTAAGCTCCCACATCGCTCCCGTGGCACCACAGATCTCCCTGAGCTTATCCAGTTCTCACCTTCTGCGCTGCGTGCTCGACTGTACAGCGAATATCTTCCAAGGGGAATCCCATCAGGGCCACGCTGTTGACCCATTGCCGGACGAGGCCGGTGGCAAAAAACTGCGCAGAAGAGAGGAGACGAGGAGGTGATGAGGAGGAGAGCGTGGCCGGGGCTGCCTGTCGGCAAGCTGGAGGGAGCCCCGGGGGCACTCACCAGGCAAAAGACGTGGGCGCAGATCCCTTGCTTCTGCAGTTTCTTCCCGCAGATGTGCGGGTCAGCCTCTGCCCGGCCACACAGCATGCATGCTGGAGGGGAGAGAGCAAACGACAGCGGGAATGAGCAGCTCACCTCTGCAGGGCCGGGGACAAGCGGCCCTGAGGGCTGGCCTTGCAGGCACGGGTGTCCCAGCAGCAGGTGCCCACGGCCCAGCCTGGGCCCCGCTGGCTGCGGCACGGAGGGGCCCTGCCCCGGGGCGCTTGGGGAGCTCCTGCCTGCCCCTGCCACCGCTCTCAGCCCCACGCTGAGTGCCCCGACAGCCCCTCTGCTATGCTGCGGGAGGGATGCTTTGCTCTCACCTGGCTCCATCGAGTCGGCGGCCTCCTGCTTCCTCGCAGACATGGCGCACATCAACGGTGAGTGCTGGGAGAGTCGCTGTCCCCGCAGTGCTGGGGTGTCTCTCCCAAGTGCTCCTCGGCTGACTCTGGGGGAGAAGCAGGGCGCGGGTCAGCTTGCAGCAGAGGCCCAGCGCCCCCTGGCACGGGGCCGCCCTCCTCCCTCGGCAGCCCCGCACGAGCCCCGTCCACCCCTGCCCTCCCCTCACCTCACCAGGTCGCGCTGAGGCACAGCCTGAGCCCAGTGATGCTTTATGCAGGCTTGTCCCCCGCGGGTCACAATGGCCACAGTGACATCAGCACCGTTGGCCTGGATGCACCCCAACAACGAGCAGGGACGCCCTCAGGCCTTTGGCCTGTGACCATAATGGGTGATTTACCCCTGCCTGTCCTATCTCAAATCCCAAGCCTGGCTTATTTCCTCCTTCTCAGTGCCTTGGGGGGGTGGGGGAGGCAGAGGGGGAGTGAGAGCAGCTGCTCAGTTGTGCCCTCTGAGCTCAAACCACGACACAACCGAAGGCTTCCTTCTTGCAGCAGAAGACAAGAAAGCCTTTTGCGTAGAGGTTGCCAACACCAGGTAAGGAGCGGACACCGCAAGGCTCAGGGGAGACAGAGCAGCGCTTGTTACTCAGGCCTCGAGCCCCGTCACGCGCCCTTGAGAGCAAAAAAGTCACACGTGTTCTACGGGAATGTCATACTGGGCCTGGGCTGCGTCCGTCATCCAACAGGAAGGATTTCCCTCCTGCTGGAGACCAGCAAGCCCCTCTCTCTCTAGTGCAGGGAGGAGAAAGGGCTGTGAATCGACGAATGAATGAAAAGCAAATGGTAATCAAACGGTCATGAAGCAATCACAGAAGGGTCACGAGAATCACAGAATCCCTTAGGTTGGAAAAGACCCTTACGATCACGGAACCCAGCCGTTGACATGGACGACGCTGCCAAGGGCACCGCTAAACCATGTCCCCAGGTGCCATGGCTACACATCTCTTAAATTCCTCCAGGGATGGTGACTCAAGCCCTTCCCTGGGCAGCCCGTTGCGGTGCTTGGCAAAACTCGCCCCATCGACCCGGCCTGGGCAGATGCCTCTGTAGAGCCTCCCGACCCTCAAACGGACCAAACCGCCGCCGAAGCTGCCCCGCAGCCATTTGCACTTTCCCTGCCCACTAAGGACGGGCTCACACTGTCTCTGAAAGGCAGTTTATTGCCACGGAGGAAGCCAGGCCGTTTGCGCCGTGAGTCCCCAGCTCGCGCTGCCGCTGCTTTTCCTTCTGGAGGCAGCACGTCACCAAAGCGCTAAGGACGACTTCGGGAGATGACGATGTTGGGCCACCTGCGACGCTGAGGTGCCGTCCTGAGGCCCCGTGCTGTGCCCCGGCCACACGCCGCGTCGGAGCGGATGGGCTGTGCGAGCCCAGGCCGGGCTCCAAGGTGGCTTCTGTCCCCTGGAGCCGGGAGCCCAGGGCCGGCGGCAGCCCTGCAGGTGCAGCCGCAGCGCTGCGGCGCAGAGAGGAAGGATCCCCTTCCCCGACCTGCCGGCAGCGCTCCCCATGCCGAGGGCAGGAGCAGAGCCGCAGCCTGGGCCAGGGCTGCAGCCCTGGGCTCGCACGGCCTGACCAGCACCGGTCGGCCAACAGTGCCAGCCTCGACGGCTGCCCCGCGGGACCTGCCTTTCGGCTCTGCGCTGGCTGCAGGAGCAGCCGCCCCGCTCCCGGGGGTGCCGAGGGCTCGGGCCCCCGCCTCGGCACTTCGCACCCACCCATGTGAGGCGGCGGCCGGCTCCGAGGGGCTGGCACGTTCCTGAGGGCGTCCCTGCCCGTCGTTGGGGTGCATCCAGGCCAACGGTGCTGATGTCACTGTGGCCATTGTGACCCGCGGGGGACAAGCCTACATAAAGCATCGCTGGGCTCAGGCTGTGCCTCAGTGCGACCTGGTGAGGTGAGGGGAGGGCAGGGGTGGACGGGGCTCGTGCGGGGCTGCCGAGGGAGGAGGGCGGCCCCGTGCCGGGGGGCGCTGGGCCTCTGCTGCAAGCTGACCCGCGCCCTGCTTCTCCCCCAGAGTCAGCCGAGGAGCACTTGGGAGAGACACCCCAGCACTGCGGGGACAGCGACTCTCCCAGCACTCACCGTTGATGTGCGCCATGTCTGCGAGGAAGCAGGAGGCCGCCAACTCGATAGATCTGGGTGAGAGCAAAGCATCCCTCCCGCAGCATAGCAGAGGGGCTGTCGGGGCGCTCAGCGTGGGGCTGAGAGCGGTGGCAGGGGCAGGCAGGAGCTCCCCAAGCGCCCTGGGGCAGTGCCCCTCCGTGCCGCAGCCAGCGGGGCCCAGGCTGGGCCGTGGGCACCTGCTGCTGGGACACCCGTGCCTGCAAGGCCAGCCCTCAGGGCCGCTTGTCCCCGGTCCTGCAGAGGTGAGCTGCTCATTCCCGCTGTCGTTTGCTCTCTCCCCTCCAGCATGCATGCTGTGTGGCCGGGCAGAGGCTGACCCGCACATCTGCGGGAAGAAACTGCAGAAGCAAGGGATCTGCGCCCACCTCTTTTGCCTGGTGAGTGCCCCCGGGGCTCCCTCCAGCTTGCCGACAGGCAGCCCTGGCCACGCTCTCCTCCTCATCACCTCGTCTCCTCTATCATGTGCAGTTTTTTACCAAGAAGCTTTTTAATCAAGAGAGTATGGATGGGGTAAGCCTGAAGGATATCCGACGCACAATCAAGCAGGCATCACAGAGGGTGAGGACTGAACAAGCTCAGGGAGATCTGTGGTGCCACGGGAGCGGTGTGGGAGCTTAGCCCAGACCCCAAGAAAGAAATCCCAGCCCTTCCAAGCAGCTCTGGGACAAAAGTCTCGCGCCCAGCAGCTCCACAGAGCCTCCACCCAGACCCAGCACAGGAGCCTCGTGCGCCGGGTGCATCCGTGGGCTCTGACCCAGCAGTGGGGCCACATCCTGCGCCCTGCCCGGAGGTGTGGGGCTGGCTGTGGAGGCCCTGAGGCTGCCGCTGATGGGGGCTGCTCTGCTCTTTCCAGCGCTGCTTCGTCTGTGGCGAGAGCGGGGCCGCCATCACCTGCTGCCAGGAGGGCTGCGACCGCAGCTTCCACCTCCCCTGCGCCGTGGAGGGGGAATGCATCACGCAGTACTTTGGGCTTTACAGGTAAGGGTAGCCGGCCCTCCCACAGGAGGATCACCCACTTTTTTATACCCCTTTCTGACAGCATCAATAAGCAAACATAAAACAAGCCCACAGTGACACTTCCTAGCAGGCAGTCATGGACAGAGCGAGTGGTGGGATTCCTTCACACATTATCACCCATCATTCCCACCAAAACACTCCTCACCTCACCCTTCCCTTTCCTCGTGCCTCCCCAGGTCCTTCTGCTGGCAGCACCGCCCAGAGCAGGCAGTGGAGGCGGCTCCGGGGGAGAACACCGCCTGCCTCATCTGCCTGGACCCTGTTGAGGACAGGAAGTCCTACGGCACCCTGGTGTGCCCAGCGTGCAAACACGCCTGGTTCCACAGGGCCTGCATCCAGAACCAAGCTATCTACGCTGGCTTCTTCTGTTTCCAGTGTCCACATTGTCAAAATGAATATCGATTTCTGATGGAAATGCTCACCATGGGCATCCGAATCCCCAGGAGGTTGGTTTTTCTATTCCAAGTCACCAGACAGGAGGGTGCCAGCGCTGTGCCGTGCCAGGGACTGCCCCTGCGCTCCCGGCCCTCCGCTCTCTCCCCTCAGCCTGGGCTTCAGCTTCACGCAGGAGTCAGAAAGCGGGCAGGGGGGGAAGAGCAGGGACGCCCTGCATCTGCCTTATGCCGGGGTAGCAGGGGTTCATTAACTTTCCCTTCTTTCATCAAAAGAATACCATCAGGTGAGGACGACAGTGCATATGAAGAGTTATATGAGAGGCACAGCCGCTGCGATGCCCGTGAGTGCCTTTGCCCAGGAGGCAGGCAGCACGCAGAGGAACAGGGGTAAGTTGCCCGAGCGGCAACCTGGGCTCTGCCCAGGATCTCTGTCTCGCCAAGGGCTCGAAGTGGAGGGACAGAAAACAAGAGCTCTGCCGGACAATCCCGTGCTGCGGTCACTTTGTCCTCACAGCCACGCACCCGTTTGCTTCCCCAGGCCCTGGCAACTGCTCCTGTGCTGCTCCTGTGCTGCCGAGGGCACCCACAGACGCTGCTCATTCATGAAACACAGCACAGTCATATGGGAGTGTGACAGCTGTGCTGGCCTGGGCACCGGTAAGAGGCAAAGCACCCGGGTGCCCCCAGGCGAGGCCTGGCAGCGGGTGCCCATTCTGGGCTTGGCAGAGCCCCTCTGCTCCAGGGGGGTTGGGGGCACCGCTCTGGCCTCTCCTGACGCGGGCCTGGGGGGCCGTGCCCGTGACCTTCCTGCTTCCCCTTACAGCCTCCAGTTGCAGCTTGGAGGTCACGGGTCCCATCACCGAGAGCCAGTCATGATCGGGGCCGTCCCACAGCTCTCCAGCACCAGAGACCAGCAGCGCCAGAACCAGCAGCACAGTGGCATCGGGGTCGTCCTCTCGCTCTGCAGCAGGGGAGAGCAGCAGCCCCAGCAGCACTGGCTACCAGGCAGCATCGGGGCTGTCCCACGGCTCCCCAGTGCCTGAGAGCAGCAGCTGCTCCAGCCCACCTGGGCCCGACCGCGTGCGAGACCGCTCTCGCTCGCGGCGTCGGGCCCAAAAGCCCTACAGCTGGCGCACAAGGGGCCGTGGCAGGAGCCGCGCACCAGCACCCAGGGCTGAGAGCAGCAGCCCCGCACAGTCGGTGCCGGGATGCTCCCGTGGCTCCCCGGTACCCGAGACCGGCAGCCCCAGCACCCCCAGCTCTGCACGGCTCCAGAGCAGCCGCCGCCCCAGCCGCCCCGGGCCCGTGCGGGGACGAGACCGTTCCCGCTTACGACGTCGGGCCCAGAACCCTTACAGCCGGCCCGGACGCTGACGCGCGACCAGCCCTGCGCCGGCCCTGCCTGCTGGCCCTGATCCCCCACCACCGCTCCAATAAAGTTGGCCGTTAATCTCTGCCCTGGGAGATTCCACGCTCCTTTGTTGGCTTCCGCCGGGCCCACAGGGTTGTCTTCTCCCCGGGGCTTGGCAGCACCTTCCCCAGACCTCCCTCCTCGCGGGCTGGCCTTGGCCGGCTGCCCAGCGCCATGGCCGTGGGCTTCGGGCCTCGCTGGCCCCGCAGCCTGCTCCGCTTCCCCGGGGAAAGTTCGAACGCACAAGCGGCAAAGCGCCTCTGCTTTCAAAGTTCCCCTCAGAGTCACCTCTGGAGGTGTGACATGAAGGTTGCTGCAGATGGTGCTGCTACAGTAGTAGCCAAAGGGCATTGCCCTTCCCCAGTTCCAGCTCCTGTCGCCCACCGTGGTTGCTGCTGTACCAGCTTGTCCTGGCTTTGAGGGAGCGGTGGGGTTTTTTGGTAGCAGGGGAGGGGGTGACAGCGCTGGCCCTCTCTGAGAAGCTTCTCCAAGCTCCCCCGGCTCCAAGCAGGCCCTACCTCTGCAGCAGGGCCGAGCCAAGCAGCTCCACCTCTGCGATAACGCATTTAAGAAGGGACCTGGTGAGGAGGAGTGGGACTTGTGAGGAGGACTTGCCGCAGCTGCGTGAACACCAAGGCCAGTGGGGGAACGGAGGAAGAAAGGAGGGGGGAGGTGTGCCGGAGCAGAGTCCGCTCCCCTGTATCCTGTGGTGAGACGGCCCCTCCCCGCCACCCATGGAGGTCTACGGTGGAGCAGACTCCGAATTATGGCCTGGGAGGGGCCTCACATTCCCTATTAAGGTGGCTGCACCCAGAGTTAGCCAGGACCCTGTGGGAAGAAGCAGCCCCCGCTGTTGTAGGTCGCCACTGGGAGGATTGCAGCACGCGGGGGTGTCCCACGCCGGAGCAGCTCAGGAAGGGCTGCAGCCCGTGGGAGGGACTCACGTCGGAGAAACTTTGTGGAGGACTGTCTCCTGTGAGAGGGGGACCACGCTTGAGCAGGGGGAAGAAGTTCCAGAAGTTCAACCCCCACCCCCGAAGACAGAAGAAGCGGCAGCACTGACTGAACACCCCATTCCCTGCCCCTGTGCCGCTGCGGGGAGGACGTACAGATATCCGGAGTGGAGCTGAGCCCGGGAAGAAGGGAGGGGTGGGTGTTTTTCTACATATGGTGATGCCTCTCACTCTCCTACTCGGTTTAGTGTGGTTGTTGCTAGTGTCTGTAATAAATCTATGTTCTATTTTTCTTCCCTTAATGAGTCTTGCCTTTGGCCTGTGACCATAATGGGTGATTTACCCCTGCCTGTCCTATCTCAAATCCCAAGCCTGGCTTATTTCCTCCTTCTCAGTGCCTTGGGGGGGTGGGGGAGGCAGAGGGGGAGTGAGAGCAGCTGCTCAGTTGTGCCCTCTGAGCTCAAACCACGACACAACCGAAGGCTTCCTTCTTGCAGCAGAAGACAAGAAAGCCTTTTGCGTAGAGGTTGCCAACACCAGGTAAGGAGCGGACACCGCAAGGCTCAGGGGAGACAGAGCAGCGCTTGTTACTCAGGCCTCGAGCCCCGTCACGCGCCCTTGAGAGCAAAAAAGTCACACGTGTTCTACGGGAATGTCATACTGGGCCTGGGCTGCGTCCGTCATCCAACAGGAAGGATTTCCCTCCTGCTGGAGACCAGCAAGCCCCTCTCTCTCTAGTGCAGGGAGGAGAAAGGGCTGTGAATCGACGAATGAATGAAAAGCAAATGGTAATCAAACGGTCATGAAGCAATCACAGAAGGGTCACGAGAATCACAGAATCCCTTAGGTTGGAAAAGACCCTTACGATCACGGAACCCAGCCGTTGACATGGACGACGCTGCCAAGGGCACCGCTAAACCATGTCCCCAGGTGCCATGGCTACACATCTCTTAAATTCCTCCAGGGATGGTGACTCAAGCCCTTCCCTGGGCAGCCCGTTGCGGTGCTTGGCAAAACTCGCCCCATCGACCCGGCCTGGGCAGATGCCTCTGTAGAGCCTCCCGACCCTCAAACGGACCAAACCGCCGCCGAAGCTGCCCCGCAGCCATTTGCACTTTCCCTGCCCACTAAGGACGGGCTCACACTGTCTCTGAAAGGCAGTTTATTGCCACGGAGGAAGCCAGGCCGTTTGCGCCGTGAGTCCCCAGCTCGCGCTGCCGCTGCTTTTCCTTCTGGAGGCAGCACGTCACCAAAGCGCTAAGGACGACTTCGGGAGATGACGATGTTGGGCCACCTGCGACGCTGAGGTGCCGTCCTGAGGCCCCGTGCTGTGCCCCGGCCACACGCCGCGTCGGAGCGGATGGGCTGTGCGAGCCCAGGCCGGGCTCCAAGGTGGCTTCTGTCCCCTGGAGCCGGGAGCCCAGGGCCGGCGGCAGCCCTGCAGGTGCAGCCGCAGCGCTGCGGCGCAGAGAGGAAGGATCCCCTTCCCCGACCTGCCGGCAGCGCTCCCCATGCCGAGGGCAGGAGCAGAGCCGCAGCCTGGGCCAGGGCTGCAGCCCTGGGCTCGCACGGCCTGACCAGCACCGGTCGGCCAACAGTGCCAGCCTCGACGGCTGCCCCGCGGGACCTGCCTTTCGGCTCTGCGCTGGCTGCAGGAGCAGCCGCCCCGCTCCCGGGGGTGCCGAGGGCTCGGGCCCCCGCCTCGGCACTTCGCACCCACCCATGTGAGGCGGCGGCCGGCTCCGAGGGGCTGGCACGTTCCTGAGGGCGTCCCTGCCCGTCGTTGGGGTGCATCCAGGCCAACGGTGCTGATGTCACTGTGGCCATTGTGACCCGCGGGGGACAAGCCTACATAAAGCATCGCTGGGCTCAGGCTGTGCCTCAGTGCGACCTGGTGAGGTGAGGGGAGGGCAGGGGTGGACGGGGCTCGTGCGGGGCTGCCGAGGGAGGAGGGCGGCCCCGTGCCGGGGGGCGCTGGGCCTCTGCTGCAAGCTGACCCGCGCCCTGCTTCTCCCCCAGAGTCAGCCGAGGAGCACTTGGGAGAGACACCCCAGCACTGCGGGGACAGCGACTCTCCCAGCACTCACCGTTGATGTGCGCCATGTCTGCGAGGAAGCAGGAGGCCGCCAACTCGATAGATCTGGGTGAGAGCAAAGCATCCCTCCCGCAGCATAGCAGAGGGGCTGTCGGGGCGCTCAGCGTGGGGCTGAGAGCGGTGGCAGGGGCAGGCAGGAGCTCCCCAAGCGCCCTGGGGCAGTGCCCCTCCGTGCCGCAGCCAGCGGGGCCCAGGCTGGGCCGTGGGCACCTGCTGCTGGGACACCCGTGCCTGCAAGGCCAGCCCTCAGGGCCGCTTGTCCCCGGTCCTGCAGAGGTGAGCTGCTCATTCCCGCTGTCGTTTGCTCTCTCCCCTCCAGCATGCATGCTGTGTGGCCGGGCAGAGGCTGACCCGCACATCTGCGGGAAGAAACTGCAGAAGCAAGGGATCTGCGCCCACCTCTTTTGCCTGGTGAGTGCCCCCGGGGCTCCCTCCAGCTTGCCGACAGGCAGCCCCGGCCACGCTCTCCTCCTCATCACCTCGTCTCCTCTATCATGTGCAGTTTTTTACCAAGAAGCTTTTTAATCAAGAGAGTATGGATGGGGTAAGCCTGAAGGATATCCGACGCACAATCAAGCAGGCATCACAGAGGGTGAGGACTGAACAAGCTCAGGGAGATCTGTGGTGCCACGGGAGCGGTGTGGGAGCTTAGCCCAGACCCCAAGAAAGAAATCCCAGCCCTTCCAAGCAGCTCTGGGACAAAAGTCTCGCGCCCAGCAGCTCCACAGAGCCTCCACCCAGACCCAGCACAGGAGCCTCGTGCGCCGGGTGCATCCGTGGGCTCTGACCCAGCAGTGGGGCCACATCCTGCGCCCTGCCCGGAGGTGTGGGGCTGGCTGTGGAGGCCCTGAGGCTGCCGCTGATGGGGGCTGCTCTGCTCTTTCCAGCGCTGCTTCGTCTGTGGCGAGAGCGGGGCCGCCATCACCTGCTGCCAGGAGGGCTGCGACCGCAGCTTCCACCTCCCCTGCGCCGTGGAGGGGGAATGCATCACGCAGTACTTTGGGCTTTACAGGTAAGGGTAGCCGGCCCTCCCACAGGAGGATCACCCACTTTTTTATACCCCTTTCTGACAGCATCAATAAGCAAACATAAAACAAGCCCACAGTGACACTTCCTAGCAGGCAGTCATGGACAGAGCGAGTGGTGGGATTCCTTCACACATTATCACCCATCATTCCCACCAAAACACTCCTCACCTCACCCTTCCCTTTCCTCGTGCCTCCCCAGGTCCTTCTGCTGGCAGCACCGCCCAGAGCAGGCAGTGGAGGCGGCTCCGGGGGAGAACACCGCCTGCCTCATCTGCCTGGACCCGGTGGAGGACAGGAAGTCCTACGGCACCCTGGTGTGCCCAGCGTGCAAACACGCCTGGTTCCACAGGGCCTGCATCCAGAACCAAGCTATCTACGCTGGCTTCTTCTGTTTCCAGTGTCCACATTGTCAAAATGAATATCGATTTCTGATGGAAATGCTCACCATGGGCATCCGAATCCCCAAGAGGTTGGTTTTTCTATTCCAAGTCACCAGACAGGAGGGTGCCAGCGCTGTGCCGTGCCAGGGACTGCCCCTGCGCTCCCGGCCCTCCGCTCTCTCCCCTCAGCCTGGGCTTCAGCTTCACGCAGGAGTCAGAAAGCGGGCAGGGGGGGAAGAGCAGGGACGCCCTGCATCTGCCTTATGCCGGGGTAGCAGGGGTTCATTAACTTTCCCTTCTTTCATCAAAAGAATACCATCAGGTGAGGACGACAGTGCATATGAAGAGTTATATGAGAGGCACAGCCGCTGCGATGCCCGTGAGTGCCTTTGCCCAGGAGGCAGGCAGCACGCAGAGGAACAGGGGTAAGTTGCCCGAGCGGCAACCTGGGCTCTGCCCAGGATCTCTGTCTCGCCAAGGGCTCGAAGTGGAGGGACAGAAAACAAGAGCTCTGCCGGACAATCCCGTGCTGCGGTCACTTTGTCCTCACAGCCACGCACCCGTTTGCTTCCCCAGGCCCTGGCAACTGCTCCTGTGCTGCTCCTGTGCTGCCGAGGGCACCCACAGACGCTGCTCATTCATGAAACACAGCACAGTCATATGGGAGTGTGACAGCTGTGCTGGCCTGGGCACCGGTAAGAGGCAAAGCACCCGGGTGCCCCCAGGCGAGGCCTGGCAGCGGGTGCCCATTCTGGGCTTGGCAGAGCCCCTCTGCTCCAGGGGGGTTGGGGGCACCGCTCTGGCCTCTCCTGACGCGGGCCTGGGGGGCCGTGCCCGTGACCTTCCTGCTTCCCCTTACAGCCTCCAGTTGCAGCTTGGAGGTCACGGGTCCCATCACCGAGAGCCAGTCATGATCGGGGCCGTCCCACAGCTCTCCAGCACCAGAGACCAGCAGCGCCAGAACCAGCAGCACAGTGGCATCGGGGTCGTCCTCTCGCTCTGCAGCAGGGGAGAGCAGCAGCCCCAGCAGCACTGGCTACCAGGCAGCATCGGGGCTGTCCCACGGCTCCCCAGTGCCTGAGAGCAGCAGCTGCTCCAGCCCACCTGGGCCCGACCGCGTGCGAGACCGCTCTCGCTCGCGGCGTCGGGCCCAAAAGCCCTACAGCCGGCGCACAAGGGGCCGTGGCAGGAGCCGCGCACCAGCACCCAGGGCTGAGAGCAGCAGCCCCGCACAGTCGGTGCCGGGATGCTCCCGTGGCTCCCCGGTACCCGAGACCGGCAGCCCCAGCACCCCCAGCTCTGCACGGCTCCAGAGCAGCCGCCGCCCCAGCCGCCCCGGGCCCGTGCGGGGACGAGACCGTTCCCGCTTACGACGTCGGGCCCAGAACCCTTACAGCCGGCCCGGACGCTGACGCGCGACCAGCCCTGCGCCGGCCCTGCCTGCTGGCCCTGATCCCCCACCACCGCTCCAATAAAGTTGACTGTTAATCTCTGCCCTGGGAGATTCCACGCTCCTTTGTTGGCTTCCGCCGGGCCCACAGGGTTGTCTTCTCCCCGGGGCTTGGCAGCACCTTCCCCAGACCTCCCTCCTCGCGGGCTGGCCTTGGCCAGCTGCCCAGCGCCATGGCCGTGGGCTTCGGGCCTCGCTGGCCCCGCAGCCTGCTCCGCTTCCCCGGGGAAAGTTCGAACGCACAAGCGGCAAAGCGCCTCTGCTTTCAAAGTTCCCCTCAGAGTCACCTCTGGAGGTGTGACATGAAGGTTGCTGCAGATGGTGCTGCTACAGTAGTAGCCAAAGGGCATTGCCCTTCCCCAGTTCCAGCTCCTGTCGCCCACCGTGGTTGCTGCTGTACCAGCTTGTCCTGGCTTTGAGGGAGCGGTGGGGTTTTTTGGTAGCAGGGGAGGGGGCGACAGCGCTGGCCCTCTCTGAGAAGCTTCTCCAAGCTCCCCCGGCTCCAAGCAGGCCCTACCTCTGCAGCAGGGCCGAGCCAAGCAGCTCCACCTCTGCGATAACGCATTTAAGAAGGGACCTGGTGAGGAGGAGTGGGACTTGTGAGGAGGACTTGCCGCAGCTGCGTGAACACCAAGGCCAGTGGGGGAACGGAGGAAGAAAGGAGGGGGGAGGTGTGCCGGAGCAGAGTCCGCTCCCCTGTATCCTGTGGTGAGACGGCCCCTCCCCGCCACCCATGGAGGTCTACGGTGGAGCAGACTCCGAATTATGGCCTGGGAGGGGCCTCACATTCCCTATTAAGGTGGCTGCACCCAGAGTTAGCCAGGACCCTGTGGGAAGAAGCAGCCCCCGCTGTTGTAGGTCGCCACTGGGAGGATTGCAGCACGCGGGGGTGTCCCACGCCGGAGCAGCTCAGGAAGGGCTGCAGCCCGTGGGAGGGACTCACGTCGGAGAAACTTTGTGGAGGACTGTCTCCTGTGAGAGGGGGACCACGCTTGAGCAGGGGGAAGAAGTTCCAGAAGTTCAACCCCCACCCCCGAAGACAGAAGAAGCGGCAGCACTGACTGAACACCCCATTCCCTGCCCCTGTGCCGCTGCGGGGAGGACGTACAGATATCCGGAGTGGAGCTGAGCCCGGGAAGAAGGGAGGGGTGGGTGTTTTTCTACATATGGTGATGCCTCTCACTCTCCTACTCGGTTTAGTGTGGTTGTTGCTAGTGTCTGTAATAAATCTATGTTCTATTTTTCTTCCCTTAATGAGTCTTGCCTTTGGCCTGTGACCATAATGGGTGATTTACCCCTGCCTGTCCTATCTCAAATCCCAAGCCTGGCTTATTTCCTCCTTCTCAGTGCCTTGGGGGGGTGGGGGAGGCAGAGGGGGAGTGAGAGCAGCTGCTCAGTTGTGCCCTCTGAGCTCAAACCACGACACAACCGAAGGCTTCCTTCTTGCAGCAGAAGACAAGAAAGCCTTTTGCGTAGAGGTTGCCAACACCAGGTAAGGAGCTGACACCGCAAGGCTCAGGGGAGACAGAGCAGCGCTTGTTACTCAGGCCTCGAGCCCCGTCACGCGCCCTTGAGAGCAAAAAAGTCACACGTGTTCTACGGGAATGTCATACTGGGCCTGGGCTGCGTCCGTCATCCAACAGGAAGGATTTCCCTCCTGCTGGAGACCAGCAAGCCCCTCTCTCTCTAGTGCAGGGAGGAGAAAGGGCTGTGAATCGACGAATGAATGAAAAGCAAATGGTAATCAAACGGTCATGAAGCAATCACAGAAGGGTCACGAGAATCACAGAATCCCTTAGGTTGGAAAAGACCCTTACGATCACGGAACCCAGCCGTTGACATGGACGACGCTGCCAAGGGCACCGCTAAACCATGTCCCCAGGTGCCACGGCTACACATCTCTTAAATTCCTCCAGGGATGGTGACTCAAGCCCTTCCCTGGGCAGCCCGTTGCGGTGCTTGGCAAAACTCGCCCCATCGACCCGGCCTGGGCAGATGCCTCTGTAGAGCCTCCCGACCCTCAAACGGACCAAACCGCCGCCGAAGCTGCCCCGCAGCCATTTGCACTTTCCCTGCCCACCAAGGACGGGCTCACACTGTCTCTGAAAGGCAGTTTATTGCCACGGAGGAAGGCAGGCAGTTTGCGCCGTGAGTCCCCAGCTCGCGCTGCCGCTGCTTTTCCTTCTGGAGGCAGCACGTCACCAAAGCGCTAAGGACGACTTCGGGAGATGACGATGTTGGGCCACCTGCGACGCTGAGGTGCCGTCCTGAGGCCCCGTGCTGTGCCCCAGCCACGCGCCGCGTCGGAGCGGATGGGCTGTGCGAGCCCAGGCCGGGCTCCAAGGTGGCTTCTGTCCCCTGGAGCCGGGAGCCCAGGGCCGGCAGCAGCCCTGCAGGTGCAGCCGCAGCGCTGCGGCGCAGAGAGGAAGGATCCTCTTCCCCGACCTGCCGGCAGCGCTCCCCATGCCGAGGGCAGGAGCAGAGCCGCAGCCTGGGCCAGGGCTGCAGCCCTGGGCTCGCACGGCCTGACCAGCACCGGTCGGCCAACAGTGCCAGCCTCGACGGCTGCCCCGCGGGACCTGCCTTTCGGCTCTGCGCTGGCTGCAGGAGCAGCCGCCCCGCTCCCGGGGGTGCCGAGGGCTCGGGCCCCCGCCTCGGCACTTCGCACCCACCCCTGTGAGGCGGCGGCCGGCTCCGAGGGGCTGGCACGTTCCTGAGGGCGTCCCTGCCCGTCGTTGGGGTGCATCCAGGCCAACGGTGCTGATGTCACTGTGGCCATTGTGACCCGCGGGGGACAAGCCTACATAAAGCATCGCTGGGCTCAGGCTGTGCCTCAGTGCGACCTGGTGAGGTGAGGGGAGGGCAGGGGTGGATGGGGCTCGTGCGGGGCTGCCGAGGGAGGAGGGCGGCCCCGTGCCGGGGGGCGCTGGGCCTCTGCTGCAAGCTGACCCGCGCCCTGCTTCTCCCCCAGAGTCAGCCGAGGAGCACTTGGGAGAGACACCCCAGCACTGCGGGGACAGCGACTCTCCCAGCACTCACCGTTGATGTGCGCCATGTCTGCGAGGAAGCAGGAGGCCGCCGACTCGATGGAGCCAGGTGAGAGCAAAGCATCCCTCCCGCAGCATAGCAGAGGGGCTGTCGGGGCGCTCAGCGTGGGGCTGAGAGCGGTGGCAGGGGCAGGCAGGAGCTCCCCAAGCGCCCCGGGGCAGGGCCCCTCCGTGCCGCAGCCAGCGGGGCCCAGGCTGGGCCGTGGGCACCTGCTGCTGGGACACCCGTGCCTGCAAGGCCAGCCCTTCAGGGACGCTTGCCCCGGTCCTGCAGAGGTGAGCTGCTCATTCCCGCTGTCGTTTGCTCTCTCCCCTCCAGCATGCATGCTGTGTGGCCGGGCAGAGGCTGACCCGCACATCTGCGGGAAGAAACTGCAGAAGCAAGGGATCTGCGCCCACCTCTTTTGCCTGGTGAGTGCCCCCGGGGCTCCCTCCAGCTTGCCGACAGGCAGCCCTGGCCACGCTCTCCTCCTCATCACCTCGTCTCCTCTATCATGTGCAGTTTTTTACCAAGAAGCTTTTTAATCAAGAGAGTATGGATGGGGTAAGCCTGAAGGATATCCGACGCACAATCAAGCAGGCATCACAGAGGGTGAGGACTGAACAAGCTCAGGGAGATCTGTGGTGCCACGGGAGCGGTGTGGGAGCTTAGCCCAGACCCCAAGAAAGAAATCCCAGCCCTTCCAAGCAGCTCTGGGACAAAAGTCTCGCGCCCAGCAGCTCCACAGAGCCTCCACCCAGACCCAGCACAGGAGCCTCGTGCGCCGGGCGCATCCGCGGGCTCTGACCCAGCAGTGGGGCAGCATCCTGCGCCCTGCCCGGAGGCGTGGGGCTGGCTCTGGAGGCCCTGAGGCTGCCGCTGATGGGGGCTGCTCTGCTCTTTCCAGCGCTGCTTCGTCTGTGGCGAGAGCGGGGCCGCCATCACCTGCTGCCAGGAGGGCTGCGACCGCAGCTTCCACCTCCCCTGCGCCGTGGAGGGGGAATGCGTCACGCAGTACTTTGGGCTTTACAGGTAAGGGTAGCCGGCCCTCCCACAGGAGGATCACCCACTTTTTTATACCCCTTTCTGACAGCATCAATAAGCAAACATAAAACAAGCCCACAGTGACACTTCCTAGCAGGCAGTCATGGACAGAGCGAGTGGTGGGATTCCTTCACACATTATCACCCATCATTCCCACCAAAACACTCCTCACCTCACCCTTCCCTTTCCTCGTGCCTCCCCAGGTCCTTCTGCTGGCAGCACCGCCCAGAGCAGGCAGTGGAGGCGGCTCCGGGGGAGAACACCGCCTGCCTCATCTGCCTGGACCCGGTGGAGGACAGGAAGTCCTACGGCACCCTGGTGTGCCCAGCGTGCAAACACGCCTGGTTCCACAGGGCCTGCATCCAGAACCAAGCTATCTACGCTGGCTTCTTCTGTTTCCAGTGTCCACATTGTCAAAATGAATATCGATTTCTGATGGAAATGCTCACCATGGGCATCCGAATCCCCAGGAGGTTGGTTTTTCTATTCCAAGTCACCAGACAGGAGGGTGCCAGCGCTGTGCCGTGCCAGGGACTGGCCCTGCGCTCCCGGCCCTCCGCTCTCTCCCCTCAGCCTGGGCTTCAGCTTCACGCAGGAGTCAGAAAGCGGGCAGGGGGGGAAGAGCAGGGACGCCCTGCATCTGCCTTATGCCGGGGTAGCAGGGGTTCATTAACTTTCCCTTCTTTCATCAAAAGAATACCATCAGGTGAGGACGACAGTGCATATGAAGAGTTATATGAGAGGCACAGCCGCTGCGATGCCCGTGAGTGCCTTTGCCCAGGAGGCAGGCAGCACGCAGAGGAACAGGGGTAAGTTGCCCGAGCGGCAACCTGGGCTCTGCCCAGGATCTCTGTCTCGCCAAGGGCTCGAAGCGGAGGGACGGAGAACAAGAGCTCTGCCGGACAATCCCGTGCTGTGGTCACTTTGTCCTCACAGCCACGCACCCGTTTGTTTCCCCAGGCCCTGGCAACTGCTCCTGTGCTGCTCCTGCGCTGCCGAGGGCACCCACAGACAATGCTCCCACTTGGGGACCGGCGCGGCCAGATGGGAGTGCAACAGCTGTGCTGGCCTGGGCACCGGTAAGAGGCAAAGCACCCGGGTGCCCCCGGGCGAGGCCTGGCAGCGGGTGCCCATTCTGGGCTTGGCAGAGCCCCTCTGCTCCAGGGGGGCTGGGGGCACCGCTCTGGCCTCTCCTGCCGCGGGACTGGGGGGCCGTGCCCGTGACCTTCCTGCTCCCCCTTACAGCCTCCAGTGGCAGCTCGGAGGTCACGGGTCCCATCACCGAGAGCCAGTCACGATCGGGGCCGTCCCACAGCTCTCCAGCACCAGAGACCAGCAGCCCCAGCAGCACTGGTCTCCAGGCGCCATCGGGCCTCTCCCACGGCTCCCCAGTGCTTGTGGGCCGCAGCTGGTGCCGTCCACCTGGGCCTGACCGATTGCGGGACCGCTCTCGCTCGCGGTGTCGGGCCCAAAAGCCCTACAGCCGGCGCACAAGAGGTCGTGGCAGGAGCCGCGCACCAGCACCCAGGGCTGAGAGCAGCAGCCCCGCACAGTCGGTGCCGGGATGCTCCCGTGGCTCCCCGGTACCCGAGACCGGCAGCCCCAGCACCCCCAGCTCTGCACGGCTCCAGAGCAGCCGCCGCCCCAGCCGCCCCGGGCCCGTGCGGGGACGAGACCGCTTCCCGCTTACGACGTCGGGCCCAGAACCCTTACAGCCGGCCCGGACGCTGACGCGCGACCAGCCCTGCGCCGGCCCTGCCTGCTGGCCCTGATCCCCCACCACCGCTCCAATAAAGTTGACTGTTAATCTCTGCCCTGGGAGATTCCACGCTCCTTTGTTGGCTTCCGCCGGGCCCACAGGGTTGTCTTCTCCCCGGGGCTTGGCAGCACCTTCCCCAGACCTCCCTCCTCGTGGGCTGGCCTTGGCCGGCTGCCCAGCGCCATGGCCGTGGGCTTCGGGCCTCGCTGGCCCCGCAGCCTGCTCCGCTTCCCCGGGGAAAGTTCGAACGCACAAGCGGCAAAGCGCCTCTGCTTTCAAAGTTCCCCTCAGAGTCACCTCTGGAGGTGTGACATGAAGGTTGCTGCAGATGGTGCTGCTACAGTAGTAGCCAAAGGGCATTGGCCTTCCCCAGTTCCAGCTCCTGTCGCCCACCGTGGTTGCTGCTGTACCAGCTTGTCCTGGCTTTGAGGGAGCGGTGGGGTTTTTTGGTAGCAGGGGAGGGGGCGACAGCGCTGGCCCTCTCTGAGAAGCTTCTCCAAGCTCCCCCGGCTCCAAGCAGGCCCTACCTCTGCAGCAGGGCCGAGCCAAGCAGCTCCACCTCTGCGATAACGCATTTAAGAAGGGACCTGGTGAGGAGGAGTGGGACTTGTGAGGAGGACTTGCCGCAGCTGCGTGAACACCAAGGCCAGTGGGGGAACAGAGGAAGAAAGGAGGGGGGAGGTGTGCCGGAGCAGAGTCCGCTCCCCTGTATCCTGTGGTGAGACGGCCCCTCCCCGCCACCCATGGAGGTCTACGGTGGAGCAGACTCCGAATTATGGCCTGGGAGGGGCCTCACATTCCCTATTAAGGTGGCTGCACCCAGAGTTAGCCAGGACCCTGTGGGAAGAAGCAGCCCCCGCTGTTGTAGGTCGCCACTGGGAGGATTGCAGCACGCGGGGGTGTCCCACGCCGGAGCAGCTCAGGAAGGGCTGCAGCCCGTGGGAGGGACTCACGTCGGAGAAACTTTGTGGAGGACTGTCTCCTGTGAGAGGGGGACCACGCTTGAGCAGGGGGAAGAAGTTCCAGAAGTTCAACCCCCACCCCCGAAGACAGAAGAAGCGGCAGCACTGACTGAACACCCCATTCCCTGCCCCTGTGCCGCTGCGGGGAGGACGTACAGATATCCGGAGTGGAGCTGAGCCCGGGAAGAAGGGAGGGGTGGGTGTTTTTCTACATATGGTGATGCCTCTCACTCTCCTACTCGGTTTAGTGTGGTTGTTGCTAGTGTCTGTAATAAATCTATGTTCTATTTTTCTTCCCTTAATGAGTCTTGCCTTTGGCCTGTGACCATAATGGGTGATTTACCCCTGCCTGTCCTATCTCGAATCCCAAGCCTGGCTTATTTCCTCCTTCTCAGTGCCTTGGGGGGGTGGGGGAGGCAGAGGGGGAGTGAGAGCAGCTGCTCAGTTGTGCCCTCTGAGCTCAAACCACGACACAACCGAAGGCTTCCTTCTTGCAGCAGAAGACAAGAAAGCCTTTTGCGTAGAGGTTGCCAACACCAGGTAAGGAGCTGACACCGCAAGGCTCAGGGGAGACAGAGCAGCGCTTGTTACTAGGCCTCGAGCCCCGTCACGCGCCCTTGAGAGCAAAAAAGTCACACGTGTTCTACGGGAATGTCATACTGGGCCTGGGCTGCGTCCGTCATCCAACAGGAAGGATTTCCCTCCTGCTGGAGACCAGCAAGCCCCTCTCTCTCTAGTGCAGGGAGGAGAAAGGGCTGTGAATCAACGAATGAATGAAAAGCAAATGGTAATCAAACGGTCATGAAGCAATCACAAAGGGTCACGAGAATCACAGAATCCCTTAGGTTGGAAAAGACCCTTACGATCACGGAACCCAGCCGTTGACATGGACGACGCTGCCAAGGGCACCGCTAAACCATGTCCCCAGGTGCCACGGCTACACATCTCTTAAATTCCTCCAGGGATGGTGACTCAAGCCCTTCCCTGGGCAGCCCGTTGCGGTGCTTGGCAAAACTCGCCCCATCGACCCGGCCTGGGCAGATGCCTCTGTAGAGCCTCCCGACCCTCAAACGGACCAAACCGCCGCCGAAGCTGCCCCGCAGCCATTTGCACTTTCCCTGCCCATCAAGGACGGGCTCACACTGTCTCTGAAAGGCAGTTTATTGCCACGGAGGAAGCCAGGCCGTTTGCGCCGTGAGTCCCCAGCTCGCGCTGCCGCTGCTTTTCCTTCTGGAGGCAGCACGTCACCAAAGCGCTAAGGACGACTTCGGGAGATGACGATGTTGGGCCACCTGCGACGCTGAGGTGCCGTCCTGAGGCCCCGTGCTGTGCCCCGGCCACGCGCCGCGTCGGAGCGGATGGGCTGTGCGAGCCCAGGCCGGGCTCCAAGGTGGCTTCTGTCCCCTGGAGCCGGGAGCCCAGGGCCGGCGGCAGCCCTGCAGGTGCAGCCGCAGCGCTGCGGCGCAGAGAGGAAGGATCCCCTTCCCCAACCTGCCGGCAGCGCTCCCCATGCCGAGGGCAGGAGCAGAGCCGCAGCCTGGGCCAGGGCTGCAGCCCTGGGCTCGCACGGCCTGACCAGCACCGGTCGGCCAACAGTGCCAGCCTCGACGGCTGCCCCGCGGGACCTGCCTTTCGGCTCTGCGCTGGCTGCAGGAGCAGCCGCCCCGCTCCCGGGGGTGCCGAGGGCTCGGGCCCCCGCCTCGGCACTTCGCACCCACCCATGTGAGGCGGCGGCCGGCTCCGAGGGGCTGGCACGTTCCTGAGGGCGTCCCTGCCCGTCGTTGGGGTGCATCCAGGCCAACGGTGCTGATGTCACTGTGGCCATTGTGACCCACGGGGGACAAGCCTACATAAAGCATCGCTGGGCTCAGGCTGTGCCTCAGTGCGACCTGGTGAGGTGAGGGGAGGGCAGGGGTGGACGGGGCTCGTGCGGGGCTGCCGAGGGAGGAGGGCGGCCCCGTGCCGGGGGGCGCTGGGCCTCTGCTGCAAGCTGACCCGCGCCCTGCTTCTCCCCCAGAGTCAGCTGAGGAGCACTTGGGAGAGACACCCCAGCACTGCGGGGACAGCGACTCTCCCAGCACTCACCGTTGATGTGCGCCATGTCTGCGAGGAAGCAGGAGGCCGCCGACTCGATAGATCTGGGTGAGAGCAAAGCATCCCTCCCGCAGCATAGCAGAGGGGCTGTCGGGGCACTCAGCGTGGGGCTGAGAGCGGTGGCAGGGGCAGGCAGGAAGCTCCCCAAGCGCCCCGGGGCAGGGCCCCTCCGTGCCGCAGCCAGCGGGGCCCAGGCTGGGCCGTGGGCACCTGCTGCTGGGACACCCGTGCCTGCAAGGCCAGCCCTCAGGGCCGCTTGTCCCCGGTCCTGCAGAGGTGAGCTGCTCATTCCCGCTGTCGTTTGCTCTCTCCCCTCCAGCATGCATGCTGTGTGGCCGGGCAGAGGCTGACCCGCACATCTGCGGGAAGAAACTGCAGAAGCAAGGGATCTGCGCCCACCTCTTTTGCCTGGTGAGTGCCCCCGGGGCTCCCTCTAGCTTGCCGACAGGCAGCCCTGGCCACGCTCTCCTCCTCATCACCTCGTCTCCTCTATCATGTGCAGTTTTTTACCAAGAAGCTTTTTAATCAAGAGAGTATGGATGGGGTAAGCCTGAAGGATATCCGACGCACAATCAAGCAGGCATCACAGAGGGTGAGGACTGAACAAGCTCAGGGAGATCTGTGGTGCCACGGGAGCGGTGTGGGAGCTTAGCCCAGACCCCAAGAAAGAAATCCCAGCCCTTCCAAGCAGCTCTGGGACAAAAGTCTCGCGCCCAGCAGCTCCACAGAGCCTCCACCCAGACCCAGCACAGGAGCCTCGTGCGCCGGGTGCATCCGCGGGCTCTGACCCAGCAGTGGGGCAGCATCCTGCGCCCTGCCCGGAGGCGTGGGGCTGGCTCTGGAGGCCCTGAGGCTGCCGCTGATGGGGGCTGCTCTGCTCCTTCCAGCGCTGCTTCGTCTGTGGCGAGAGCGGGGCCGCCATCACCTGCTGCCAGGAGGGCTGCGACCGCAGCTTCCACCTCCCCTGCGCCGTGGAGGGGGAATGCGTCACGCAGTACTTTGGGCTTTACAGGTAAGGGTAGCCGGCCCTCCCACAGGAGGATCACCCACTTTTTTATACCCCTTTCTGACAGCATCAATAAGCAAACATAAAACAAGCCCACAGTGACACTTCCTAGCAGGCAGTCATGGACAGAGCGAGTGGTGGGATTCCTTCACACATTATCACCCATCATTCCCACCAAAACACTCCTCACCTCACCCTTCCCTTTCCTCGTGCCTCCCCAGGTCCTTCTGCTGGCAGCACCGCCCAGAGCAGGCAGTGGAGGCGGCTCCGGGGGAGAACACCGCCTGCCTCATCTGCCTGGACCCGGTGGAGGACAGGAAGTCCTACGGCACCCTGGTGTGCCCAGCGTGCAAACACGCCTGGTTCCACAGGGCCTGCATCCAGAACCAAGCTATCTACGCTGGCTTCTTCTGTTTCCAGTGTCCACATTGTCAAAATGAATATCGATTTCTGATGGAAATGCTCACCATGGGCATCCGAATCCCCAGGAGGTTGGTTTTTCTATTCCAAGTCACCAGACAGGAGGGTGCCAGCGTTGTGCCGTGCCAGGGACTGCCCCTGCGCTCCCGGCCCTCCGCTCTCTCCCCTCAGCCTGGGCTTCAGCTTCACGCAGGAGTCAGAAAGCGGGCAGGGGGGGAAGAGCAGGGACGCCCTGCCTCTGCCTTATGCCGGGGTAGCAGGGGTTCATTAACTTTCCCTTCTTTCATCAAAAGAATACCATCAGGTGAGGACGACAGTGCATATGAAGAGTTATATGAGAGGCACAGCCGCTGCGATGCCCGTGAGTGCCTTTGCCCAGGAGGCAGGCAGCACACAAAGCGACAGGGGTAAGTTGCCCGAGCGGCAACCTGGGCTCTGCCCAGGATCTCTGTCTCGCCAAGGGCTCGAAGTGGAGGGACAGAAAACAAGAGCTCTGCCGGACAATCCCGTGCTGCGGTCACTTTGTCCTCA